AAACTGCTAACTCTAACAAATGTTAAATGGTGGACAGTCATATATTTTGTGTCTAGGAAGGTGGGTAATGTGGAAACTGTTTCCCTGAATCTACAGTTTTCTACAAGGACCTGGCATATGTGAAAAAGATAGGACAAAAAATGAGAACCAAGTACACATTTAGGAGAGAAACCAACCCTTGACAGAACAGTACTTCATATACTTTATTTCTAGGATTTCAAAGCATTTCGTTTTATTAACATCCATTGCTACTGTAGCAAAAAATAGAAATACTGCCTTTTTTAGAAATTGAGTTGATATGTAAATCATTGTTCCAAGAAGTAACATTTTTCCCATTTTAAAAACAAAATATATATTTCTAAAGATTTTATTTACTTAGAGAAAGTGAGCATGCAGGCAAGTGTGAGTCAGGGGAGGGGCAGAAGGAGAAGGAGAGAATCTCAAGCCGACTCGACACTGAGTGTGGAGCCCGATGAGGGGCTCTGTCCCACCACCCGGAGATCACGGCCTGAGTGGAAATTAAGAGTTGGTCACTTAAATGACTGAGCCACCCAGGCATCCCAAAACACAATATTTTATATGTTGATATAAACAAATTCTAAGCTTCATTTTTCTATTAAATTTGAGTTGGAGTGAGTCCAAGATATAAGTGATCATGATACATGATAAGCAGTTTTTTTTTTTGGTTGTACCATTGACAGTGCTAGTAATCTTAAATACCTGGAAATCTCAAATACTAAATTATGTTTAATAGTGTCAGTAGTTAATAGTTTTTATGTATGTTTTGATCCTTTGAAATGGGCAGTTTTTGCTATGTGTGTTTCTAGTTAACTGTTTCGGAAAAAATAATTTCACTTACTCATATATAACCAGAGCGCAGTTCTCCATACATTAGAATCATACCACTTTTGAGGTTGGAGAAATGAAATAAAGATAGTAATGTTCACTTATTTATTTTTTATATCCAATTTCCCCTCTCCCTTTGCCCTTTTGTAAATAATTTTGATACAGAATTATAATATTTTTCACAGTGGACTCTGGACTCAGACTAGTTTGGTCTGATTTCTGGCTTTAACACTTACTAGCTTTTGGCATTGGGAAGTCGTATTATCTACTATCTCTAAGACTCATTTGTCTTCATTTACAAAAATACTATTTTCTAGGATTAACAAGACTAATAGTGAATAAATGTTACTTCTGTTCCTATTCATGAATTTTAAATATGGATAACCATCCCCAGGTTATGTAATACATACTCATTATAAACATTTCCAAAATACAGAAGAGCACAGAGAGGAAAATAAATCACCTGTGATTGCACTTTCATTTTTGGTGTTAAAATTTTGATGTATAGATTTTTAAAAAATGTATCTTAAAAAAAAAAATATATATATATATATATATATATATCTCTTGTAGAATTTTTTCCTTCTCTTACCAACACACTATGTTTTTTCAGTTTATAATCCCACTGACAATATGTTGTCTTATTTGGTATAATCATGTTAAAAAGCAATTTCTTTCCACTTTGGTAAGCTTTATTTCAAATGGTATTTTTCAGTGTATTTGGTTCAGATTTTAGGAAACAGGAAATATGTTTATTTATCAATTTTGTTTCTTCATTAAATTCTTAGTACATTTTCTTGGCCTCTCCTCAGTAACCTTTCCCTAATTTGTTTAGGCCTTTCACATTATAAGTGCCTACTTGTTGTAGGCCCTACTTTGCTATGTGAGTGTGTAATGTTAAGGGCTGAATTGTGTCCCCCCAGTTCATTTGTTGAAGCCTTCACCTGCAGTACCTCGGAATGTGTGTGTATTTTGGAGATATGGCCCTTTTAAAGAGGCAGTTAAGGTAAAATTGGGTCATATGGGTGATCCCTAATCCAATGTGACTGGTTTCCTGATAAGAAAAGGAGATTAGTACACAGATATACACAGAGGAACAACCATATAAAGACTTGAGAGAACCCAGGAGACCTCAGAACAAAGAACCTCTGTCAAGCTACATTGATCTTCTAGCTTCCAGAATCATGACAAAATAAATTTGTGTTTGAGCTGCCTGGTCTGTGGTACGTGTTACAGCAGCCCCAGCAAACTAATATAGGGCCATAACCTTTGCTTATCATAATTTTGCGAATATTTTTGACTACTATGTTATTAAACTTTTAATTTTAGGTATGGAGTTAGTTTTTAGAGATATATAAACTTTCCTCTTTTGTCTCAAATTTAGGAAATCTTACATTTTATTTTAAATCTATATGTATGTCTAAAAAATCCTCATCCTCCATTTTTAAGTACTTACATTATGCAACAAAATGCAAAAGAAATAAAAAATTTTCATACCATTTGAAAGTTTAGTCTAAAGTTTGTTTATCATATTTCAGAATTTTGAGGATTTTAGAGGAGTACCAGTATAACAATTTTGGATAAAGACCTGTGAACAAAAGCTTTTTAGCTTGTTTTGCTTATTTACACAGCATTTTCTTACCACACAAAGTGATCATTTGTATAGTCTCCTTTTCTGCTGTGAATTATTGCAGTATCTGAGAGCTACTCTATTCCAATCCCCTTACCTATTCTATTTGGAACATTTCTTTTTTCTTTTGCTTCTAAAGAAGAAACTGGATAGGGCATTTTATAAGAAACCTACCAGTAGGATAGGATTATCTTTTTTTCCTGCAGTATTGTACCCTTTGAAATATATTCTTGGGTCCATTCTTTTCACAAACAGATGTAATAGCCACTTTGGTTGGTTTATTCTGTCTGGTTAACATTTTCATAACTTCATACTGAGGAATAATAGCACTTAGAATCCCTGCTGATTCTTCAGTGTTAATTAAATGATCAGTCTTCTCTTTCATCCATATCAATTAAGCCCATTAAATAACTTGAGAAACTTTTATATAACTTTTGGGTAAAAACTTTTCCCTCCAGGTGGGAGAGAAGTAGCTAGCATTAGATCAGTGTTCTTAATGAAAACAAGGAAAGCCTGTTTGAAGGTAGCAGGAAACTGCTCAGTGGACAAGAAATGTCGGAGCCAAAGCTTCGGAGAAGGAGGAATCTTGTGAAGGTGAACTTAACTTCTCCAACAACTTTTGCCAAGGGATACTGGCTAGTGTAGAGTGTGGGCAGAAAACTAGGGACTCAGACTTTAGGCCCAAGAGTACTGTTACTAAAAGACAGAAAAAACAGCACAGACCTTTTGGTGGAGACCTAGGGGAAATCTAGTATAAGAAGATTCTTGGCTCCCCACATTTGTTGAATTCCTGAGACTATCTGAGATGGTTAACTTAAAAATCTAAACAAAAAATATTTGAAAATAAAGGTGGAGCTTGTAGTGTTTTTTAAGACAAAAGTTAGATCTGTCATCCTCTTGGGACTAATCCCCTCAACAACAAACAAGCTTTCAGTTGAAACATGGGGAACAAGGAGGAAAAGGAAAAACTGGAGGTAGACTGAGTCTTATCAGAGCAGCAATTCATCTGTACTTAGTATTGTCCAGTGACCTAACAAAGAGAAGGATAAATCCTCTGTGGAGAAAGATAGTATCAGGAATCTCTGCAAGTTTTTATATAGAGAGATTACAGGATCCACCAAAAGGCAGGACTACATGACTACAACAAAAAGGAAAACATAGTAGAAACAGATCCAGAGATGGTCTACATCATTCACATTCATTTAGATAATAAGCACTTTAAATATTTAAAGTATGATTTGTATGTCAAGAAAATAGAGGAACTTTGGAGAGAATAGGTGAAAAAGAAGATTTTTTATTATTGGATATGTGTAAAGTGAAATAAAAATTCAAGACGGGAAAAAACAATGTCTAAAACAAAAAACTCACTAGATAGAAGATAGCTGTACTGGAAGACGAATAGAAAATATCCAGCCAGAGATAAAAGAGAATGGAGAAAATACAAAAGAGGTTTTAGAGACTTGCAGTATACACAAAAGGATCTGATATTTGAATTACCAGAAAGAAGAGAAGAAATTGGGCAGAAGTAATTTTGAAGAGAGAATGTACAGAATTTTCTAAAACTAGTATATCAACCCAGAGATTCGGGAATTTCTGTTTTTCCTAAGCAGGATAGATAAAAGAAAACCACACCTGAATGGTAAGATTGCTGAAAACCAAAGATAAAGAAAAAAAAATCTTGAAAGGAGTCTGAGAAAAAGGATCTGACCTTCAAAGGAGCCAATAGTAAGACTGATAGCAGATTTTTCAATAGAGACAATGGAAACCATGTTGAAGCTTTAGCAGCTAACCTAAAAATCTATAAATCCAGCAAGATATCCTTCAAAAACAGAAGTGAAAAAAAAAAATTTCCAGGCAAACAAAAGTCAAAAGAATCTGTTACCAGCACCCTTGGCTAAAAATTAAATAAATGAAAACACCAATAAAACAAATCAGCAACAAACTGAGGATTCTTTAGACAGAAGGAAGAATATCCCATTAAGATACCACTGACATGAAGAATAATGGAAAAGGTGAATTTGTGGGTAAATACAAATTGATACTGACTAAATATTAACTGAAAATAAAAATAACAGTATTACGTTTTATGGGACTTGAAAGAGAAAAAACAGTAAAGTGAAAGGTGAGGCAAGTAAATGAGGTTCAAGTGTCGAGTCTAGCATTGTTGAGGACATGGTAATAGTCTCTTTAGACTGTGATTAATTAATAACGTATGTTGTAATTTCAATGGTAACCATTAAAAAGTAGTTTTAAAATAGTAAACTTACTGAGGGGGGAAAATGGAATAATAGAAAGTAATTGGTTGATTCAAATGAAAGCAAAAAGGGTTAAAGAAATCTAAAACCGGCAGGTCAAAGAAAAAAAAAAAAGGTGATAGAAATAAATATGCATATTTGAACAGTAGATATATTTTCTGGAATTTTGTTAAAGAAAAATACCTTACTTTTCAGTCTAAAAAAGTAATGTAAATATAAATAGACAAAAATACATAACATGTTTTCATATACTTTTGTTTTTCTGACAGCTTCTTTGTGATATTGGCCATAGTGAAGAAAAATTGGGTTTTAACTATGAGGATATCATAATTTGGTAAGTATAGTTTAGTTCCCTCCCTCACCCCTCTGGGTTTTAGTAATTTCAGTTCTAGTAATTTTAAACTTAAAAGGATAGTATAGCACATTATATTTGATTTTGTAGAAACAGTTGTTTGAACATTAGAAAAATTCAAGATGTCCAATATTTTTGGTTATACTGATGCTTTGTAATTACCAAATATAAAGAATCAAAGCTAATGATGGGAAATACTTGGATTTGTATAATTTAAACTTCTAAATTAAACATGAAATTCACAGAAAAAAGTTCTTAAATTTTCCTAAGAAAAGAAGAACCTGTATGATTATCTCTAGGCCTCACTTTAAGACAAAGTGTGCTTATGGCAAACTTTATTTTCTCAAGTCCACCAACAGAGACATAATGTTATAATTTCATAGCCATCTTTTTAGTGTGCTTGGGAATTAAAATTTATATAGTCTGTGCCTACTGTCACAAAATATTGATTTAAACCAGTGATTCATTGAGGAGTGGAAGCAGGTAGGCAGAGGAGAATAGATTGTAGAGGCATATGTGATACACCTTGACAAAGGCATATTTAATTTCCCATTGTTTATATAAAATAAAGTACAGAAGGTAGAATAAAATAACATTTTCTTGATTAGTAAGAATGTGCTAAGGCAGCACAGATTAAAAAATAACAATATTAGTGAAGTTCCATGGCTGTTATAGTGAATGATTTTTATATATAAAATCACTAGTAAAGTTTTGCTTATTGCAACTGAGGGAGAATTTGGTACCATAATTTTATGTGTATTTGAAACTCATGTAGCAAAACTTTTTTTGTTTTTATGCAGTTTGCGGTTAGCTTTATTGAATGAAGCAAAAGAAGTGCGGGCAGCAGGGCTGCGAGCTCTTCGATATCTCATCCAAGACTCCAGTATTCTGCAGAAGGTGCTAAAATTGAAAGTGGACTATTTAATAGCAAGGTGATTTTCCTAGAGCTGTCTCTGTTTTTAAAATTATGTTTTAAGTTTTAACATACCTATTGTGAAGTGTACATATTTTTAGTGTAAAGCCTGATAATTTTTAGAGATATATACAACCAAGTACCCCATTATCCTGAATAAGAGTATTTTCCACATCCCAGTCAAGTTCCCCTGTGTCTCCAACCAGTAGTAAACATTATTCTGCCTTTTCCCATTATAAACCAGTTTTTCCTGTTCTTGAGCATCGTATATTGGAAAAATACATGGCTATTCTTTTCTTTCCTCAGTGTTATTTGTTAGAGATGTATCCGTGTTGGTTTTTTCTTTTAAGGCTGTGTAGTATTTCATGTTATGAATAGACTGTAATTTATTCCATTCTGTTGGTGATTTTCTGGTTTGTTTTCAGTTTTTGGCTATTTTGGATAAAGCTGCCCTGAATATTCTTGTAGGTAGACATATGCACTCATTTTTCTTAGGTATATATGTAGAAGTGGAACTGCTGGATCATAGGTTTATGTCTATTTAGCTTTACTACATACTACCAGTTTTCCATAGTGATTGTACCGATTAATATTCCTACCAACAATGTTTGAGAGTTCCAGTCTCTCTACATTCTCATCAACACTTGCTTTTAGTTTTTAATTGTAGACTTTCTGCTGTAGTGTTCATTGTGAGTTTCATTGTGGTTTTAATTTGCATTTCCCTAATGAGTAGTGATGTTAAGCACCTTTCATTTGTTTGTTAGTTATTTGAATATCCTCCTTGTCTTTTGCTCATTTGTAAATTGGATTATCTGTCTGTCTCATATAGGAGTTCTTAATGTTCCAGATATGATTCCTTTCAGGTACATGTCTTGACAGTATCTTCTCCAATTCATTCTGTTTTGCCTTTTCTCTTTTCCTATTAATAAAATCCAATTTTGTAGTTAATGCTCTTGGACTTTTTGGAAGATACTATTCTTTTTGTATTTTCTTCTAAAAGGTTTTATTCCTCTATATATGTTTAATTAGGTGTTAGGTCATGATAATTTTTATTTTTATGGATATGCAGTGCATTTTAACAGGATTTATTGAAAAGATTATCCTCTGTGTCTAGATTAGTGACACTTCTGTTGTAAACCAGATAACTGATAAGTATGGATCTGTTTTTGTGTTCCCTATTATTTAGTTTATTTGTCTATTCTTGCCTGTTTCTCACTGTTTTAATGACTACAGCTTGATAGTAAATGTTAATATCTGTTGGTATAAGTCTTCCAATTTTTCTTCCTTAAGACTGTTGGCTATTTTATGTTCTACATTTTCATATGAATTTTAGAATCAACTTGTCCATTTCCTTAAAACGTTCTGGGATTTTAGTAGTAATTGCATTGAAGTTCTAGATTAATTTGGGGTGAATTGATATCTTAATAACATTGACTATTCTAAGCCTTTATTTGTTTGGAACTTTAATTTCCACAGTATTTTGTAGTTTTCTGTGCAGAGGTCTTGCACATACTTGCTATGTTCATTCTAAGATATTTTTTTATGAGAGAATGTAAGTTAAATTTTTTCTTTTTCATATATTTCGCTGTTAATATATAGAAAAAGAATTGTGGGTTTTTATTTTTGGTTTTGGGTTTGGATACTAAACTCTTATCTAGTGATCTTGCTAGATTCACTTTTCAATTCTAATTGTATAAAAATTATTTTAGAGTTTCTGTGTACATAGCATTAATTGCAAATGATGACTGTTTTATTTCTTCCTTTCCAATCCTTGTATCTTTCTTTTTCTTGCCGTATTGCACTGGTTAGAATATTACACTGACTAGAAATAGTGATAGTGGACGACTTTGTTTTGCTCTTGAACTCGGGTTAAAAGTATTCAGTACTTTGCCGTTATTTATGATACTTGCTGTAGGCTTTTTGTGGATTTATATTCCTTGTTTGCATTCCTAAAGTAAACATCACATGTTAACTGTGTTTTGTCCTTTTTAAATATTAACTGAATTTGGTTTGTTAATATTTTGTTGAAGATTTTTGTAGCTAAGTTCGTGAGAGGTATTGGCCTATATTTTTCCATTCTTTTAATGTCCTTGTTTAGTTGTGGTATCGGGATTTTTTTTTTGCTTTGTAAAACAAGTAGGGAAATATTGCCCTATTATATTTTCTGGAAGAATTTATGCAAGATGGGTATTGTTTTTTTTCCTACATGATTAGTAGAATTCACCAGTGAATCTGAGCATAGGGTTTTCTTTTTTAGTAAGTTTTTTTGTTTTTTAAGATTTTATTTATTTGTCAGAGAGAGAGAGAGCACAAGCAGGGGGAACAGCAGGCAGACGGACAGGCTCCCCACTGAGCAAGGAGCCTGATCCGGGACAAGATCCCAGGATCCTGGGATCATGACCTGGGCCGAAGGCAGATGCTTAACCTACTGAGCCACCCAGCCATCCCTTTTTAAGGAAGTTTTAAGATTATGGATTCCATTTCTTCAGCGGATATAGTACTATTCAGATTTTCTCCTTTTGTTAGTCATTATATATTTTGAAGCTTTGTTACTACGTTCATATTTAGAATTGTTAAACCTTCACATTGGGCTAATCTTTTTATAGTTATGAAATGTCCCTTTTTATTCCTAGTAATACTTCTCTTGAGTATGCATATTATCTTAATATGGCTATACTCACTTTGATTTAGGGCTTGCAGGATAGATCTTTTACCATCCTTTTACTTTCTATTGTTTTTATCCTTACATTTAAGTTTCTGGCCTAAAAACATCATATAGGTTTTTTGTTTGTTTTTAAATCTAGTTTGACTGTCTTTGTCCTCTAATTGGAATATTTAGACTGTCTAGTGGATTTTTATATGCACGGTCTGTGGGCTTTATGCAGTGTAATGATTTGTATGTTTATGAGTCTGTTCATCTTGTGGTTAATTTTCTCATATATTTGAGTTTGTATTTTGAGATTTGTCATATCTGTTCTTTGTTCTTATGTATCTCCTGTTTCTTTTGGAATAGTCAAGAATTTATTTTCCTCTTCTATTAATATTTTGGTTATAAAATCTTTTCTTCTTTTAGTAGTTGCCCTAGAGATTACAACTCATATCCTTGATATTAAGGTTTAGTATTTTATTACAACCAGAGCAATCCAGGAAAACTCTTATAGTTTATATCATTTCCCCTCTGTTTTTTGTATTATTGCTATAGTTTTTATTTCTACATGTATTTGTAGCCCTACAAGATAGTTTTGTTATTGTTTTAAAATGGAACTATTGTTTTATATTTTTAAAGATTTATTTATTTGAGAGAGAGAGAGCATGGGGGAGGGGCAGAGGGAGAGGATCTTAAGCAGGCACCCTGCTGAGTGTGGAGCCCAGTGCAGGGCTCCATCTTACAACCCATGAGATGATGACCTGAGCCGAAACCAAGAGTCAGACACTTAACCTGCTGAGCTACCCAGGTACCCCTAAACTGGAACTGTTGATATTTACCTACATTATTTACCCGTTCCAATATCCTTCCTTCTTGCATTTGTACATTTTTATTCATCTTGCATCACTTTCTGTTTAATAAATTTCCTTTACTGTTTCTTTTAGTGCTGGTCTACTTGAGATGAATTCTATCATCTTTTTTTTTTTTTTTTTGTCTGTAAATGCTTCTATTTTGCCTTCATATTTGAAGGCTGTTTTTATGACTAGTTCCTAATTTTTAATGCTTTAAATAGGTTATTGTCTTCTGGACTTTTTTTTTTTTTAACCTGGGGAACAGTAAGTAGTCTCTTCTTATTGCTTCTTTGAAGTGATGTATCTTTTTCTTTTCTGGCTACTTTAAAGTTTTTCTTCTGTTGTATTCATTCATTCTTCTCTCATACCCTCTCATACTCCAGCTATATAGTGTAGAATCTGTTCACTGTTCCTCAAGTCTCTGATGTTCTTACTGTATTCTCAGTTTTTTTTGTTAATCTTTGTGCTTTAATGTGTTTACTTTCTACTCATGTGTATTTTCCCTCCATCCTGCTATTAAATCATTCTCTTCAATTTTTAATTTCAGTTACTGTATTTCTATGATTTGTTTTACTCTTATTTAAAGATTCTAGGTCGCTGCTTTATTTCTCCATGTTTCCTTCTATTTACTTGATCATATTTATCACAGTGATTTATAGCCTTCTTATGACAACAACATGTGAATCACCTGTGTTCTATTTCTATTGTCTTTTTCTTTTCTTGGTTTTTAGGTACTTGACCCTTTGTTTATTTTAAAGCATACCTCCTATTATTACATGATTGGATGTAAATATTGCATATTCAGAATCTTTGGCTCTGGATCATGCTGTTTTCCTCTTAAGAGAGTTAAGGTTTATTTATTCTAGAATGTTGGCTTATTGATTTTTGTTAAAAAGTTTAGTTTTAGCTTTCCCTTTGATCTACGGAGTGGCTCTTTGGGATCTCAAATGACAGTTGTAGCTGTTTAGCAGAACCTCTTCACCTTGACCAGCCTTGAGCTATAATATTATCTAGAGTGTGACGTACCTGCTCAAATTTCTGCTTACTTCCTTAGCTTCTTGGCATTAGCTTTTTGTTTGGTTCCTTGGATTTTTACTTTGTTTTTGCACAACATAGAGATTGGCAAGTGCCTTGGAGAGGAGATTGCATGAAGATTTGCATTCACTTTCCCATGTTTCCTTTTCTCTGGAATTTTTTTCCCTCAAGTCACAGCCACATTGACTGCACTAAAGTTCAACCTGTCTCTCCAGTCTAGAAAGACTTTTGCTTTCTGCTGGGACTCTGTTCCCCTAAAACCGTTGACACGTGCCCCTAGGGACAAAGCCTGGTTGGATGTGGAGCTTGTGCATCTCTTCCCAGGGATTATTATCCATTGCCCTTTTAACAGTTTTTAAAAAGTATTTTGTGGGGCGCCTGGGTGGCTCAGTCGTTAAGCGTCTGCCTTCAGCTCAGGTCATGATCTCAGGGTCCTGGGATCGAGCCCCGAGTCAGGCTCCCTGCTTGGTGGGAAGCCTGCTTCTCCCTCTCCCACTCCCCCTGCTTGTGTTCCCTCTCTCGTTGGGTCTCTCTCTGTCAAATAAATAAAATCTTAAAAAAAATAAAAATTAAAAAAAAGTATTTTGCTTACCCTTTACAGTTGTTTTTGGCTAGAGGGGTGGTCTGATCCAGCCTCTGGTGTGGCCACAAATTGAATTGTTTATTTCTTAATAAAATTGTTTTAGATTTAATTGTATTCAGATAGAAGAAATGCTTTTTGAGTAGCAAACTATATGTATTGATTAGTGTAGTGAACTACCTAAACATAAGTAAAAATTAATTATTTGGCTACATAAACCAAAGACTCTTAAGAAATTGAGTAATTTAATAAGTTTTACAGAAAGATGTCAGTTAAGTGATATCTGAGCATTAATTTTTGAAGTGCATTTAGATATTAAATTACATTTCATAAAATAGAATTATTGTGGCTAGTATATAAGACTTTTAACATAGTCGTAATATATAAAATGTAGGCCCTGGTTAAAATCACTTTTTTTAAGTAGGCTCCACGCTCAGTGTGAAGCCCAACATGGGGCTTGAATTCACAACCCTGAGATCAAGACCTGAGCTGAGATCAAGAGCCAGTTGCTCAACTGACAGCGACACCCTTATGCCCCTAAAAATCACATCTAAACTAAAATATAAGCTGGAAATGTTTTTCTTCACAATTTTTATAAAATTGTAAATTTTTATCAAAGATAGGTGAATTCTTTTTTCAGTAGATTTCTAATACTTGGCTTTATAAATATGTTTATTATTTCTCTATTGATGTATATAATTCTGTAAATTACTATATTTTCTGGAGTTTTAAATGAAATAGTTTTGAAATGCTTTATTATAGCAAATATTTATCAGAACTGGATGTAAGTTAACTAAATAAATGTCTGCTGGTGTTAAAATCATGTTAAAATTTTAAAATACCATATTAACATTATGAAGATAGGTCTGATCTGGTGGTATTATACAAAGAAATTGTTTAATAAGATTTTTATCAATAACTTAATATTTTGTGTATTATTTAGGTGCATTGACATACAGCAGAGCAACGAGGTAGAGAGGACACAAGCACTTCGATTAGTCAGAAAGGTACGATCTATGTCTGAGAGAGAAGGTAGATTTTTGGTTTTTATGTTAAGTATTTTACATTTTTAGATTTAGACTGTTTTGTGAAATCTTTATATTAAAATTTAAAGGTTAAATTTTCATTAAACATTTTTGTTTGATAAAATTATATGAGGTAAATAGGTTTGTTAAGCTTAGAGGTGAGCATAAATGTGTAATTATTCTATGTGACTGTGTACAGCTAGGACAATATTTTTTAATAAAATATTCACTGTAAAGAATACAGTGGTTTCCCCCCATCCTTCACCCCCACCTCTTATCCAGAGTTTTGGTTACCGTGGTTTTCCTTCTGCCATATGGTTAGAAGATCTGTAATGTTATGTCACAATACCTACATCATCACCTCACTCATCCCATCACATAGGCATTTTATCATCTCACCTCACCACAAGAAGGGTGAGTACAGTACAGTAAGCTATTTTGAGAGAGAGACCCCATTCATATACCTTTTATTATAGTATAATTGTTCTATTTTATTATTAATCTCTTGCTGTGCCTAATTTATGAATTAAACTCTATCATAGATACGTATGTACAGTAAAAAAATAGTATACTTGACCTTTGAACTTCATGGGTCTACTTATATAGATTTTTTTCAGTAAACAGAGTACAGAACTGTAAATGTATTATCTCTTATGATTTTCTTTAGCTTCCTTTATTGTAAGAACATAGTATATAAAACATATACAAAATACATGTTAATTGACTGTTTATGTTACTGGTAAGGCTTTCAGGACTTTTAGTATAGTTTATATATAGAGTTCAGTACTGTCTGTGGTTTCAGTATCCACTGGGGGTCTTGGAACATATCCCCCATGGATAAGGGAGTAGGGAAGAACTACTGTATTTCTTCCCTTAGTAACCATGTAAATGAAATTACTGCTTTTTTGATATATTATTGGAGAAAAAGGATTACTTGTTCCCCACTCTACTTTTCTCTTATTTGCATGCTTGGAGTTAATGCCATTAAATGGACGTGGCAAAGAGTTACAAGCTGGTTGTTTTGAAGACAAATTTAGATATAGTCCATAGGCAATTTCAATAAGCAGTTCAGACTGTTGTACAGGATAGGTCAGAATCTAAATTCTGCAATAAAGGGTGTTAGGGATAACCCATTAATGCTTCTAATGATATGTTTTCAAGGAATTTTTTGTTGTTATTTAATGTGATACCCTAATGGCCAAACAATTAACTAAGAGTTAACTTGGTTAGGACACAGTTATGTAAGAATTTTTTCATGTTTCATCCTAAACATTTATGAGACGTATGCAGTATATAGTTGTTTTAATGTAAAAACATCTAAAATTAAAGTATTTAAAAAAATTTTTTAACCCTTCTCCTCTTTACCCACCTTTGAATTCAGTGCATACTTCAGAATGGTAGAGTGTTGAATTTGTACATTAACTAGATCTCCTCTTTTTCTTTTTTCTTCCATTTGTCCAGCTTGGGGTTAGTAATAATACCCACAGGTGAGCATAGTAAGGAAGAGGTAAATGGATGAATGTCTTAAAAGAAGTTTACAATTCTAGTAAGAGTGATATTGAAGATAGATTACAATATTTTTGTTGCAGGTAAAGTGTCATATTGGGACTGTGATTTGACTCCTCAAATTTAAATTTAAAAATTAGATTTATGGTTTTTACTTATTCATAGTCTCTCCTACTGCCATGATTTTGAGAATTCAAGATAAGAAAATAAAATTGTTTCTGAAGAACCTAGAATAACTTTCTGGCTATTTGAGGTATATATGTCAATATTTATCATACTAGGAATTATAAGTGAGCAATTAAAATATATATTAGCATATTAAAAATAACCCATCACATATAAACATATTTTTGTAAAAATATATTTTCCAAAAAGAAACTTAACAGAATGGCATTATTTTAGATCTTTGCAAATGTCTTTAGTGTTTGTCTTGATGGAAGGTAGGAGCTGGATTGTCATATTTGCTTCATTCAATCTGTTGTGATTTCATGTTCAGTGGAGCCTCTGGTAAACTTCAGTATATACTTGTGAGAGACGGAGTGTAAAAAAGACAAATAATGTCTTTGTATTATTATTAAAATAATTTTAACTTCACAGAATCTCTGAAAATATCCTAGAGACCCTTGTTTCCTGGACCAAACTTTGAAAATTGCTGCCCTAAAAATTGCATTCAGAAGTAAAGACAATTCCAGATAGATTCAAGCAATTAAATTCAGCTTCTTTGAGTTATTCAGTAAATATTTTATTTCAGTTTTATAAAATGTTTTGCAATGATACAATTTAGTTTATAAAACAGCCCAGTAAAAGTAAACACACCCTTAACAATTTAGTAATGCTATTACAAAAATATTATTTTCTTCTAAAATACAGACTAATTTGAGGCAGATAACATTTGTGAATCCAAGAGCAGGAAAATTGCTTATACCTGATGGTAGGATGTAGGCTCAGAGGAAGAATTGCGGTGCAGGGTTCCTCCTTGGTTTAGCTAACAGCAGATAGAGTTAAAAGGGAAGCATACTTGCTGAATGAATAGTGGCCTCTATTGGTTAGAGGAACTGTAATTTCAGTAGTATTTTTAACAAGCAAAGCACATATTTCCTTTTTTCAGCAACATCTTGGCAACTGAGCTAGTAGAAATTAATGTTAATCTTATAATGGCTAGGTCACTGTGGTTTTTTTTTTTTGTATGCATTTTAAAAGTTTTAAAATTTTCTATTGAAGTATTAATCTTCTTTATTTTAAAGAAAAGGAAGAAATATTTGTTGCTTTAGGATAACTTACTCCATGAGTAATTAAGGAATATTCATGTTATTTTTCCTTCTCTTTCTCCTGTCTCATTCATTTGGAAGATTTTTTGTTTGTGTGCTCATTTTCAGTGTCTATGATTTTATTTTTTTTTCCCTTTCTCTCCAATCCAGGGAATCCTTCTTGATTTTTGTCTCTCTCATTTTCTATATAATTTTCCCACTTTTCAGCTTACTCTTTTTTTTTTTTTTTAAGATTTTATTTATTTATTTGACAGAGAGAGATAGCGAGAGTAGGAACACAAGCGGGGGGAGTGGGAGAGGGAGAAGCAGGCTCTCTGCAGAGCAGGGAGCCCGATGCGGGACTCGATCCCAGGACCCTGGGATCATGACCTGAGCCGAAGGCAGACGCCGAACGACTGAGCCACCCAGGTGGCCCTCAGTTGTTACTACTCTTTATCCAGTTGAAATTATACTTACTACCTGCCTAATTTAACCATTAATTTTCCTCATATGTTATTTATTCATGTAATAAGAGATTAACATAACACAGATTTTTTATAGTTGAAAGGGATTCATTTAGGGAATCACTTGCCCTTGATACATAGGATTATAAATCCAGTAACATCCAATACAAATTAATTATCCCTACCCCAGAGACCTGTTATTTTGAAATTGTTCATCTACCAGTCTTTATTAGTCATACATAGTTATTAACTATGTAATTTGTTTTCTAATTTCCACACTGAAGATATGTTAGCTATTTTCAGTATTCCAAATATATTATTGCCAATTAATTTAAAGTAAGATTCATCCAGAGTTTTTTCACCAGAAATATACTATTTGCATCATACTTTTTGAAATATTAAAAATAGATTATGGATTACTAACTTTACCTTTTGGCATAGCAACAAGTGATGGTAGGAGATAGGAAGATTATTAGGCATCTGTTGCAGTAAAGTGAGAAAGAATGAGGACCCAAGTTAGAGTTTGATGGGAGAGAGAATGTGGTTAGTGAGGTAAATTGGTAGGACAGGACTTGGTGGCGATTATATGGGGAAGAGTCAGGAATGGAATTGTACAGTAAGCGTGTTGACAGCTGTTTTTACCACTGATTTCCTTTGTCTAGGTACTGAAAAGTTGTATAAAATATAGTTCCTATTTGAGAGGAGCTTAATGAGAAACATTAAATCTTGTCATTTAATTGATTTATAGTCTGAACTATTAGAAAAAAAGCCAACATTTTTCCATAGTAACAAATATTAACATTTATTGCATCAGTTATTCGTTACACTAACCCTTTGAAATGTTCATATGAGGAAGAAGAAGAGTAAATTTGATGCCTGGATCTTACAAATGTTCTCTGGTTATAAACACCTCAGTCTGAACAAAATAGCTTTTAAACGTGTATTATGAAGTAAATAACTTCTTTTTCTGATTCCTCCTTGTTACAGATGATTACTGTGAATGCTTCCTTGTTTCCTAGCTCTGTGACCAACTCATTAATAGCAGTTGGAAATGATGGACTTCAAGAAAGAGACAGAATGGTCCGAGCATGCATTGCCATTATATGTGAACTAGGTCAGAATTTTTTTCAAGTAATAAAAATGAAGCATTTTAGGAAGTGTATATATAAGAATGTAACATTTTTTAATGTGAACTGGGTCAGAATTTTCTCCAAGTAATAAAAATAACAGTGTTTTAGAAAGAATATAAGAATATGACATTTTAAAATGCCTTTCATGAATGAATTCTTAGTTATTGCTACAAAGATACGAAAAATTTTGTTTATAGGAATATAGAAATTGTCCAGATTCTAGTGTTTAGAATAAAATTGCTTTAAGTCTGGTTCTCTCAGACATTAGTTAACCACACAATATCTTAATATCGGTTAAAAAACAAACAATCATACATTAAAAAAAAATCTAAATGCAAAAGGATTAGAGTTAAATGGGGAAAAAACAGGGAAAAAATGGATGAGCATTTATCTGATCACTGTAAGGAAAAGGAGTCTTGAATTATCAAAAGAAATAAACAGATTTCAGCAGCTATAGATTTTATTATAAGGAGAAAAAAAACATGCAGTGCTGGAACAAACAAAAAATAAGTGTTACAAACATGATAGGTAAATAACTTATTTATATACAGATCAATAGGAAAAATAATTCTCAAAGAAATATATGGCTAATCAACAAATTTAAAAAGTTCAACCTCACTTAAAACCAAAAAATATAATTTTAAATGACAAGAGAATTTTTTTCCCACCGAAAGTAGAGCTGATGTAGGTTACATTCAGTCTTGATATAATAAACAAGTTAATAACAAAATCATAAACTAAATGTTAAGAGAATCAAACCCTATTATTGAAGATTTAAAGGTACTGTTCACAGTACATACTGATTTATAGACAAAGTCGGAAAGTTAAGGACATTTTGAAAATAAATTTGACATGTCAGTGTATGGGATGCTTGGAAAGCTATACTCAGAGTTAACTTCTTATCATAAAAATGCTTTTATACTTAAGCAAAAAACAATGAAAATAAGTGTATAAGCCCAAGAAATCGAAAAAGAAGAAAAAAAAATCAATTTTAAGGTAGGCAGGAGGAAAGCAACAATGAAATTAAGAGTCCTAATTAGAGAACAAGACTGATTATTTAAAATATTTAAAATTATTTAAAATTTAAATAATTTTAAATTATTTAAATTAATCTATGTTAGTTGGAGAGAAACATACACGGGTACACGAACATACACTAATGTTTGAAAAACATGAAAGTCCGAGAAAGAAAAGATTAATATACAAATGAGGAAGAAAAAATAATAGTTTTTTAAATTCTGAAATAATTTTTATAAATATTTGAAAATCTTATTGAAATGAATGGGTTTTCAGAGAAAATTTTATTTCCAGTTGACTCAAAAAGTAGAAAACACAATAGATAAAAACCATAAAAGTACTTAATGAAATAATTGCCTCCAAAAAGACTCATTCAGGTAGTTTTGTCTTAAAATTATTTCAAGGAACAGAGTTCTTATGTACTGTAATCTAATTGAAAGTATTAAAATATGGAAACCTACCAATTTTTTAATGAAACTATCATTTTATATGCATATACACATAGATATACATACGCACACACATACCTATACACAGATATGAAATAAAATAAAAACCCTTTGTTAACATACTAGAATATTTATTTCAGATCAACACTGTATTATTCTTAATGGTGGATCTGTATAAATACTATAAACTTTTAATTCCTAATTAAATTAGTATTGCTAAAAACTTTCAGTCAGGTTAGTAAATTAAAATAAATGAAGTTTACATATTGTATATGATATATCTAGAAAACTGAATCAACTGAAAAACAGAACTTAAGTAGTTCAGGACAGTGAAAATGGGTGAAAATACAGATTTGATTAGATTTATTTTGTGTTTCAGCAATAAAATCAGTAAATACATTAGAGAAAAAAGATACTATTTTCAAAGTAGAAAAGAAAACTATATATAACAAGTAAAACTTGATAAGAAACATGTATGACTTGTGCATGTGTCTTGGAGGAGTACTTTTGACACTTTTGAATTTCATGTCAAGTTGATTCTTAATAACACAGAAATGAGAACATTGATTGTGTAGTGGAGGGGATACTGATTGAAAAGTGGTATGAGGGAACTTTCTAGGATGATGAAATTTCTGTATCTTGATTGGATATTGGTTACAAGAGTATAAAAATTGTTCAAAATTTATTGAACTGTACCATTAAGATCTGTAAATTATACTATAAGTAATTATATATACCTCAATTTAGAAAAAAACAGAAGAAACCTAATTCTAAAATTAGGCTAGAATAAACACGAGAGATCCAACCATGAAAACATTTTTGAGAAACAATAATGGAAGGGAAGGGAAAGGGTTTTTTTTTTTTTTAATGTATTTTTACAAAAACTATTAAGCTAGGTTATTAAGAGAGAGAAAAATGAAAAGGAATTGAGTTGCAGACTCTGGTATATAGAAAACTTTAGTATATCAAAAGGATAAAATCAGTTTGGGAAGCATGCTGGGATAATTGATTAAACATTTGGAAAACAGTTGTATTTATCAATATTAAGCAAAACTCAATTTCCTGACAGATTGAAAACTGGAATGTTAATCATGAACTCATTTAAAGCACACAGTTGTATGTGTGGGCATGGTCAGAAAATGCCTGATCTTTGAAGTAAGGGAGGAATTTCTGAGTTTAAAATCTGAGATTAAAAATCTAAAGTTAAATTGCAAAGCAGATAAAAGCTGTGAAATAGACGAACGGCTAATATATCCACATTAAATGAGCAACTTCTTGCAATTGATAGGAAAGAAGAACCATTCCAGTAAAATATGGACAAAGGATATAAAAAAAGCAATTCAGTGACTTTAAAAAAAAAAATTAGGGTTTTGGGAAGAGTATATTCAATGACTCTTATTTAGATACATTTTATCCATGTTTTAAATGTCTTTGACTAGAAAGTTTTTCAAGTCAGAAAGGAAATTGTTTCAAGATAAAATCCCAGATTTCTGATTACTTTTTATTATTTATCCCCTATAAACTTTATTAAGTTTTTCTTTTTTATTTTAGCACTTCAGAATCCAGAGGTGGTGGCCCTTCGAGGTGGACTAAACACCATCCTGAAAAATGTGATCGATTGCCAATTAAGTCGAATAAATGAGGCCCTCATTACTACAATTTTGCACCTCCTTAATCATCCAAAGACCCGACAGTATGTGCGAGCTGATGTAGAATTAGAGGTAGGAACTTTAATATCCTTTTCTAGCTTTACAGTATGGCTTTAAATACATACATAGTCTTACTTCGAAATTTTAAGTTAACTATTAGATGCAGCACGTTAATTATCAAACAAATTAATTAAGACTGACTTATCCCCAGCAATATTTTATAGCTTATTCAGTTTGGACTGAATTGAAAATATTATTCTCAAGAATAGTTCATCAACATGTAAAATGAAGTTTATTTTTTTATTATCTGTGAAAACTTTATTAAGCCAATTAAAGCACAAGTAAGGTTGCATATACATTTACCTACTTAAGAGAACCATTTCTTTTTAAGAACTTTAGTACGTTAATTGTGTGAATAGCTCCCGCTAATTATATACTATTTATTTATTAACCCATGCTAAAATTCTCTGGTTAGAAGCACTTGTTAGCAACTAATGACCATATATACTTGAAAGAAATAGAATACAGATCTTTCTTTTTAAAATACACTATAATTTAATTTTTTTTTTTTTTTTTTACTAATTCAGTGTTTTTTTATAGTCTAAAATAATAAGACTGCCATGTACTCTTTTTTATAATAAAGTGTGTAGTGGAGGTTGGAACAGAATTACCGCAAACTAATCTTACAGTTTTTCTGTGAATGTACTACATTGTTGTCCATTGCAGATGCCATTCAGAGTAAGATTAAACCAAGGTTTTGTTTATATTTGGGTATGAAATTATGCAAAGTATAAAGTACAGTATTGTTCTCTAGCGTGTATGTCTAAATCATTTTATGAAATTTGTCTTAAATCTCATAGTTCTGGTTTTATTAGGGCCAGTAGAAGTATTTGAGATTATAAAAGTGACAGCTTTTATCATTAACTAATAAATAAGTACAATTTTCTCCTCAGTAAGTGATTTCAAATACAGTCATTATTTATGGGAGTCTATTGGGAATAAACTAGCATTTTTGATATTTTATCATATGTTTAGTGTAAGTTTTTTTTTCTTTTAATCAAGTAGAACTATAATTTTAGGATTGGTGAGATGATTACAATAAAGGAAGATAATATGTATAGGCCTGTTTTTTATTCCTATGTAATTATAAAGCAGATTAGCAAAGCCTTTATTAAGTAAAAAAAAAAAAACCTCAAAAGAATATGGTAGGCATTTAAGTACAGTAGTGTCTTTGCTTATATCTGTTTCTTTAAAACCACAAATGTTTGTTCTTTTCTCCTTTAAGAAGATCCCCCCAGAATAGCATAGTGATTTAGAGCAAAGACTTTGGGCTATACAGATCTGGTTTTGATTTTTTTGCTCTATGACCTACTAGCTTTATGACTTGGACAAGTTATGAGACTCTCTTGGACCCATTTTTTCTTAGGTAAAATGAAGGTCATGGTTTTCACCTTAAAGAATTATTGTGAACAATAAATAACAATAATAATAGTAGTAGTAATACCACCAGCTAACACTCATGTAACGCTTATAATGAGTTATTATTTCCGGGTTCTTTACATATGTTAATTCTAATCTACATAAAATTCTAATCTAGGTACTTCAGTACCTAGCACATAGTAAATATTCAACAAATACTGGTTACCTTGGATATTATTCTTGATCATCAACTTTAATATCATCATCTTCATTATATAGTCTGCTAAGAGAGCATTGTCCTCGTTTTTATTATATTTTACAAATTTTGATTCCAAATTCATACTTTGATTTCCATTTCTCCATACAAAGGAACTATTTTCAGTGCTGCTATATCTGTTGTTAGGCCCAAATCTTCCTCCTCTTAAAAAATCCCTTTTTAAATTTACCCTGGCTTTTATTTCTGCTATCTGTGATATGCTTTGACCTCAGACAGGAAAATGTGTGGATATAATACAATGTTACCAGAATAGACAGTCTGTAAGGGTTGTAAATCAATTGTAATTTTTTATAGTAATTTTTAAAAACTGTATCTTTTAAAGTTACACTTCAGAGTAGAATAAGGTAGTTCATAGCATCTGCTATGGAAACTAGAAAAGCGGAATAATTATGAAAGTCATATGTTTAAAGCAGTGTAGAGCTGTGAAAGCAGTAAGGGCCAGAGAGAGTGAAATTTGCGAGAGGGAAGATTCTTTGAGAGTTGCCCTGAATATCTACAGATGCCCTTGGGGGCATTTGCAGATTTGGGGCACAGGCTAAAGGTTAAGAACATGATGTGGGCCTAGTAGACCAGAGTATTTTGCAGTAATGCAGGTATGGTAAGCCCAGAGATAAGAAAAGTCCCTAGACTAAGTCTGATGTACCCCTTTAGGTATTTGCTGAAACAAGACTGTGCAGGGCAAAAGCCAAGGTGTCAAAACCTGAGGAAAGCACAGTGGAATATGCTGTAGTCCCCAGTGCATAGAATGCAAAGGCTTTGTAGGAGGGGCCATGGGCAACAGTTGAAAGGCCCGAAAGAAGTAGTGAATTTACACTGGTTATATGCAATTACTATTTTCCTTGGGGCCATTTATTGATCAATATATAATTGGAAAAACTGAAAATCCCAGTAGGCCTTTGCTGGGATCAGAAAAACCAAAGGAACTTTTGGCATTTGTATGGTACTAAAATGACAGAACTGGGTATTTCATAGCTGATTTCTTGTTCTTGACATATCCCAAATTCTGAAGCTTTTCTGGATGGGTAGCTAAGATTTAAATTCAAAACTCAAGAAATATATAGAAAAGATTCCCAGTTTCTCATTGCTAAGGAGAAAAATATTTGCTAAGCTCTCTATTGAAAGCCCTGGAAGACTATACTTAAGAACACAGGAAAACCAAAGGTATGCTCGGTCTTCTCAAAATTACAATGTAGTCTCAATTTAACACAGTTGGTGATAAGGATAAGATGATCAGCCCCCCCCCCCTTATTCTACCTAACAGAGGAAAGGATAAACCATTTCTGATGGAGGTAACATCATTTGGAACCTTTTATAATATTCACAGTGTCTGACATTCACTTATAAATTAATTTGATTGAATGTCATGCAAAAAGATATGACCATTTGACTAAACACCCAAAAGAAAAACATTCTATAGAAACATGCCCACACTGTGCTCGCTTCGGCAGCACATATACTAGAAACATGCCCACAGGTAATCCAGATAGTGCAGGTAGAGGGAAAGACTTTAAAACAACCATGTAGGGTGCATGGGTGACACAGGCGGTTAAGCGTCTCACTCTTGGTTTCAGCTCAGGTCATGATCTCAGGGTTGTGGGATCGAGCCCCACAGCACAAAGTCTGCTTAGGACTGTCTCACCCTCTCTCTCTGCCCTTCCCGTCCTGTGCTCGCTCACATACTCTCTTTTTCTCTCACTCTCAAATCTTAAAAAAATAAAATAAAACAACCATGCTTCATTTGTTCAGGAAAATGAAGAAAAAAAAGGAAGAAAATAGATGAAATAATGGAGAATTTGACTAGATAATTGAAATACACAGATGATTTCAGTGGAAGTTCCAGTACTGAAAAATATAATACATGAAATTCTGAACTCAATTAAAAATTAATCTTGGACAAGAAGATATTAGTACATTAGAGGAAAAGTCAATAAAAATATCCAGAGTAAAGCAGAGAGGGAAAAGAAAGAGATGAATAGAAGACAACAAAGGTGATGAAACATAATTTTGTCTTTGGAAAAGAAAGAGAAAATGGGCAGAAGCAAATATCCAAAGAGACAATGGCCAGAACTTTTGTTTCTAAAACTGATGAGACTTCATGCTCACAAAGCTCACAAAACTCCAAATAGGATAATACAAAGAAAACATGTAGGCACATCATGGTAAGATTGTTGAAAACCAAGATAAATAAAAATCTTGAAAATAGCTCGGGGGGGGGGCGGGAAACCATATTACTTTCCAAAGAAACATGTCTGATAGCTGATGCCCAACAGAACTCATGGAAACTAGAAGATAGTAAAGTGTCATCTTTAGAGCACTGAAAGGAAAAAAATGCCAGCCTAACCCAGAGAAAATGTCTTTCAAAAACAAAGGTAAAATAAAAGCTTTTTTGAGACTAAGAAAAAAAAAGACCAAACAGAATGTAAAGAAACACTACTCTTGGGAAGCCTGGGTGGCTCAGTTGTTAAGTGTCTTCCTTCAGCTCAGGTCATGATCCCAGGGTCCTGGGATCGAGCCCCACGTAGGGCTCTCTGCTCCGCGGGATGCCTGCATCTCCCTCTCACACTCCCCCTGCTTGTGTTCCCTCTCTCGCTGTATCTCTCTCTCTCTCTGTCAAATAAATAAATAAATAATCTTAAAAAACAAACACATACTACTCTTTCTTGGATTACTTGTCTTATGTCAGGAAGACACTAAAACGGCCTAAGGGGAGGTACCTGTGCGGAGGAGCTGAACTCTTCCTGACAATTAGCACATTGTGAGTGAACCATCTTGAAACAGGTCCTCCAGTCAAGTCTTCAGGTGACTGTAGCCTTGACCAATATTTTGACTGCAATCTTAATGAGGGCTCCTAAACCATAACTGCATAGCTAAGCCTCATAGATTCCTGACTCACAGGAACTATATGAGATAATAAATATTTATTGTTTTTCTCATTTATTGAGAAATGAGGCACACAAAGAATAAAAGAGTAAAGGGAGTCCTCAGAGGGAAAATGATCTAAGACAAACAAGGAAATGCAGGAAGGAATGAATAGTGACAGAAAAGGCAAATATATGACTAAATATAAAAGAATACTGATTGTCGAAAGCAATTTTTAATAATGTCTTATGTATTTTAAATTATATTTAATATTAAAAATTAGACCACAATAATGCAGTAGGCCTGGCGGGAGAGTTGGCAAGTGAGATTTTAGTAGTTAGAAGTTTAAAATGAGTGACTTTATTAGCAAGATTGCTGAATACAAGGACAATACACCAAATAACTTGGATTTTTTTATACTAGCACTGAAAGGAGAAGGTAATTTATAAAATAGAACCACTTAGTAATGTTCAAAAGTAAGCAAAACTAAGTCATAGTTTTAAAAGTCAGGATAATAATCTTGGGGTAGGTAGTGACTGAATCTAAAGAGGGAATAAGGAGGCTTTAAGGAGGCTGATGTTTTCTTCATCTGGTGCTAGTTACAGGAATGGGTTTAGTTTGAGAAAATACACCAAACCTTACATTCATGGTTTGTGCAGTGTTTTATATATATGTTATACCTCAATTTAAAAGTTCAGAAATTCAATTTGTACATTAAAAAAATCACTCAAATTGGGCGCCTGCGTGGCTCAGTCTGGTCTGCCTTCAGCTCAGGTCATGATCGGGGGTCCTGGCATTGAGGCTGCATCTGGCTACTGGGGAGCCTGCTTCTACCTCTCCCCTTGCTCCTCCCCCCGGCTCATGCTCTTTCTCTCTCTCTCTCTCTCTCTCTCTGTCTCTCTCTGTGTCAAATAAATAAAATCTTAAAATAAAAAAATTACTCGTATATTCCTTGGTGATGAGTTTGAAGAACTAAATTCTCAAACAGCATACCCAATAAAGATACAGAGAAATTAAATTAATTTTAGCTTGTTACAGGAAGAATGTGTTTTATAATAAGGACTCTTTTTTTCCTTCTTCTTTTCCTCCTTTTTTTTATTAGCGAATTTTAGCACCCTATACTGATTTTCACTACAGACACAGTCCAGATACAGCTGAAGGACAACTCAAGTAAGTACCATTTGTTCCTAGTACTTTTATAAGGAAGTGTGTATGTTGCTGTTAAAGCTTTTAGATTTGCCTGATTGCATGTAGAGTCAGAGCAATGTGAGTTTAAGTAAATTTCCTATTTCATAGTTATGTTGTAGTTCTCATAATTAGCTGTGGTTTAAAAAATTAAAAATAAGTTACGAGAAATTGAAAGACTCAGAATTAATCTCTTATTTAAAATAATGTAAGATAGGCTGCAGTAGAAACCTAGATCTTTATTTTTCTATTGTATGTATTTTTAGCATAATTACATTGAGAGACTAAAAGAGTGAAATAACAACAGGGAGTAGAATAAAGAGCTGCCTTAAACTGAGTAAGCAGAAAGATACAATCTGTAGAATTTTAAAGGTTAGTGGGGAAATAAAAGGAGATAGGGTAAAGGTTGTTTTCCAGAAATGAAGCAGGGTAATTTTCAGTATCTTTTTGGAGAGAAAAGCACGTGTTCATGAGGTATTCTGGGATAACTATAAATTGATTCAGGGATCAATGTATTGATGTATTATCTGTAAAGATTTTGCAGATGGTGCTATTACCATAAATGTGCTGTGAAGTGTTTTTCTAGTAGGATTGTTGGATTGCAGACATAAGCACTCATTTGATAGATAGTATATAATTTAAAATTCTTAAGTTTTAGAATATTGTGAAATGGGGATATTTTTGTTTTTCATTTTTCATTGTTTTTCATTTTTATGGAAAATCGTGGTTTTATATCTTTAATCATTTCTATCACTGTGGACTGATCATACCCTAACATTTCATGACCTGAGCTAAGAAATCAAAATAGGTGTTCTTTATTTTAGACTTCTCAAATCTTACCCCTACTAAGTTGTGAATTGGAATTCTTAGGCCCCTTTCTTGGCTTTCCTGATAACGCTTACTTAACATTCTCCTATTGATGGGAGAAATGCACTTTCCACTGTTACATGACAAATTACTATGAATGTAGCAGCTTAAAATAACATCAATTTATTAGCTCATGGTTCAGTAGGTCAGAAGTCTGGCATAGCTCTTACCTGGAAGTTCTGATGAAAAATCTATTTCTAAGTTCATTCAGGTTGTTGGCAGAATTTACTTTCTTGCTATTGTAAAACTGAGGTCTCTGACTCCTTGCTGTCATCTGGGGCCTACTCTCAGCTTCCAGAGGCCACCCTCTTTCCTTGGCACGTGGCTCCCTCTGTCTTCAAACAGAACAGAAATTCCTCGAATCCTTTGCTTTGAATCTCTCTTTCTCTTCTGCCACTAGCTAGTGAAAGCTCCAATTAGATCAAGCCTACCAGATGATCTCCCTGTCTTTTAAGGTCTGCCAGGCTATATAACATTAAATTAGTCACAATCATGGCAGTGATACCATATTCACAGGATCCAGGGATTAGGGCATGGAATCTTGAGGGGATGGCAGACATTTTTAGAATTCTGCCTACCAGGATGAGTGAGAGATGAGCCTGGCTATTTTTTAGAGTTGGAGGGGGAAGGTACATTCCACCAAAATCCTTCCTTATCTGTTTGGTTCTGTACTTTATTTTCATTTAGTTCCTGGAGTATGGGTAGTTTCTGGAGCATGGGTACATTATGGCCAGGGAACAAGGGAAAATGGAGTGATTTTTTAAAAATACTACAAATTTATTAAATAGGTTAGAGAATGGATTACCAGGCAGTTACTATAAGTTTGTCACTAACATTTTCTTTTCTTTTTTTTCCTTTGAGAGAGAGTGAGCATGAGCAGGAGGGAGGGGCAGAGGGAGAGAGAAAGAATCTTAAGCAGGCTCCATGCTCAACCTGGATCCTGATGCGGGGCTCTATCTCATGACCCTAGATCATGACCTGAGCTGAAATCAAGAGTTGGACGCTTAACCAACTGAGCCACCGAGGCACTCCTGTCATTAACATTTTTTTTTTTTTAAGATTTATTCCTTTATTTGAGAGAGAGAGAGAGAGACAGAGAGTACAAGCAGGGGGAGAGGCAGAGAGAGGGAGAGGAAGAAGTAGACTCCCCGCTGAGCTGGGAGCCCGATGTCGGGCTCCATCGCAGGACCTGGAGATCATGACCTGCGCCTTAGATGCCCAACCATCTAAGCCACCCAGGTGCCCCTGTCACTAATATTTTTAAGAGAAGGAGAACTGAAAGCTTTATCCCATAATTGTCCAATTCTCATTTCTTCCACCACCCCACCTCCTCATTTTAGTTTCTCTTATATTCTCACTTATTTGATGCTGTAGAGCTTAGTGTGGCTTGTTAGTATGTCTTTTTAAGTGTTTCATTTTTCTTTTGCAGACTGATTGCTCACTGTTCTTTAACTTGATTTTCTGTCTTTTTTTTTTTTTTTTTTTAATCCACCCCCTCTGTTTTTTCTTTCCCAGTTCTCTGGAGTTCTGTATTCTCACAATTGTTAAGGACTTTATTAGGGAAGACAAAAAGCTAGCACAGAAAAAGACAGTTGAGAGAATGGAGGTGGTTGAGGTGGCATAAATAGTATAAGATTGCTATTAAGTATTGATACTGGCCATAAGCCAGTGGAAAATACTTAATGAATATAAATAGTTCTACTGCTTGATTAATGGTCATAAACTATTGCATAAGGTGAGATATTTGGATACACAATTAGAAAAAAATAGCTGGTGATATTAATATCTAGTTATTTAATATCAGTGAATATATGGATTGTTGAGCTTGCATGTTAGAAATGCTGAAATAAAGGAAAGAAAAGAAAAGAAATGCTGAAATAAGTTTGGGGCAAGAATTTTCAAGTAAAGAGAATACATGTGGTAGGGCACCTGGCTGGCTCAGTGAGAAGAGAATGTGACTCTTGATCTTGAGGTCATGAGTTTGAGCCCTACATTGTATGTAGAGATTACATATATACATAACAAATAAGCTTTAAAAAAAAAAATACATGTGGTAAAAGTAAGAGGTAATTTTCTTTGCTTAAAGGGTAGCCTTTTGACAAGGATGCTTATTTAATAAATAGGGCAGTGCTGTCTGTAGTGCTCAATTAAAGGTGTTAATGAGGTATCTAAGAATAGTTTTCAGAGAGAGCAAGAAAAGTAGAACTAAATTGAAAAGTAGAATTTATAACTTATTTTAAACTATGTTGGGAATTTTAGATTTTTACTTTCTTTTTCTAAGTAATCTCCACATCCAGTGTGGGGCTCGAACTCATAACCCTGAAATCAAGAGGCACATGCTTGGGGCGCCTGGGTGGCTCAGTCATTAAGCGTCTGCCTTCGGCTCAGGTCATGATCCCAGAGTCCTGGGATCGAGCCCCGCCTCAGGCTACCTGCTCAGCGGGAAGCCTGCTTCTCCTCCCACTCCCCCCGCTTGTGTTTCCCCTCTCACTGTGTCTCTCTCTGTCAAATAAATAAATAAAATCTTTAAAAAAAAAAAAAAAAGAGGCACATGCTCTACCGACTGAGCCAGCCAGATGCTCCAAACTATGTTGGGAATTTTAAATTGGGGTGGGGGTCAGTATATAATTGGGTAATTTTCTTTGAGGTAGATCTGACCTTTTTTCTTTTTTTAACATGTTTTATTTCCTATGTAAATATTTAAATGTTAACTAATGATAGTTTTTTTTCCTGATACAGTAGAGGAATATCTCACTTTTTATTTTCACATTTAATTTCTTTGATCTCTGCCCCTTGCGCGCTCCCGCCAGAGAAGACAGAGAAGCAAGGTTTCTAGCCAGTAAAATGGGAATCATAGCAACATTCCGGTCATGGGCAGGTAAGCTACTCTGTGCTGCTTAATAAGAAAAACTTGATTATTTTTTCAAATGTTAAATTACTATTGCAGCATCTAATTTAGATGTTAACCTAGTTTTAACTTTGTATGTTATTATTAGAGTGAGAGGGATTTGTACAAAATTACTAAAATTGACTGTTTGTAAGTCAATGTGCTAATGATTACCTGGGTGATTAAAAAGTCTTTTTGTGGACATGAGCTTTCCATTTGCCTTGGGTAAATACCCATATGGAATTGCTGAATCACAAGGTGGATATATGTTTAGTTTTATAAGAAACTGCCAGACTTTTTATCAAAATACTTACATATTTTATTCTCCCATCATCAGTGTTTATGAGTTCCAGTTGCTCTGCATCCTTGCCAGCATTTCATGTCCTCTTACATTTTAGCCATACTGGTGGGTGTGTGATGTATCTAATTGTGAATGTTACTTAGATTTACCCAATGACTAATGATACTGAATATTTTGTATGTGTTTATTGGCTATTCACATATTTTCCTTTGTGACATGATATTAGTGTGCTTTAAATTGTTTGACTTAATTCTCCCACTTAAAATTTCAAAAGACAAATGCCAAGCAGATTTTTTCACTTCATTTTAGGTTAAGAAGGTATTAGGTAAGAGAGACAGAATGTTGTCCTACTCTCTTCAGTATTCTGACCCTGAGACATCAGCAAGCAGGAGTAGTAGGCAGTCGGATTGATGAACTTTTTTGGGTATGCAACAAGCAGAAGAAGGAATTTAAATGATAAAATTACTGATAATCTCTAGTCAGTAGGGAAATGTTACTTATAACCAAATAATAGCATAATTTTGGAGTTATCTGGAAAAATACCACAGGTTTTATATTATGAATACATTGCTATAGATTTTTTCTTTTGAAATTTAAATCAGTGATTTTTTTTTTCTTTTTTATCCTCTTTAGGTATTATTAATTTATGTAAACCTGGCAACTCTGGGATCCAGTCTCTAATTGGAGTACTTTGTATACCAAATATGGAAATAAGGGTAGGCAAAAGTTACTCTAATTGTTTCATTCCCAGACTTTTAACAGAGGAAATTAATTGTAAAAAAAGTTATTTTAGGTGTTGCTTTTTTCTCATGAATTGTTCATCTGTATCATAGAGCATTGAAAAAAATACATTAATGAATGTTTACTACTTAGTTGAACCCTAAGGCTAATACAAATAATTTGAAATAGTGATGTTGTTAGGAAATATGGCTGAATTAAAAACTGGATTAAAATATGAAATTATGTTTTATTCATTAAAAAATGCAAACAGAAAAGGGCATTCTCATTGTAAAAGGTTCAAGCAATACAGAAATATATTTAGTAAAAAGTAAATACAGTATGTATCTTATGCCTTCTAACTTGTTTTTCTAATATGAGTGGTGGTTTTCATTAAAATTGAGTTGTTAATATTTATATGCTTATTTATTAGATAGAGTCCTAAATTATTAGTGCATAGCAATTTATATTAAACAGCTAAAACAAATGGAAATTGGAGAGAAAAAAATGAACTCTTCAGTGGTTCTTCCTTTTCCACTTAAATGTTTTTGTTTTGTGTTCAAAAAAATACAGTTTGCACTTTCCTTGTTTTTTTTTATTTGAACTAAACCTGGAGTTGAAAAATATTAAGAAAATACTAGCTAGGAGTACCTTGCTTAAAATGTGAACTGAAAAGCCTTTAGACCATGGGAATGGAAAGACATGATTATAGATGGAAGGATCTATAAGCAGGGAACTAAAGGTTGGGGCAATTCACTTGACTGCTTACTTCACAGATGGTGAAAGAACATGGTTTTTGGAGTCTGGCCCACTGAGCTTTGACTCCTGATTTTAGTCTTTATAGCTCCAAGACCTTGGGCAAATTACGTTTAACCTGTAAATCTATTTCTCCATATGTACTGCAATGGGGATAATAAGAGATTAATTGAAAAGATTAAATCGTGTATGTAGTAAGCATGCCATAGTTATCTCTTCTTGAGTATAGGCCTGAGATGGCAAGTTTCTGAAATACGGAGTTCTGTTTTTATCAGTTTTTCTTCTGTGAATAGGACATTTAAAACATCTGTTTTAAATCTTTAAATTTAAAGGAAGATTCATTCCATAAAAATAAATGAAGTGTATTTATTTGCACTTGCAGCGAGGTCTGCTTGAAGTGCTCTATGATATATTTCGTCTTCCTCTACCTGTTGTGACTGAAGAATTCATAGAAGCACTGCTCAGTGTAGGTAAGTACTGAAGCCCATTTGTATCTACTCATATACTGTGATTTTTAAGATGGTTTAGCTAATACACAGAATCCCTCAAAGGCAACGTACTAAACTAAATATTAAATACCATTCTTTTTTTTAAATTTTATTATGTTAATCACCATACATTACATCATTAGTTTTTGATGTAGTGTTCCATGATTCATTGTTTGCATATAACACCCAGTGCTCCATGCAGTATGCGCCCTCTTTAATACCCATCACCAGGCTAACCCATCCCCCCACCTCCCTTCCCTCTAGAACCCTCAGTTTGTTTCTCAGAGTCCATAGTCTCTCATGGTTTGTCTCCGCCTCCGATTCCCCCCCTTCATTTTTCCCTTCCTACTATCTTCTTTTTTTTTTTTAACATATAATGTATTATTTGTTTCAGAGGTAGAGGTCTGTGATTCATCAGTCTTACACAATTCACAGCACTCATCATAGCACATACCCTCCCCAATGTCTATCACCCAGCCACCCCATCCCTCCTACCTCCTACCACTCCAGCAACCCTCTGTTTGTTTCCTGAGATTAAGAATTCCTCATATCAGTGAGATCATATAATACATGTCTTTCTCTGATTGACTTATTTCGCTTAGCATAATACCCTTTAGTTCCATCCACGTCGTTGCAAATGGCAAGATTTCGTTTTCTTTGATGGCTGCATACCATTTTCTTACTGCATCATCATAGCATTAAATTAATATAAAAATGAAACCTCATATCATCACCTAGGTATTGCAAATGAGCAGTGAAATTAGTAGAAAAATGGGCAAAGAAAGAAATTAGATTATCTAATTCTCGCTATAATTTTATTTTAGCCAATGACTCCTAAGTCCCAAAATTAAAGAAGTTTAGATCTGTGTACATCAGTAAATCATTTATTTTCTGTATGCCTTTTCAGTCTTTTTTTTAAACATTGTTTTAAGATTTATTTATTGTTTTTAGCGGGGGCAGGGGCAGTGCAGAGGGAGAGAGAGAATCTCCAGCAGACTCCCCGCTAAGCCAGGAGCCCTACGTGGGGCTCAGTCCCGCAACCCCTAGATCATGATCTGAGCCAAAATCAATGTCGGACACTTAAACCGACTTAGCCACCTAGGCACCCCTCAGTCTATTTTTTAACCAACATTTTACAACATTATTTATAGCCTGACTAGCTGATGGTAACTGATGTGTTTTAGTGATTTCTCATTTTCTTCTAACTACCTAATTTTAACTATTTTAGATCCAGGCAGATTCCAGGACAGTTGGAGGCTTTCAGATGGCTTTGTAGCAGCTGAGGCAAAAACTATTCTTCCTCATCGTGCCAGATCCAGGTAGGATTTAGAGGAATAGTTCAAATTTATTACAATTGCTGTTTTTATGTTAAATTACGTAACATATTGAACAGTATCTAAACTGTTTCTGTACTGTGTTTATTTCTAGGCCAGACCTCATGGATAATTATTTGGCACTGATACTCTCTGCATTTATTCGTAATGGACTTCTAGAGGTAAGATTTATAAACCTTATTTTATTTTTTTAAATTTCTCTGACAAAGTTCTTTCAGAGCAGCAAGCATATAGGATGTGTAAATGTGTTCCTACTTACTATTTTGCAACAATAATATTTTCTTTTTATTTTCAAAGGGTTTGGTTGAAGTGATAACAAACAGTGATGACCATATCTCAGTTAGAGCTACCATTCTTTTAGGAGAGCTTTTACATATGGTAAGTTGAGCAACTTCTGATTATGTTTCATACCATTAATGTTTTAATTTATAAAATAATGTTACTTTGTAGTATCTCAAAAAGTAAATTTGCTTTTTTTGAAAAGTGTTTGTCTTTGCATCGCAAAGAGCCCTTGATGCCTTGTATCTGTCTATACATATATGTACATAATAGTATGTGCGTGTATATGGTACAGCTAGTTCTATAAATGGAACATGTAAAAACTAAAAAGTACTGAATATTTTTATACTCATTTTTATGTTGACATTTTGAGTCTTATAAATCTTAATGTATCTCAGAAAGACCTGCTGCCTAATAAGCAAGAAATTACAAAACTAGATATTCAGTTAGGTAGCAGTGGAATTGATATGGCAATCAGTGCCTGAATTTTAGAAAACTGTGAGAAAAATTGGAAGTTTAACTCCCTTGTTTGAAAACATTCTCTGCAAACTTGTGAGTTGAGGTTTAGAAGGTGAGTTCTTTTTGTTTTGTTTTTTTTTCATTTTTGGGGGGTTTGCCTTGATTTTATGACATCAGTAACTTCTGGAAACAAGGAGCTAAGAAAGTGATCCGACCATTCTCTACTCCCAACAAATCAAGCAATGGGAGAACTGATTGTTTGCAAGATAGAATTCCTATTTCTAGGTCACCTGTTCATTAATAGAATACTAAATAAAAACCATTTTAACTGATTAAGGAAGAAGTAACCTTGTGGCAGATCTTTTAAAATTATTTTATGATTTTCTCTTACTGGCAGAGTACTTTTTGTTGTTTCAACCTCCCCACCCCTACTATTTTTTTTTTCCCAAATAACAGCTGGTCTCAGTGAGGTAAAGAGAATTAAACAGAGTTTAATGGTAACCCTCTTGTTTACCAACGAATTGTTTAGCCACATCCTCTGTTCTCCTTCAGTCCATCCATGGAAGAATTAAGTAATACTGCAGATTTTTTTTTAAGATTTTTATTTATTTGGTCAGAGAGAGAAAGAGGGCACAAGGAGGGGGAGGGCCACGCAGAGGGAGAAGCAGGCTCCCCAGTGAGCAAGGAGCCCGATGCAGGACTTGATCCCAGGACCATAGGATCATGATCCGAGTCAAAGGCAGACAGATGCTTAACCGACTGAGCCACCCAGGCATCCCTTCAGATCTGATTTTTTTTTTAATGAATTAATTTTTTTTAAGATTTTTATTTACTTGTCAGAGCGCACGCGTGCGTGCAAGCACAAGCAGAGGGAGAAACAGGCTCTCTGCCGAGCGAGGAGCCCGATACAGGACTCAATTCTAGGACCCTGGCATCACGACCTGAGCTGAACGTAGATGTTTAACCAACTGAGCCATCCAGGCGTCCCTTTTATTTTAATTCTTGATATATCATTTCCTGTAAGATTATCAATATCTAGAATTATTTGCTCTTTATGAAGTAATCTTTTTTATAAATTTAATTTTTTCCTTCCTCCATGACCAGAATTCTTTATTCCCTTGAAATATAAAAGCTGGTCATTTTGAGTATAGTGGTATTAGTTCATTGCTTATTATGCTTTCATTTTCTGGCTTCCACACATTAATTAATTTACTTATCTTCATTGGTAGAAAGCAGATTGAGTGGTGGATTTTGCTTGGAAAGCAGGATTAATGTAACATTATAGCACTGGATCTAAGTTTTGATATGTAATCCTTTCGGATCATTTAAGAATTGAGTTTAATTGTAATTAAATTTTAAGTTACCACTTAAATTATAATTTTTGTTATAATAAAAGATCTGTAAAATTCAGAGTTTTATTAATGTGAGTCTCTATCTTCATTCTTTCTCATCCTTGTTGAAAGTAGGTAAGATAAATTATAATAAGTTTGTATTGGAAAGTGAATCATTAAGATCATTTCATGAGTAAAACCTTTAATATTTTATCTATGGATAATCTATAACAAAATATTTCTATTTGTCAACTCTTAAAAAATATTATGTTTCATTTTAGGCAAATACAATTCTTCCTCATTCACATAGTCATCATTTACACTGCCTACCAACCCTAATGAATATGGCTGCGTCTTTTGATATTCCCAAGGAAAAGAGACTGTAAGTATCAGAGCTCTAGCAAAGACTGTGCCTGGTATATTTAATACCCATTTTTGATGACCTTCTCTTCTTTTTAAAATTCTGTGTGTGTGTGTGTGTGTGTGTGTGTAGATAAAGCTTGGAAATTCTTTTTTTTTTTTTTTTGGAAATTCTTTTGGGATGCCTTACAGAGGAGAGGAAAATTGATAGTATTATTTAATATAGGCTACAGAGTATTATAGCTTAGAAAAATCAAGTTTTTTTTAGCATTTTTCTGGACAAGGACATAAACTTTCTACCACATCATTAAAAATGTTTGAGAATTTTTTGGACTATTTTATGTTTTGAGTAGCAACTCAGGCTTTTTAATGTCTAAACTATTTCAAGGTAATAAAGCACAAAGTAGCAATGTATTCTTTTGTATGTGTGATTAAAAATTTTAGAATTTAGTAACCCATACTATAGGCATTGAAGTAAGCTGACCTCTTAAATGTGAAGGAGATATTGCAAACAGAATTTATAAACAAAGGTATGATAATACATCTGTAGCTCTGCTGAAATTTCAGTACTAATAATAAAATGTAATTTACAAGGTAAAGATGGAGAACCTTGATTAGAAAACCCTAATAGGAATCTTTTTCATTTGGTTAAGATTATGTCTAAGCCAGGGGTGTTTTTTTCTTTTCCTTCCTTCCTTCCTTTTTTTTTTTTTCTTTTTTTAATTCTACCTATTATGATCAAAGAAATCTATATTTGGACTTTTTTTTGGTAATATTAGTGAAATGTAGTTCATTAGCTATTCAGAACTTGAATTTTTATTGACAGGTATACATTTCTTAAAAGTTTAGTTAGCTTTATTAATTCAGAAGTACACATATGGGCCTCACTGTAAGTAAATAATATTCTATTCTAACTCTGCCATTAAATATACTATTATTTAATAGAATGAAGTTGTATTATAAACTAAGAGTTACGAGGGATTATCTCGGTTCTAACTCTAGGGCTTCCATTAGTAATGATAGCTTTCAGCTTTTTTTTTTTTAAAGTTTATTTATTTAAACATCCTATCTCTATATTCAGTGTGGGGCTCAAACTGACAACCCTGAGATCAAGAGCTGCATGCCCTACTGACTAAGCCAGCCAGGGTCCCCTTTCAGTTTTTATTTTAGTAGTTTCATGATGGAAAAGTGGATTTCCCAAAGCCTGGTAGACCTAACCTCTCTGGGTCAGATTATGGCCATGAATTTCAGGGTTCATCAAGATTTCAAATTTACCTTCAAAATTTCAGCAATAATAGTCTTATAATGGCTTTTTGGTTTTGTTTTTTTAGCTCAGCAAGCTCTCTTTACTTTCAGTACTTGCCAATCTGAGCGCATCTCAAGGTTTTAAAATTTTAAATCTGATTTGTTTTTACCAGAAGTTCTGGAGTTGAGACAGATTGTTGAAAACTGTGCTTTTATGGGCCACAAACAAGGAATTAAAAATAAGTTTTAAAAGGATACCATTAACGGTTGCAGATCAGTGGGGGAAAATAGAGACTGTACAAATTGATACTGGAATCAGTTATCCACATGGTGGGGGGGAAATGAAATATGCCAGCCTTATACCATAAACAAAAATCGGTTTCGGCTGGTTTAAGGATTTAAATGTGAGAAGCAAGTTTTTAAACTTCTATAAGAAAATAGAGAAAACTAGGTTTCTGACTTTCTGGGAGTTCTTAAAACCAGTATACAAAAAGTGCCCACCACCACAGAAAACAAGATTAGTAAATACATATTTAGTTGGGTCTACATAATTAGTGTTTCTTCATACAGATCAGCAGTGTTCTTGATTGTTTTTCCTTTGTGGTTCCAAATTTGATTAAATAATTTACTTTTAGTAACAATCTCTAGCCTTGAATTTATATATTTTACTAATTTACCAAAGTGCTCTCTTTAAAATTACGCTAGCTTTGCTACAGAATTAATTCAATTTTTTTTAATTAGGCGAGCCAGTGCAGCCTTGAATTGTTTAAAACGCTTCCATGAAATGAAGAAACGAGGACCTAAACCTTACAGCCTTCATTTAGATCACATTATTCAGAAAGCAATTGCAGCCCACCAGAAACGGGATCAGTATCTCCGAGTTCAGAAAGATATATTTATTCTTAAGGTACTGACATGAAACGTCGCAATTTTTAACTTAGTTTCCTAATTTTTAACTGATGGATTTTAATATGCATCTACTTGCTTGAGTTAGTTTTATTCATGGTTATGGATTTTCAAATGGCTTTCTAGTTTTATAATGACTAGGCAGTTTAGAGCTATGTTTTTATAACTTGTTAAAGTTAAAAAGCCTTGCTAATTCATCCTTAAATGAAAAATCTTTCTTTGTATTTTTAAAATTTGAACTTAGTTTTCTGAATGTGAAGATAATTTGCCTTAATTTTCCGTATTAACTTTCTGATGATTTTAGGATACAGAGGAAGCTCTTTTAATGAACCTTAGAGATAGCCAAGTCCTTCAACATAAAGAGAATCTTGAATGGAATTGGAATCTTATAGGGACCATTCTTAAGGTATGACAAGATACGTCTTGGCTATGGCTTCATTTTATTATTCATTGTAATTCATCATAATTATATTTTGGGAATTGATAAATACATATATGATATAACATATTATGTTTTTCTAGTGGCCAAATGTAAATCTAAGAAACTATAAAGATGAACAGTTGCACAGGTACGTAACAACTGTTTTGCATTTAAATTGAAAGAACTTAGATTTGAGTTATATTATGCCTAATACCTGTGAAAAGTAATAATTGGTATTTTAAAGATACATACATACATTTTAATAGTATTCAGTAGGTACATGTATACATTTTTGTGTATACTCTCATAACCTAAAAGCATCAGCTAATTCTTTTCCTAGTTATTTATATTCTGGTTTTAGTTTGGAACAAATGAAGTACTTCAGATAAAAGTTTCTCAAATTGGGGTAATGTCAACCATGTTGTAATCTTAGCCCTAAGGTATGAGGATGACATAATAAGGACATAAGTGTTTCCCTCCCAAAATGATGGCCATTTTTACTATTCTACTTCTACTTGCATTTACATCTGACTTTGGAGGGTTAGCCATTTTTCCTCCTCTTTACATTCCCCTTAACCCAAGTTGATGTTCTCCATACCTTTCATAAAACATACTAACGTTCATGGCATACACAGTACTTCAAGCTACTGTGCATTTCTCTAGTACCCCAGTGCATTTTTCCTCATCCTGAGTTTAGACTAATCCACTACCAGTACTGATCTCATTCAGTAAGAGGGCCTTCATGTTTCTGAAAAATTTATGTCCTTAATATTATTATTTGGTTGTATTCATCTACTCATGGTATTTAACTTAGTATCTGTATTAAGTTTATACGGAACATATATAAACTTAAATTGGAATAAAGAAGCATAGCATCAACTTTTCATACTGCTTGAGAACAGAGATGAAGTCTCATTCAACTTTGTTTCTCCACATCCTGGAACTGGCACCATTATTGGATAGGATTGTAGTGCATGAAATTAAACTGAACTAAGTTAAATGGAAGCTTAGCCCATAATGTTGAAAGCTATAACATTGAAATATAAATTATGTTCATTCTCATGAATTCAGTTGCCTAAATTTTACCTGCAGCTTTTGTGCTTGGCTTTTTGCCTAATTGTGAAAAATGGACAGAATTATAGTATGATTTATTTTGCTTACAATTATCCAGTATAGGATTATTGTATAGAGTCATGGGACAAAGATTATCACAAAATACAGTAAAAGAAAATTTATGTTCCGATGTCGTCTTCATATTTATCCAAGCTTATCTTCTGGCTGTGTTGTATATCTGCATTTTTCTAGCTAGTATCTTTGTTCTGTACTATTTCTTTCAGGCATCTCACCATAAAATTCTTACTTCACAAGATATTCTTGACAATTAAGGTGTTTTTTTGGTTGGTTTTTGGTATTTTGTTATTTTTGCATGCGTGTGTGTATGTGTGTGTGTAATGTACCAAATGTGTTTATTCCTTGCCATTTACTCCAATGGCTTAAATCCAAAACATTCAAAACCATGTTATATATCTTAAGCTATGGTTAAGATTTTAAAGTAATTTTGGTTTCTTACTTTGTTGCTAATTTTATTTTGCTCTTAGGTTTGTACGAAGACTACTTTACTTTTACAAGCCCAGCAGTAAATTATATGCCAACCTGGATCTGGATTTTGCCAAGTCCAAGCAGCTCACGGTTGTGGGTTGCCAATTTACAGAATTTCTTCTTGAGTCTGAAGAGGTAATAAGCACTTTGAATATTTTCCAGAGCAAATGTTTCTCATTAAACTTGCCCCCTTCCTTTTATTTCTGAGTATGCATAGTTGTATTTAGAAACATAGGGAGTGAGCCCAGACCTAGATTTGAATCCTAACTCTTGTCACTAGCTAGTTATGTGACTTTGGACAACGTATGTGCCTTATAGAAGACCTGGTTTTCTCTTTGTAAAATGGAAGATAATATAATCTTCATGAAGCATTGTGTTGAATGAGATTTAAAAGAACATACTCAGTGATTGGTATCTGTTATTAGTAACTTCATCATTATCATTACGTTTTTTGGATTTGATTAAAGTTAATTTTCTAATTATAGTCACTAAGTGCTTTTCCAGTAATATTACAATATATTTGCTTTTAGGATGGGCAAGGATACTTAGAAGATCTAGTAAAAGATATTGTTCAGTGGCTCAATGCCTCATCTGGAATGAAACCTGAAAGAAGTCTTCAAAATAATGGTTTATTGACTACCCTTAGTCAACACTACTTTTTATTTATTGGAACACTTTCTTGCCACCCTCATGGAGTCAAAATGCTGGAAAAATGCAGCGTATTTCAATGGTAAGTATCCCTAGGTTGTCTCAGTATATTCCTGAACTTTATTTTTTAATGTGGTCTGAAATGGTATGCTTTTTATTCTGTGTACATGTATTTGGTAAATTTTATTAAAATACAAAAAAAAGTTATTTTGATGGCTTTGTGACTTTTTTATGTGATATTTGTCATTAAATGCTTTCTTTTAGAAATGCTTGTTTATATTTTCATCCTTTTTTTTTTCTTTTTTCTTTTTAGTCTCCTTAATCTCTGTTCCTTGAAAAATCAAGATCACTTACTGAAACTGACCGTTTCTAGCTTGGACTACAGCAGAGATGGATTGGCGAGAGTCATCCTTTCCAAAATCCTTACTGCAGCCACTGATGTGAGTATAACATCGACAAAACTATATATTTTTTTTTTTAAAGATTTTATTTATTTATTTGAGAGAGCGAGAATGAGAGAGAGAGAGAGCACATGAGAGGAGGGAGGGTCAGAGGGAGAAGCAGATCCCCCGCTGAGCAGGGAGCCCGATGCGGAACTCGATCCCGGGACTCCAGGATCATGACCTGAGCCGAAGGCAGTCGTTTAACCAACTGAGCCACCCAGGTGCCCCTGACAAAACTATATTTTTTATAGCCAGTTAGTTCAGTACTTCATAAAATTTAGCCAAGCAAAATTAATTATCAATTCTAAGAATATGGGATGGGATTTGAGTTTACTCTAAAACAGTAGTTCTTCCATGGGGCGCCTGGTGGTTCAGTCGGTTAAGTGTCTGCCTTCGGCTCAGGTCATGATCCCAGGGTCCTGGGATCGAACCCTGCATCAGGCAGGCTCCCTGCTCAGTGGGAGGCCTGCTTCTCCCTCTCCCTCTGCTGCTCCCCCTGCCTGTGCTCTCCTGCTCTCTCTCTCTGTCAAATAAATAAAATCTTTTAAAAAAATAAAAATAAAAGAGTAGTTCCTCCAAGGAATTGTATACAGTACCCATATCTTTCTATAAAGGGGAAGAAGCAGCTAGATTGAAACAGAAATATTTTATTTACTAGTACTAAGAAAATATATCAGGGGCTAGACCCTCAATTACAATTTTTCTGCCATTTTTAAGTAGCAAAACTGTCCCCCAAAAAAGTCCAAATAGGCTATCCATGAAGTTTGGGGTTTTTTGGTTTGTTTTTATATTTTCATTTATCTTTGTAGGCCTGCAGGCTGTATGCAACAAAACATTTAAGAGTATTATTGAGAGCTAATGTTGAATTCTTCAATAATTGGGGAATTGAATTACTGGTGACCCAGCTGCATGATAAAAACAAAACTATTTCTTCTGAAGCTCTTGATATTCTTGATGAAGCATGTGAAGACAAGGTGAAGGTTTATTGTTTTATAATAAAATACTTAGACATGAATTTTTATTTAAGTATTTTAATTATTAAATTAATTTTAATTATTAAAGTACTCAATTTTAATAGAAAATTATGTGGAATTATAATGTACTTAATACAGATGTTTTGGAAACAGAATTTACTTTCATTTTGCAATTGTTAATTTGCCCTAATAATTACCTTTTTTAGGCCAATCTTCATGCTCTTATTCAGATGAAGCCAGCTTTATCCCACCTTGGAGACAAGGGTTTGCTTCTCCTCCTGAGGTAAACATTAAGTAAATTTTTCTTATACTTATGTTTTTTGTTGTGTTCTCTTTAGCAGTGTGTTTTAAAGTTGGATTCAAATCCAAATAGGAAACACTTTAAAGAGTTTAACATTAACTTCTGAAAGAGGTCTATTTTAGAATCTTAGATATCCTTTAATACTGAAACTCATTGTTTTCCTTAATGTTGTTTCATGTTTTTCATTGTTTTCCTTAATGTTTCCTTTACATTTCTGTGTGTCCTTATGATTTTCATGACATTTTCTTTACTGTGATTGGATTCATGTGCTTTTGCAAGATTATGAAAATGTATTTGCATTTGAAATTACAGTAAATAATAGTCGACCTTTTACTCTCAGGAAGAAGCTATTCCTAAAGTCTTTTAGCTCTTTAAACATAGTATTGCTTAAGATAGTTTAACTCCTTAAACAGTTGTAGTCAGACTCTGTGTTAAACTATTGTTTGTTTTCATTTACAGATTTCTTTCCATTCCAAAAGGATTTTCCTATCTGAATGAAAGGGGTTATGTAGCAAAACAATTGGAAAAATGGCACAAGGTAACTTTCTGTTGAGTAAGCTTCAATTTATGTTTTTATTTTAGGAAATCTATGAATTTAGAGGATTTTTTATATCGATGTCTTGAAGCTAAAGAGGTCAAATATTTAAACATTCATATGAAGTCAAGTCTTAAATTCTGTGTAATTATTTGTGTTTATATTTATCCATTTTTTAAACCACATTATTTTAGAGCAAACTATTGATTTTGTGTATATTCTATTGCAATTTTGCTTTCAGTTTAATTGATACAATCTACTGGTATAATTTATTAACCCTATTTACTATCATTTCTTTTATTCTTATTCTTGGGTCCTTTATGATAGCCCTTTTAAGCTCTAACTAAAACAGTTTTCCTAAATGAAGGAAGATTGTAAAACAATTCTACCAAGCAGATAAAATATAAACTTTATTTTTAGGATGCTACTTGACATAAACCTGAGAACAAACTTCTTGTTATTAGTTAACTTCCTAGCTTTTCTTTAGTTGGTCATCACTGTGATTTTATTTTGTTTGAAGCATTATAAATTGTCAAAGCATCTTAGAAACCCATGGATAATCAATTCTAATGTAAATAATTTTTGGGTTCTTCATCATTTCAATCATTATATTGTCTATACTGAACCATATTTCACAAGAAATTCTCATCTTTTAAAAATACTTTAACTATAAAACATACTTTAGGCGGTGTCTGGGTGGCTCAGTCAGTTAACGTCTGCCTTCAGCTCAGGTCATGATCCTAGGGTCCTGGTATCTAGCCCCATGTCTGGCTCCCTGCTCGATGGGGTTCTGCTTCTCCCTCTGCCGCTCCCCCTGCTTGTGCTTGCTCTCTCTCTCTGTCAAATAAATAAAATCTTTAAAAACAAAAACATGATTTAGGCATGAAGTCTTTCAATAATTAATGAATTGGAGAATTGAAATAAGATGTAATAGTTTTATTTCGTAAATAGAAGTTACTTAAACAAATTACCATAGTAAAATCGGTCACCTTATTATACAAATTATAGTATTAGGAAGTTGCTTAGCCTATCTGGTACAGTACTTTCACATAGTAGGTACAAAATGTAACTGCTATAACAAAGGCATGTGCAGTGTATAAGGAAACACAAAGGAAGGGTTAATGATTCTGCCTTAGGGATTAGAATTAGCAAAAGAAATGTTAGGTGTGATCAGGAAGGGATATGATATTTGAAACAGTCTTGAGGAGTAAGTAAGTAAATAAGTTGGAAGAAGGGTATTCAAGGCTGAGGGTGCAGAATAATAAATCTGTATAGATTATTGGAACTTCAGACTTGTGAAGAAAGCTATATTCCAGTGTAGTTGGGGCTAGGATAAGTGAGGAGTGGCAAGATGAGGCTAGAATGGTAAGTTAGAACTAGATTACAGAAGGCGTTACAAACCACATTATGTCATTAAGGGATTTCAATTTTATCGGATGTGGGGGAATTATAGGTGTTTAAAGACTAGTCATAATCAGAGCTGTGCTTTAGAAACATGACAGGTCAGAGTGTAGAAATGGATATTTGATCATCAAAGGTAAAGCCTAGGAATATTGAGACCAGTTAAGAAGCAAGAATTGATAAGAATATGAATTTCAGTGGTGCTGAGATTGGATAGGCAGGGACACATTTTCTGGGCATCTTTGAAATAAGATGGACAGGAGGTGTGGACAGATTGGATATAATGAGTGAAGAGTCCGTCTTGACTCTTACAGTTTCTGATCTCATTGACTGAGCATGCAGTGGATCACCATGAAGAGATTGTGATTACAGGGGCGCCCGGGTGGCTCAGTTGGTTAAGCATCTGCCTTCTGTTCGAGTCATGATCCTGGGGTCCTGGGATTGAGCCCCAGGTTGGGCTCCATGCTCAGTGGGGAGTCTGCTTCTCCTCTCCTTTTTGCCCCTCCCCCAACTGATGTTCATGCATGGGTGCTCACTCCATCTCAAATAAATTTTTAAAAATCTTAAAAAAAGAGATTGTGATTACAAAAAGTGGTTTGCAGGATGAGGTTAATGAGTTTTGAAAATGTTGAATTGTATTGCTCTGTGGGATGACCAAGTGATGGTATCCAGAAAATATTTGGAATTGTGGATCTGGAGCTCAGATATGTGCTGAAGATCGCAGTTTGGGAGTCCTCAGTATATAGTAGTAGTTGAAACCTGAAATGAGTGAGATCACCAGGGAAGATACAAAGAACAAAAAAAGAAAGAAAACTGGAAATTGCTCCCTATAGAACATTCTGGTTTAATGAGGGCAATAGAAGGACAAAGACACTGAGAAAATTGCCAGAGAGAATGGTGTCACTAAAGGATGCTTCAGGAAGGAGAGGCCAGTGATATATATTCGTTAAAAAGGTCACATAAAATGAACAATAGAAAATAAACTGTTGAATTTGACAGTTTGGTCATTGGTGAATTTTGCTAGAGCATTTTCAGTAGAAAGTTACAAACAGATGCTGAATTGTAGTTACAGTTAGTTAGGCAGTAAATGGAAGGTGTAGAAAAATAAAGACAACATAGTCCTCTCTCTTGAATTAGAGAAAAGGAGAAAGGGAAGAGAACTAACTTACTGATTGTGTACCATTTCAAATCTTACTTCATTGAATCCTCAGGGCAACCCTATGAAATGTATTCTGTTATTTCTATTTTGTGAATGAAAATTTGGAGGCTAAGGAGAGTAAGCTTTATCCTAGAGGAGTAATTTATTCTAGGTCACAGAGCTTAAAAATAGCAGAGCAGGGGTGTTTTTTGATTCCAAAGCCCATGCTCACTGTATTCAGTTTCCTTCCGGTAGCTTATGGCATGCCAACATAAACTGAGACTGTCTCTGTTTCAAGGTACTAAAACATCCAGGCCAGTACAATATTAAAAATTCTCACTCATTCAGTTTAAAACTTCACCTGAGCACCCAGGCCTGATATAGACATAGAAACACTACAGTGGAGGGAGGATTCGGTTAATCTCATCACTCTCTGTGCTCATCTCCTCTCCATTTACTACCTGCCTGCCAGTTTAGGGCTTCTTTAGCTTTGGAGCAGGAAGAGGAAGAGGCGTGGGGGCAAGAACAGACTTACTCAGTTGGTACAGTTGTTATCTGGGCTATTTAGCTTTGAGTGTGGCAGATTTCAAATGTTAATTCTTCTACTTGAGGGTTACTTTCATGAGTTTCTCAAATACCTCACCACTGTGGATCTCTTATTTTCAGTTCCCTTGACTAGGGCAGTGGCTCCTCTGCCTGCCTACTTATATTGCCTCCTAGGAAGGCAGAGGGAGGTAGAGGTCTGCCCCTCAGTTGGGGTTTTCTTACCCCTCTAGATTGGTCCTTTTGGGCAGAATCCTCAAGATAACCCATATTAGAAACTCAGTGCATTTCACAGCTATAAACCATACCCCTGACCTTTGGCTAGTGTTTTCCAAATGAATGCCCCTGGTCAAAAGATTAACCACATGAATATAACTACTCCTGTATAAAGCTCAGATTATCTGCCTTTTCTGCACTAAGATTTTCATATAGAGAGGAGAGTTTGGTAGTAGTATAGTGGTAATAGTAACAGTAGTAATAATTATGGTACACTGATAATATTAAAACCTCATATTACTATTACAAAATAAATGTGGAACCTAAAGGAAAAAAGGAAAAGTACATTTTTAGAGGCTTTAAGTAGGGAGTTAAGGTAACTAAACCAAATTCAAGTTGTCTAAAATGGATTTGAATGAAAAATGTCTTCCTGTGTCCTTAATCTGTCTTTTCTGAAGGTAATATCTGTAATAGTTTATTTGTGAGCATTCAGAGATGTTCCATCCATCTATATGTACATACTCTTTTTTTTTTTTTTTTTTTAGATTTTATTTATTTATTTGACAGAGACAGCAAGAGAGGGAACACAAGCAGGGGGAGTGGAAGAGGGAGAAGCAGGCTTCCTGCAGAGCAGGGAGCCCGATGTGGGGCTCGATCCCAGGAGCCTGGGATCATGACCTGAGCTGAAGGCAGACGCTTAACGACTGAGTCCCTTATATGTAAATACTCTCTATTCAAAAATACAAATGAGTTCTATTTTGAAGTGTAGATAAGAATAAGTTTTTCATTTAGCAGTATATCTGAGGGATCTTTTCAGAGCTATACATTTAAATCTAACTTGTTCTTTTTAATGGCTGCATAGTACATTATGTGAATGTACCTTAATTTTTATAACCACTCCTGTATTGACATTTTTCCAACTTTTTTTGTTTAGTAAACAGTGTTTGCTGGATATTGTTCCATATATCTTTGCATGCTTGTATATATATTTATATTTCTATAGGATAAATTTCTAAAAGTGTAATTGTTGAGCTAAAAAGTAAGTGAAGTAATGGGACGCCTGGGTGGCTCAGTCGTTAAGCATCTGCCTTCGGCTCAGGTCATGGTCCCAGGGTCCTGGGATTGGGCCCTACATCGGGCTCCCTGCTTGGCGGAAAGCCTGCTTCTCCCTCTCCCGCTCCCCCTGCTTGTGTTCCCTCTCTCACTGTGTCTCTCTCTGTCAAATAAATAAATAAAATCTTAAAAAAAAAAAAAAAAGTATGTGAAGTAACATTTTTGATACATACTGCCAAATTGCTTTCCAAAGAGGTTCTACCAATTCCTTCTGAACAGTTTAAAGTGGAGATCTTTTAGCATTTACCCCAAAGATAGAAATGTAGTGATCTGAAGGGGCACCTGCACCCCAGTGTTTATAGAAGCAATGTCCACAATAGCCAAACTATGGAAAGCGCCCAGATGTCCATCGACAGATGAATGGATAAAGAAGATCTGGTGTACACACACACACACACACACGAATATTACACAGCCATCAAAAAACGAAATCTTAAAAAACAAACGAAATCTTGCCATTCGCAGTGATATGGATGGAATTAGAAGGTATGCTAAATAAGTCAATCAGAGAAAAGACAATTATCATATGATGTCACTGATACGTGAAGTTTAGGAATAAAACAGAGGATCATAAGGGAAGAGAGGAAAAAATAAAATAAGATGAAACCAGAGAGGGAGACAAACCGTAAGACTCTTAATCATAGGAACCAAACTGAGTGTTGCTGGAGGGGAAGTGGGTGGAGGGGTGGAGTAACTGGGTGATGGGCGTTAAGGAGGGCATGTGATATAATGAGCAATGGATAGTATATAAGACTGATGAACCACAGGCCTGTACCTCTGAAACCAATAATACGTTATATGTTAATTAATTGAATTTAAATTAAAAAATGTTAAAAAAATAAAGTGGAGATGTTTTGCAATGAAGGTGGCAGTATGACTGACTTTCAGTTTAAAGAATTTAGCTAAAGTTTTTCAAGTTTTAGTTGGAAACATTTTTTACATTTTACGTGATTTAAATCAGTGGGGAAAGAGATACTATTTTTTGCCAAAAGGTGCTAAAATGATACAATTCATTTAATTTTCTTTTTTAAATTTCTAGTGAATATGTTTATGGTTTAATATTAAGAGGCTAGTTTTTTGTTTGTATTTAATGGGGAAAGGGATTTAAATAAGATAAAAAACAAAACTATTACTTATATGGACTCTAAAATATTAATTGAAAATGGGGATAAGAGTATAAGCAGGAAGCTTTTGTGTATGATAGAACATTTGCATTCAAAATACCTTGTTCTACCATTTTTAAGAATATCTTAAATTTTCTGTACAGATGTTCATTTTTCTCATATTTATGCTTTTAAGATTTGGTAGGTACCTAACATGTTATGAATTTAGTGAACAATATACTGTATATGATTAAAACAGTATTATCTTCCAGGAATATAATTCAAAATATGTTGACTTGATTGAGGAACAACTTAATGAAGCACTTACTACTTATCGAAAGCCAATTGATGGTGATAACTATGTTCGTCGGAGTAACCAAAGGTACAGTCTAGTTAATGGAATAATTTATTAACTTGTCCTCTAATATAAAATTCAAAACCAGTTCATAATCTTTATTTTTTGAAATTTTCTGAGTACTTGGAAATTTTATTCCCTTCACTGACATAAGAAAAAAATCTTAAAGCATATTATTGACTGCTCAAGAATTCCAATGGCACTCATAACATGCTGAACACCCTTACTAATATAATTTATATATCTTCCATGCTTTTACCCTAGTCTGTAGTCTGTTTTTCTGGTCTCAGCTCTCTTACCATTACTCACTACTTTGAGGCCAGCTAAACTGTTATTTTTCTAGAGAAATCCTCACGCTTCTCCGCTTTCATATTTTTATGTATGCCAAGAGATTACATCTTTATCTAGTACTTTATTAGTAGCCCTTGTTTTAATTAGCATATTGTAAATGAGGCAGTAGGTGTATCAATCATCTTTATTATACTAGATTACAGCGTCCTCACGTCTACCTGCCCGTACACCTCTATGGACAACTGGTACACCACAAAACAGGCTGTCATTTGTTGGAAGTACAGGTAAAAACATAATTTACTTGTTTTAAATAGCTACAATTATAGAAAAAAATCTCAGTATTGCTAAAGTAGTACCTTTGCAAAAACTTCTCAAAAGCCTTAAAGTTAGCAGCATAATTGCTTTTAAAGCCCTCTATCTTATAACTGACTTAGGCATTCTGTGTTCGTAATCCTGATGGATCACTGGTTTGCATGCCTTTCCCCGACTTATGTGTCATCTTTTGCATAGCTAATTTGTTACGTAGAGTTAAGTAAGCCACTTTAAGTCTGAGTTCTGTCCTTTATAGTTTGTTGGGAAGTTCATCTCGTTAGTAGAAACATACGGAAAAACTGAATTTCTTCGTTGTTCTTGTTGGGAAGTTAAACTGAACCTGATACAGATTCAGTTATCTTTGGTGAGCAACAAACTGGAAGTATAATTGCTGTTTGTTTGTACCTCACTGTTCTCTTAAACTTCATGGAATATAACAGGCTTAGTGTCAAGCAGTTATTCTTTGATTATATGCACACCAAATGTATGGCTGTGAATATGTCTTGCTACTAAGTGTTTTCAATAAATGCAACTTTTTTCTTATTTTAGAAATAGAAGTATTTGCATGTGTGTCTTTTGAACAATAGTAATCTGGCAGTTTAGTTCATTTTTGTATCAGTGTTCATCCCAGGAGCAAAAGTTTTACATAAATGTACTCTATAGTGTCCTATTTTTATATTAAGCCTGTGAAGACTTTTTGGAGCACATATCTTTATATTAGTTTTTTTAATTCACTAGTATTATGTTCTATTTAAAAAACTGATAATGTGACTAACATTTTTATAATATTAGGTACTAAGTACTTTGTTAAGCACTTTGTACGTAATGATTAGATCATTACACCTTATGAAACAGATCCGTATTTTAGAGATTGGAAATCAAGGCATGGGGGATTAACTAACTTACTCAAAACCACATAGCTAGAAAGTGCTAACTCCAGAAGAGGAACTCAGAGCCCCTGCACTAATGCTGCTTAAGAAAATTTACATAAAATTATTTTAGAATTTTAAGTATGCAAACATTACTAAATGCAAACCTTAAAAATTTGGTTTTAAGATGCATTGAGAACATATTGTTACTCATGCTTTGTTTTTCTTTTTTTTTCTTTCTCCAGAATATTATTACTGAACTCTGTCACAATGTTCGTACACCAGATTTGGATAAATGGGAAGAAATTAAAAAACTGAAAGCATCTCTTTGGGCCTTGGTTTGTAATAAACACTTCTATAAGATCTTCATCATTTTTAGATTTTTTAAAAATTTTCCCATTAATAATAAAAATCATTTTATTTAGAACTTGTTCTCAGTTTAATATTCTAAGACCAAGATTGTTTCTGCCCATTTTAAATATATTTTTAGACTGAAAAATAAATGATTAAGCTATTAGTTTTCTTTCTAAGACAAATGGAGCATTAATTTCTAAAGTTCCATACTTAAGGGTTTTTTTCACATTTTTTTCTCTCTCATAGATGGGGTTAAATTTTTTGATAGCTCTCCAAATTTCTTGAAAGAGTTACTCTTATAAATATATTTGATATAAGTGATTTCTTTTCTTTCAGGGAAATATTGGCTCATCAAATTGGGGTCTCAATTTGCTACAGGAAGAAAATGTGATTCCAGATATACTAAAACTGGCAAAGCAGTGTGAGGTTCTTTCAATCAGAGGGTATGTTATTTTACTCACAAATCTTTCCAGTGTATATATTCTTGTTCACAAATGGCTGTGAGGGAAGAGTTTTTTATGATTCAGTAGTCCATTAGAACTATTAATTCACTGAAAATCCTAATGAGATAAGATTTAAAAAGAAAAGGGTGGGGGTGCTCACCTGGCTGGCTCAGTCAGTAGAGCACGCAACTCTTGATCTTGGGGCCATGAGTTCAAGCCCCACATTGGGAGTAGAGTTTACTTAAAAAAAAAAAAAATTTTTTTTTAGATGCACTAAGTTAAACATCTTAAGGAACGCCTTGCTTAATGTTACCGTTTCATTTTTATCATTATAATGTTGAAGTTTAGTAACTGGTAAACAGCGAGAGTATAGTGTATATGCAGTAGTCCAATAGCCCATATATTCCAGATTTATCCCAGAAAAATTAATATATGTCATTTTCCCCCTAAGATTGCATTATGTTCTTTTAAACTACTAATTACTATCTATATTAGGAAGGTGTTCATGTTACTTATGGCTTCTAAGTTACCCCTAACTCATTTTAATACATTTTTCCACAAGCTAAACAATTTTTAATGACTTTTAAAGAAAATTCAAATGTACATATAGCAAACTAATATTTTGGTTGCTTTAAGAAATCTTAGTTTGGAATTATAAACTGTCATTACTACATCTTTTACATATAGGACCTGTGTATATGTGCTTGGGCTCATAGCCAAAACCAAACAGGGCTGTGATATTCTGAAATGTCACAGCTGGGATTCTGTAAGGCACAGTCGCAAACATCTGTGGCCAGTGGTTCCAGATGATGTAGAACAACTCTGTAATGAACTCTCATCCATCCCAAGCACCCTGAGTTTGAACTCAGAGTCAACCAGCTCTAGACATAATAGTGAAAGTGAATCTGCACCATCAAGTGAGTATTGTTGACAAGATCATATAAAGTTAGCTGAAATTAGCATTTGTATTTGTATTGTCACAATTTAAATGTATTTGTTACATTCCTAATTTACTTTTATCTAAGATAATTTGGCAATAATGGGGTCTTGGAGAATGTGTTATCTTTTCACAACAGAGAGTAATAGCCACCAGACTACATTGTTCTCTCTCCTTGCTTTTCTAAATAGACTTTGGAAAAGTCTTACAGAGTTAAAAAATAAGCCATGTGCCAGAAGAACCTATTCCCCTTTTTGCTTATCATAAAATCTAAAAAGTAAATATTTGCTTACCTTCTTCATTTACATACTTTTTCACTCATTTTTCAGATACAGAGATTGTTGAACCAGAATGTATTTATTAAGAGAGATTATATTTACATATTCATTTTTGAGAGAAGAGCTAAATTTTAAAACTAAATATTGAAACTGTTAAAAGAGTATCAAAAATCAATTAAATAAAAAACGGTTTGTGGTTTTAAGCCTTGTGCTAAATACTGTTAGTCATACAAAACTTAAGACATGATTCTTTTTAAGAAGATAGTGCAACATTTTCCAACCATATTTTACCAGGCCTAAGATGCTGTGAATTATAAGATGGACCAGTATTTTATGTACCACTAAAAAAGAAGAAAAAAATACTGCCTATTAAACTAGGACATACCACTGATTACAAGATGCATTCTGATTCTAGAGAATAACTTGTGAAAAATGTGCATCTTAGAATTGACAGAATCTGAAAATATATTATGCAGGTTTATTTGGGATTTTATTTTGCTTTCTTTCAAAATAAATTTGAAGTAGTTTATAACTATTGAACAAAAAGCTAAAAATAAAAATAGGATAAAAGCTCATAGATGTCATTTGGACACCCAGATTGAGTCTTTTTTCTTTATTAGAGTTAGACACTAAATTTAGATGAGTTCCTTAGTATCTAAAGGAAAATAAATAAGCCTAATTGATTTAAACATGAATTTAAAATGCTGTGACTTGGTTCTTTAAAAGATATTTTAAAACTAGGAATTCATTTCTTAGAAGATTAATTTCTCCCACTATTGTGATTTGAAAAATTAACAAGAATCTTTACCAAGTGAGTGAACATCCATGGTCAAATCTCCCTTTTCCTTTAATTGTATGCTGAATATTTGGAGGTTTTGGAAACTCCCTGCCATTAAAACAGTCAAGCAAAAAAAAAAAAAAAACACCCCTTCATGTGAACTCTGCCATAATGAATCCTTTAGTTTTTCTTGGGAAATAACAGAAGTTCCTCATAATGACATAATTTCACATTTTATTTAAGTTCAAGTGCTTGGTGTCAAGAAGTTTTTTTTTAATGTGGCTTCTCAGCAATTTAACCCTTTATTTTTGAAACATTTTTTTCCCAGATGACTATTCAACAAAATATTCTTGAAATATGTCACTAACAGTTGCCATGATTTTGTTTTGTCATTTTTTTATGCGCTTTTATTAACAATCCTTTGATCATAGGTATGTTCATAATGGAGGATGACCGGTTTGGCAGCAGCTCTACCAGTACGTTTTTTCTTGACATCAATGAAGATACAGAGCCAGCATTTTATGATCGACCTGGACCTATAAAGGATAAAAATTCATTCCCTTTCTTTGCTTCTAGTAAACTTGTGAAGAATCGTATCTTAAATTCGCTTACTTTGCCTAATAAAAAACATCGTAGTAGCAGTGATCCGAAAGGAGGGAAACTGTCATCCGAAAATAAGACAAACAACAGGCGGATCAGAACACTTACGGAGCCCAGTGTTGACTTTAATCATAGTGATGATTTCACACCCATATCCACAGTACAGAAGACATTACAATTAGAAACTTCATTTGTTGGGAATAAGCACATTGAAGACACTGGTAGTACTCCAAGTATTGGAGAGAATGACTTAAAATTCACCAAGAGTCTTGGTACAGAGAATCACAGAGAAAACACAAGCCGAGAGAGATTAGTTGTAGAAAGCTCAACAAGCTCACATATGAAGATACGTAGCCAAAGTTTTAATACAGACACTACAACAAGTGGCATAAGTTCAATGAGTTCAAGTCCTTCACGAGAGACAGTAGGTATCGATGCTACGACTGTGGACACAGACTGTGGAAGTATGAGTACTGTGGTAAGTACTAAAACTGTTAAGACAAGCCACTATTTGACGCCACAGTCTAACCATCTGTCTCTCTCCAAATCAAACTCCGTGTCCCTGGTGCCTCCAGGTTCTTCTCACACACTTCCTAGAAGAGCACAGTCCCTTAAAGCACCCTCTATTGCTACGATTAAAAGTCTAGCAGATTGTAACTTTAGTTACACGAGTTCTAGAGATGCCTTTGGCTATGCTACGCTGAAAAGATTGCAGCAACAAAGAATGCATCCGTCCTTATCTCATTCTGAGGCTTTGGCATCACCAGCAAAAGATGTGCTGTTTACCGACACCATCACCATGAAGGCCAGCAGCTTTGAGTCCAGGTTAACACCAAGCAGGTGAGCAAATGCACATTTAAAAATGAACAATAGTGGTTGCATTTTAACAGACTTAACTGGAAAGCACTAGACAGGTTTTACATCTACATAAGCCTCAGAACTGACCAATTGTAATTGTTTACTATGGTAGGCTCTAAGCTCCTAGTTACCCGATATGTTTTGAAATGGATTCTTGCAGCCGCGAGGGGGGAAAAGAAATTCTTTTAGGCCCTGAAAATAAACATCTATGGTTTGCAAGGACACACAAGTCACAAGCTTTTTTTTATTTCTCGCTTCTGCAAGGATCGATTTTAAAAAGAAGCATGTCGGGGGAATCAGGAGCTTAAGACCTACAATAACAAACAACCTTTTCAGGTAGGTCAATTTAAGGCTCCAAAAGTTGACCTTTATTATTATTATATTTTTTAAGTAACTACAAATTTTAGTAAAATTCTTTTCAGTTTGTCTTAAGTAGCTGTGATTATTTAGTAGGAACCTAACGAACATTAAATGAATTACTTGTCCCTCAGGATTCAGCAGTAGTAGTTTGCCTATGCTCAAGAACTTTTAGGGAATTTCTATGCCATATCTAAAAATTGTGACCAGGTTGATCAAAATAAACAATTTTGATTTTACCTTTAAAATATATGCAATGTAAAATTTGTTGCAAAGGTTCTGTACCTGTTTTTTTGTTTTGTTTTTTTTTTGGTTATTGTTGGGCCAAATACTTCTAACAATTTACTTAGTTTTTGTTATTAATTCCCATTTATTTAAATGGATTAGTATTTGTCAAATACTGAGAAGAGTGCTTGACACATACCATCATCAATTAGCATTATGGGTAGTTATTTCCTTATGTAACCCATTTGGCTTTTACAGAACCAGATTCTTAATAACATTAAGAAGTTATTAAGCAGTTTTATTTCAGTAATACTAATGCATTTAGTAGAAGGGGTTCCTCTGTGGTAGATAATAAATTATATCCCATTTGATAGAATTTTATAAATTATGCAGTAATGTCTCATACAGGAACTCACCCATCTTTGGCAACCTCATCAATTCAGAGCAAAGGCAAATCTGTTACTAGCTCACTAGTCTCAATCTATGCAGTAAGGTTCAAGAATTGTATTCAGAAGACCCACATTCAAAGTTGATACTTACCCTAACAAGCTTGGATTATCAGGTTTTCAGGCCTATGGGAGCAACAATTAGAAACTTCTGATTGGTAGGAACACTATAACAAGAAAGGACAGCTGATAAAACTGGTAGCAAAGAAGGAAACTTTTGTATTACAACAAAGTATTTGAAAATTCAGAGACCACTGCAGTAGCCAGAGCAGTCACGTAGCACAGCAAAATAAGCAGTAGGAGTTGCACCATCGTACAGCTCAGTGCAATAACCAAAGAGCTGTTATGATTTGATACTATTTGGTTGATTATATCCCATCGAAGCCGGCCATTTCTATCCAAATTGATGAAGGCATAGATTAAAGAGTTGTACTGTTTAAATATTCATAAGAATAGACCAGAAAAGACAGCTACCCCAAATCACTTATTTCTTAACCAATCTGGGTTCTTAGAATCTTATTTCCTATATTCTCTGTTAGACCAGAAGAAAGTTATTTGGAAATTTTACTCCTGGAGTAAAATGCCAACTTACTGGCATTATATAAAGGATGAATAGGTGTTTTAATTTCTTGGGAGGGAAAAAAATAAAAACAAGAAATAACAGTCATGAGATAGGAACAGCTTGTACAAAGGCATGACGGCATAACAGAACTTTATGTTCATCAAATCTTTCATTTGTTTTTCAAATTGTATTTAGTACTTACTGTGTGTGGACCAGATTCCATGGAGGAAAAAACTGTGTTGGCATTAGTCTTTCTATTCCTACTTCTTACCTTTGGTTAGTTCAGAGAAAACGAAAGTGATGGACGCTAACTACAAATTTACTTCAAAATAACAGTTTGGAATCCAGGCTGAGAAGGACTATTATTACTTGTTTTGTTTTCTTATAAAATTAAAAGGGTAGGCAATGCAGATACGTACCTGTGGTACAATGGATAGCGTGAGTCCAGGAGTCTTAAAAAATCGTATCTCACTGAGATATTTCCTTGGGACATGGTAGAACAAACACTGAAGTAGGAATCCTTAATCCTAAATTCTAATCCTGGCACTGAGTGAATGAACTTGAAGAAGGTTTCATAAATTATGCTGTAATGTCTCATCTGCCTAGACTTCAACAGCTTTGCAAAACTTCATCAATCCAGAACAAAACCAAGCAGACCTCATTTGCTCACTATTATGAATCTGTGTGGGAAAGTTCATGAATTTTGAAATATCTAGGCCTTAGTTGCCTCATCTAATAGAATTTGGACTAGATCAGTGAGTGGTTTTAAGCTTTTCGAATGTTGCTTTTTAAGTAGAGAATCTCTCCACAAAAACATTTCTATGGAAACCCAATATGCGGAATAGATTAAAATGGAGCTAGTCAGTTGAAATAGGGATTGGGAAGGCAAGTATCCACCACCTCCTACACCTCCAATACTCCTTTAAGAGTTTTATGAAGTAAGAGAGGCTTAACAAATTAATTTTAAAACCACTGACCAATTTTATGAAATTTGTCAATTTCAGTTAGGAGTCTTTTAAGCAGAAATTAGGAGTGGTTTTTTACTATGATAATTTTTTTTTTTTAGATTTTATTTATTTGTCAGAGAGAGAGAGAACACAAGCAGGGGCAGCAGCAGGCAGAGCAGGCAGAGGGAGAAGCAGGCTCTCCGCTGAGCAAGGAGCCGGATGCGGGACCCTGGGATCATGACCTGAGCTGAAAGCAGATGCTTAACCGACTGAGCCACCCAGGCGTCCCAACTATGATAATCTTAACAGCTACGATTTTGAAGGATTTTGTGTGCATTATAAAATAATTCCTTTTTTAAATATCAGGCTACATTGTAATATTTTAAATGACTTGGGTTTCTAAATGCTAGTGTACCTTAACTGTGGAGCCTTGTGTAGTGCCTAGTATATACAAAGCAGGTGCCTAGTAAATATTTTTAGCATGTATGTTGCACGAATAAGAAACCTTTATCTTAAGGAAGTATCAGTATACCATATTTATTATGGAGTCACTAGTGAGTGTATTGCAGAAATATCAGTGCTTTAAATAAAACTGTCTTGTAATATTTACAAATGGTAACATTATTGCTGTTGTGTGTCTTCTCTGTGACATAAATCTTGTTGCTAAAGCATTAATTACCACACAAAGGATGATAAGTATTCTTATTTTTCATAAAAATAATGTTAAATGGAGTTAATAGACATGACCTTAGTTGTATGATAGCAAATTTACTAGTTTGAAATGATTGTGAAGATAGTCCTTGGATCATACCTGTGACTTCTGAGGACATTTATTTTTTAAATTCTAGATACTGAAAGTTATCTTAATTGCCCACCTTTTCACTTTTACCTGGGAGGCCATAGTGTTGTTTTTCGAAACAGGCTCATTATGGATGGTCTTTTGTATATCATTTTACAACAGCTAAATGATTTCAAGTGTTTATATGCTATTAATAAACAAGATGGCACTGTTTAGTACTTGGCTAGCTACTTATCTTTTTGAAGTTAAAAAAATAAATTGTAATTCCTCTATATGATGAATATTACAAATCAAGAAACTAATGCAAGTGGGATTTTTTTTTATGGTTTTATAGGTTCATGAAAGCTTTAAGTTATGCTTCATTAGATAAAGAAGATTTATTAAGTCCTATTAATCAAAACACCCTGCAGCGATCCTCCTCAGTGAGGTCCATGGTGTCCAGTGCAACGTATGGTAGTTCAGATGACTATATTGGTCTTGCTCTTCCAGTAGACATCAATGATATATTCCAGGTATCATGAATTCTATTTTCCTATTATTTCATGTTGTACAACTGCTTACTAGAAATTACAATTTAGAGTGAATACTATTTTGGGAGAAGATAATTTTTTTTAAAGCAGTTTTGTTTAAAAACATTTTATGATGAAAATTATTTCACAATTTATTCTGTACTTTTTTATTTAGTATTTCCAAGTCCCCAGAACATTATGCTTCCCTCTCTTCCTATACTAAATCAGCATCTTGTTTGATTTCTTATCGGTATATTCTCTATAGAAGTTTAGTGACTTTTTAACTTTGCTTTTTAATCACAGTTGACTTATCCTTGTTTTTTTATGTTTATTTTTTTGTTTTTTTGACATTGAACACAATTTGTGTAAGTTTGAAGTATACAGTATGTTCCTTTTTTTTTTTTTTTTTATAATCCTTGAACCTATTTATCCTGCACAGGACAGCCACATGTGCCCAGTCATATAAGGTGGTCCTAATCCCATGAAATACCTACATGATAGATAGTATTGAAGAATCCACATTTGCTCAGGAGTCTAAAGACATTTTAGATAAATTCTAAAAATAATTATTTTAATATTTATTTAAATTACCAAGAGTAGATAAGAACTTAAGGATTATTTGTTATTTTATCAAATTTTGGTAATTTAACCTTCTTTCGTGAATTTTTTGTTGTATGTTCATGTGCTGTAGTAATTCTATTTAAATTGCATTTCATTTAATCTTGCTAATATTCATAAAGTGAACTTCGTAATTTATCTGTTTTAGGTAAAGGATATTCCCTATTTTCAGACAAAAAACGTACCTCCACACGATGATCGAGGTGCCAGAGTGTTTGCCCATGAGGCAGGAGGTAATGCATGGTTTCTGTTCTGAGACTGACTCTTCTTTATATTAAAAAGAAAATTCTTTTTAAAACAAAGTAGATTAAAAAGAAAATCTTTTCAGTAGGATGACATTAAAAATTCAGATATACTTACTTTTGGGTCAACTTAAAAATTATGCCAAAATAATTGTTTGAGCCCATTTAAAACTAAACCACAGTATATTTTTGTGAGGGACTTAGAAAATGTTCTACCCAGCCTCTCAAGAAGACAAAAACTAGATCATTTGATTCTGTTTTTAAAAACTAATGCGTGAAAAATTTATAATGCCGATTCTCAAAAGGTCTAAGAAAGGTGTTTGGGGAAAGGAGAGAGATAAAAACGTACTTATGCATTACATGATCTCTCATTGTTATGAACAATAAGATTTTAATGAATATATGCATGTCAGCCATAGGTTTAAAGCTTCATAATTTTTTTTTTTAACAAGTACCTCTTTAGATAGACTCAGAATTATTACGTTTCTTTATGGAAGTACTGAGAATAATTGAAATTATGTCTTAATTGTGTAATTTTAATTTTCCATTTTGCATTTAAAATTTTATATTGAAGTAATATAAGCTTATCTGCTAACTTTATTTTCCTAATTTTAAGCAAATTACTCTCTTTTCTCCTCAATTAAGGTTAAGATTTTGAGTCATAAAAAGAGTTCTGGTTTTCTTCCCTAATTTTCCTAATTTGAAAATTCACATAGTTTGAGACATCTTGAAAAGAGGTATCATTGATACTATCTTTATCAGATTTTGTTTCATATTTACTTACGCACAGGTCTTCCATCTGGAACTGGAGGTCTTGTAAAAAACTCTTTTCACTTGCTACGACAGCAGATGAGTCTTACGGAAATAATGAATTCAATCCATTCAGATGCTTCTCTGTTTTTAGAAAGTACGGAAGACACTGGATTACAGGAGCATACAGATGATAACTGCCTTTATTGTGTCTGTATCGAAATTCTGGGTTTCCAGCCCAGTAATCAACTAAGTGCAATATGTAGTCATTCAGGTAAGTGATTATATCCATCTCCACCTAATTTAAATTGCTCCAGTCACAAATCTTGTCCCACCTCTGTTGACCATCCCTCTTACTCCATTCTCACTACCTCAGCCTTAGTTCGGTCCCTCAGCATTTCCCTACTGGAGGGTTGGAGGTAGTGTTTCGTCTCCCAAGTTTGGCCCCTGCCAATTCATCTTTCATACTATTCCCTGGGCTTAGTCTGTTGACAGTTCTTTACTGGCTATTCATGCCTAGCACGCAAGATTCTTCGTGTGATCTATTGTCTTGTTTTTCTTTAATTGGAATTCTTTTTTTTGCTTTAATTGGACTATTATTAACATAGAATGTTACATTAGTTTTGGATGTACAATATAATAGCAATTCTGTTTTTCTTCTTTTTAAATTATTTTTTAATTCTAACATAATTAACATACAGTTATATTTCAGGTGTACAATATAGTGGTTCAGCAATTCTGTATGTTCATCAAGATAAATCTGTTCTTAATCCTCTTTATCTCTTTCACCCCGGCCCCACCTACCTCTCTTCTGGCAGTTACCATTTTGTTTGCTGTGTTTTAGAGTCTGTTTTGTTTATTTGTGTCTTTTTTCTTTGTTAAATTCTATATATGAGTGAAATCATACGGTATTTGTCTTTTTCTGATGACTTCAGTTAGCTTTATTGCAAATGGCAAGATTTCATTCTTTTTTATGGCCAAGTAATACTCCAGTGTGTGTGTGTGTGTGTGTGTGTGTACGTACGTGTACGTGTACACACACACACTATGAATACACACTTGGGTTCTTTCCATATCTTGGCTATTATAAATAATGCTTCAATAAACATAGGAGTGCATATATCTTTTCAAATTAGTGTTTTCGTTTTCTTTGGGTAAATACCTAGAAGTGGAATTACTGGATCATATGGTATTTCCGTTTTTAATTTTTTTCAGGAACCTCCATACTGTTTTCGACAGTGGCTGTACCAAAGGGCATTCCCATCAATAGCGCATGAGGGTTTCTTTTTCTCCACATCCTCACCAGCACTTGTTATTTCTTGTGTTTTGATTTTAGCCATTCTGACAGGTGTGAGATGATAATCTCAGTGTGGTTTTGATTTGCACTTCCCCGATGAATGATGTTGAGCATCTTTTCATGTGTTGGCCATCTGTATACCTTCTTTGGAAAAATGTTCAGGTCCTCTGCTCATTTTTAATTGGATTACTTGGTTTTTTGGTGTTGAGTTGTATAAGTTCTCTATATATATTGGATTTTAAGCCATTATTGCATATGTCATTTGCAGATATCTTCTCCCATTCAGAAGGTTATCTTACTGTTATGTTGATGGTTTCCTTTGCTGTGCAAAGTCTTTTTATTTAGTGTAGTCCTAATAATTTTTTAGTTTTGCTTTTGTTTCCCTTGCCTTAGGAGATATCTAGAGAAATGTTCCCATAGTTAATGTCAAAGAAATTAGTACCTATTATTTTCTCTAACAGTTTCATGGTTTCAGGTCTTACCTTTAGGCCTTTAATCCATTTTGAATTTATTTTTGTGTAAGATGCAAGAAAGTGGTCCAGTTTCTTTCTTTTGCATGTAGCTATCCAGTATTTCCAGCACCACTTGTTAAAGAAACTGTCTTTCCCCCCTTGTATAATCTTGCCCCCTTGTATAATTTGTCATAGATTTATTGACCATATAAGTGTGGGTTTATTTCTGGCCTCTCTCTTCTGTTCCAGTGATCTCTGCGTCTGTTTTTGTGCCAGTACCATATTGTTTTGATTACTTTAGCTTTGTACTATATCTTGAAATTTTCAAGATTACTTGGCTATTTGAGGTCTTTCACCATTCCATACAAATTTTAGTATTATTTGTTCTAGTTCTGTAAAAGATATTGTTGCTATTTTGATAGGGATTGCATTAAATCTGTAGATTGTTTTGGGTAGTACGGGTATTTTATCAATAGTGGTTCTTCAAATCCATAAGTATGGATTATCTTTCCATTTGTGTCATCTTCCATTTCTTTCATCAGTGTTTTATAGTTTTCAGAATACAGGTCTTTCGCCTCCTTGGTTAAGTTTTTCCCTAGATATTTTATTTTTGGTATTATCGTAAATGGAATTGTTTTCTTAAATTTCTCTTTCTGCTACCTCATTAGTGTATAGGAATGCAACAGATTTCTTTATATTTCATAATTCCAGGCATAAAAATGAGTTTTCCCTGCTGTTCCCTCTTTGGCCGGTCCACCTCATCCTAAATGTCAGTATTTTACCTGTGAAGCTGTCCCTCGCTAAGTCAGATGTTGACATTCCTTCCTCTTCACTCTCATTGCCTTTTGTACATAGATCTCTTATAATCATTATTGGTTGGTTATTTTTTTCCCTTCCACTCATTAAGTTCCTTCAGTGTGTGGACTCTCATGTCTTTCCATTTTTATATTTCTAATACCTAGCTGCATACTGCTTTGTGTAGTAGACAGTATGTTTTTGGTGAGAGCAGATTCAGATTCAGCTTTCTTATATGATTCAACAAATGACATATGCAGGTCTTCCCCAACTCGTGATGGGGTTACATCCCAATAAACCCATCCTAAGTTGAAAAAAATCTGAAGTCAAAATGCATTTAATATACCTAAGCTTCCAAACATAGATTAGTCTAGCCTATCTTAAACATGCTCAGAACACTGGGCAAAATCATCAACACAAAGTCTATTTTATAAGTGTTGATTGTCTCATGTAATTGATTAAATACTGTACTGAAAGTGAAAAACAGAATGGCTCTCTGGGAACAGAATGGGTGTGTATTGGCTGTTTACCCTCACGACCACATGGCTGACTGGGAGCAGTGTCAGCTGTCACTGTGCGGCGTCACAAGAGAGGATCGTACTGTAAATCGCTAGACCAGGGAAATTTCTAAGTTCAAAATTCGAAGCAAAGAGTTTCTACTGAACTTGTACCATTTCTGCACCATCGTAAAGTCCAAGCATTATAAGTTGGGGACCATGAATATTAGCAACTTCAAACTGATAATGTGTTTGTATATGTGTATAAAGTGTTTCCATAGATACGTTTTCTTGGTGAATATCACCTAGTAATATCAAAAATCTAGTAATATCAAAGTTCTCTGAGTCACTCTTCTAAATTTCTCCTTGGTGTTCTGATTCAGAGCTTTCCAACTGATGGGTTGTAGCATGCTGATACACCACAGATAGGATATGGGTGTGCTGAGATCATTAATTCCCTCAAATGTTTCCATGCCTCTGGGGCCTGGGTTTGAACAGACCCTTGGACTAGGCACTTCCCACTGTGAACAGCTCTGTCCAGGGCCCCATCATGTTGTAATTATGGCATTTCCTGCGAGTGAGAGGTTTGGGCAGTATTGTTCTGATGTATTGCACACAGTAGAGAGTATTCTGTTTTAAATCATTTGGCTCTACATCATTTATGATATTTTAGTTTCTGCAAGTTCTGCTTCTTCATTTGTATCCTTATTCATCAAATACTTATGAACTGTACTTACTGTGGATTTTACTTTACTGTTTTCTACTTAGTTTATCAAACAAAAAATAGGGAAACCAGCCCCTCAAGTACCTAGTCACAGGACAGTCACAGCTAATTCTAACCCTTCTGTGACCTGTAGCTAGGAGAGTGATCAGGCAGAGCATCATGAGGTTTGGGACTTGTGAAAGACGTGCTATAGGCAGAAAGGTGCTCACCTTGGCACAGTCATCAGAGCCTCTTAGCTGGCTGGCCAGTGATATGAAGTGTTAGAGTAAGAGGCAGCAGGGAAGAACAGCTCTGGATTGGAAAATGATTACAGCTTACTACCGATACCCATCTTAGAAGTGTGAAGGGAGGAAAGCCAAATGGTTAAAAAGTCGCCAAACCTTCATTCATTCATTCATTCATGTCCTCAACATAATATTTATTATGCTGCTACCATGGGTCAGGCATTAAACTAGATGCCAGAAAAACATTTATGAGAGGGGAAAAAAAAACACTGTTCTTAAACTCTTTGAGCTTCATTCAGTGGGGAAAACAATGGATGAATGGATTGGTCACTTGATCAGTTGATTATGTGAATATAATAACTGCATTTGTAACAAGTGCCAGCAAGAATAGGTACATGGTATTAGCAAAGGAATAGAACCAAGCAGGCAGGTCAAAAAGATTTCTAAAGAAGTTACTATTGAGCTATGATCTAAAGAATGACTAGAAGCTAAAAAAGTGAAGATGGAGTATAGAAAATTTGAAGAGAGAGTGAACAGCCTGAGCAAAGATCTTTTCTCAGGGGAGCATGCATGGGGAGTAGCAGGGTCTAAAAAGACACCTGTGTGAATAGAGCTCAGACTCTAAGAGGGAAGGAGATATATGATCAGCCTAGAGAGATACGCAGAGACCAGATCCTGCAGAACCCTTGCTACCCAAAGTATGGTCAGTGGACCAGCAGCATCAGCATCACCTGAGAGCTTGTCTGAAATGCAGAATCTCGAACTCCACCTTACGCACAGAATCAGAATCTGCACTTCCACGAGACTCCCAGGTTGTTCATGTGCACAGTAAAGTTTGAGAAGCATTCCTGTAGACCATATTGAGGATTTTGTGTATCAGAAAGACTTCCATATTGTCCATGGCAGATACTAAAAAATAATCCCTATGCTATTTAATGATCATTTTAAAGGAACATCAAGACTTGAACACAAGATGTTTCTTTCTCTAAAACTTCTTGTCTGGTGGTAATGGTTCAAAATGTAAAGCTCAGAGGAAAGGCTATTGGAATAAGATATCTGGTAACATTTTATTCTGCATCTGCCACCTTCACAGATTTTTATGCATTGTATGGTTCTAGTGTGCTTAGAGGAGTGATTTTTTTTTTCCTTAATGAGAATGCTTAACATGTTCAGAGATGGGACCTGATTCTAACAGGTTAGAAATGTTAGGAGTCATCATAAGTTAAAGGTGAGGCTGAAATAGTTTATAACTTTTCAGAAACATGTTGACTGAATGAAGTATAACTTTCTTACTGTTCCTTGTGCTGAAAATACTTTGTCATCATAGTCTCTGGGTAGCTTATCTACTGATTCTAAAATAACATATTCATCTCTTATCTGGTTATTCAGCATTAGTGTTTTTTTAAGTACATCTTCAGTTCTCAGATCTTTGGCAATAGTTTTGTTTTTTAAATCAATGAATGATTAAGTAGCATGTGTTACTTTTAAGCCCCTGAAAGGCACATGATTTCCTTAATAACCAAAATTTTAAAACCATGCCAAATTTATAGATCTTCTTTTCCAAGGAACCAAAGTATTGTCTACTTAGTATTTTGAAAATTGTAATCTTAGGAAGTGTTTAGGGGATCATATCTATTCTATGGAAAACAGCATAGGGAGAGATTGACATTGGTTTGGTTTCCTGGGTTTTAAAAATAGAGCTTTTTTTTTCCTCTACTGTGACAATGTGCTATAGTAAAAGAGTACTGGACCATCTGTCAAGAGCTCTTACCTTCAGGCTGAGTGGTGTCTCCTCTCTCTGAATCTCTTTTCTTTCATGAGGTGAAAACTTGAATTAATTTCCAATATTTCTTATAGTACTAAGGTTGTATGATTTTATAGGTTGCCCAGTGTTACTCCCTAAAAGGATAGCCAAAGACTTCTCAGTGATGTCCCATTTGCTCTGATCACTATAAGTGCTCAAGAAAATTTTAAATCAAAAAAGTTAATGTCACGTTAGCAACACTGAGATGTTTGGTTGACTTCAAAATCCCATCTAGAAGTGCCTTAGCAGTGCCTGGGTAGTGCAGTAAATTTAATTCTAAGGAATGAACTGATAAGCTCAGGGAAGTGTAATTCTTATATTGGTAATTATTAAATGGGGAGAAAAGCAAGTCATAGAATAATAATATAGCATAATCCCACTTACACACCCAAAGAACTAGAAAAACAAATTTAACGTAGCAGAAGATCTTAAAAGATATATATGTCGGGGGCGCCTTGGGTGGCTCAGTTGGTTAAGTGCCTGCCTGCGGCTCAGGTCATGATCTCAGGGTACGGGGATCAAGCCCTGCATTGAGCTCTCTGCTCCTCAGGGAATCTGCTTCTCCCTCTTACTCTCCCTCTGTGCTCTCTCTCTGTGAAATAAATAAATAAAATCCTAAAAAAAAAAAAAAGATATATGTCAGACTTTTAATCGTATTTCCCTTTGGAGAGGTATTTAGTGTATTTAGTGTGGGGGTGGATACAGTAACTTCCTGTTTTATTCTATATACATCTTTATTTGAATTCTTTAATCATATATTATTTTTGTAATTTAGGAAAATAAAATTTATAAATGTCTCTAAAATTCAGATTTCACTATCTGAGCAGTCCAAATTTACTTTAAAGATCATTGTGGAAAATAATTGTTGAAAACTGGAAAGACATCACAAGAAATCGTTTCCTCTATGGTATATAATGAAGCATAGGAATTAAACCATTATGGTACTTTAATAGAAATAATAGATTTTTTTCTTCAGACCTTCAAGACATTCCATATTCTGATTGGTGTGAGCAGACTATCCATAACCCCTTAGAAGTGGTTCCTTCTAAGTTTTCGGGGATTTCTGGATGCAGCGATGGAGTGTCTCAAGAAGGCTCAGCCAGCAGCACCAAAAGCACAGAGTTGCTGCTAGGTAAGTTTTCAGATTTAGAGCCAAGCATTGTTAATAAAACTATACTTAGTTTTGTTGTTGTTGATGGATAATGTTAATAGAAATTGTCTCAAATCTACAAGTCCGTTTCATCCAGGTATACTTAGCCAACTCTTGGAACTGTTGTTGTCCTCTTCCATTAGAATTTTGTTCCCAAAATGATTGGCAGTTTATGTGCAGATTAGGTGAGATCTTTAAGTAAGATTTAAAAACAAATCTCATGAGTTGTAATCATTTCCTATTGTGATAAAGATAAAATATTTTCATCTTTTGTTTAGGTGTTAAAACAATTCCAGATGATACACCAATGTGCCGTATACTCCTTCGCAAAGAAGTTCTGAGATTAGTCATTAATTTGAGTAGTTCAGTTTCAACTAAATGTCATGAAACTGGGCTTTTAACGTAAGTAAACTATAAACGTGAGTATTCTTTGTTCTGCTTTTTAGGGTGAAAAGATCCTTGAAATACTTCCAAAGTTAGACCAGTTTACATCAGTAGTTGTGCATGGTATAGCTGTGTGAGGCTAGGTTTTCTTCACGTACTTCAACCAGAATAGCATATGGTCAAAGATTGAACGCAGAGGTAGGTATGTGAATCCAGCCAGTCCTCTATTAAGCTGGACTTTAAAGAGATCTTTAAAAACGTAAAATACCACTCTTCTCGCTTTCTGAGTTTTAGAAAATATTTTTCATTAAAATGTAAATATTTATGGGGTGCCTGGGTGACTCAGGCAGTTAGGCATCTGGCTCTTCATTTCGGCTCAGGTCATGATCTCAGGGTCATGAGATTGAGCCCCATGTGTTGGGTTCTGCACTCAGGGCAGAGTCTTCTTGGGATCCACCTCCCCCCCACATACCCCTTCCACCTCCATGCTCCAGCTCTCTCTCTGTCTCTCAGGAAAAAAAAAAAAGTATATATTTATGTTAACAAGTAATGGGTTTTGTTTTTTAAATGAATTAAAATATATTCTTAAGTTTTCTCAATTTTAATTTCTAATATGGTAATTATCAATGGCTTTAGACACAAAAAATAAGCTTTTGGGGGTCTCCTATAATTTTTAAGAAAGTATGGGAATCCTGAGACTGAACAGTTTGAGAAAAGCAGGCCTACACAAAAAACAAGTGGTATTTTCTTGGTTTCATTTTTTTTTCCCTGTTTTCCTCTTTCTTGTAATAAAAGTTGCAAAATTTTAATTTTTTTTCTAAATCATAGCAACATGATAAAGGAAAATTCACGTTGAACTATGATCATCGTTGATCTGCACTATTAAAAGTAGTGTAGCCCTTAAATGCAGCTCAGAGTCTCCTGTGGACCTTTTAAAAAAACAGTAACACAGATGGCAGGGTCCCCCTGCAGACCTCCTGGCCAGATGCTCCAGCAGTAGTGGGTCCTTAGCCTGTGTATTACCCCACTGCACCCCACCCCTGATGCTGTCTTAGCTAAAAGCCACTGTTAGAAGGTGGAAAGATACAAAGAGCCCAGTCAAGGGTATTTCAAACTTAATTTTGAAAATTGTTGAGTCATCCTAGGCTGATAAATAAATTTTGCAATTTCTCATGCTAGTGAAAAAGAATATTTCTGACTCTCTAAGAAGCTTTTGGGTTTTAATCATTTTAAGAGATAACCCCAAACTTTAAAATATCTAGTTTAAGTGTGAGGTAGGAATATTTAATCTTTTATATTCTTATGCCATCATTCCAAACAGGCCATCTGATCAGTGTCTGGAGGGAAAAAATATTTTTAAAGTGATATTTTGGATGGAAAAATAGGTGAGTCATTATTAATAGTTTTTAATCACACCATCGTCTTTTCTTTGGTTTTAGAATTAAGGAGAAGTATCCTCAAACGTTTGATGACATCTGCCTTTACTCTGAGGTTTCCCATTTGCTCTCACACTGCACATTCAGACTTCCGTGTCGGAGGTTCATACAAGAATTATTTCAAGACGTACAGTTTTTACAAGTAAGTAAGATTTGTCAAGAATAATTCTGTGTTTGGTGTTAAGTTAAAAGAGACATTCTGTCTATGGATACACTAGAAAGTCGTTCACAGTTTACCACTTCTTTCCTAGATGCATGAAGAAGCGGAGGCTGTGCTGGCGACACCACCAAAGCAACCTATAGTTGATACATCTGCTGAATCCTGACCTCATATTTATGATGTATATAGATGAATACTATATATATTCATATTTGTGGATTTCCTAAAAGCCTCAGAAAATGCTGACTGACTGAGCAGCAAGGACAGGAGTGTCTTCTGTTCCAGCAATTACTGGTACATGCACAGTTGGAACTGCAGACTTCCCTAACCAAAACAACTTCCTCTTTTCCCTGTTGAGCCCTCGGGGGGTTCATTGCTCATTACCACAGTTTTAAGAGTTTTAGTTACCATTATATGCAAGAGCCAAGCACTGAATACCTACATAGGTTTTCTATTTTTTCATTTTAAGAGCATAATAACAGTGGAACAATAATAGGATATGCAGAAGCACCCTTCACAGTTATTTCTGAATTCTTTTTTTTAGGGTAAATCTAAAGATGCCTTGTTTGTTAACTAACTTGTGGAAACCAGGAATCAGTGTTTCTGAGGCTGCACCCTGCCCCACAGTGGGGTGTGCTGTAACTGCTGGTATTAGAGGAGGAACTTTGGCCCTTCCACATTTTCCTTAATATTTGTAACACTACTTCAGAGGTTTGTAACCTCAAAGCAAAAGAAGAGCCTCAACAACCCAGGACTTATAAGTTATTTTTATGTTATTAGACTTGCAAACAGTTTGTTTTCTGTCTCTTCAGTTTTGTGGCAATGTGTTATTATAGGCTATTTGAACCAATTAAGGTTTTTCACTACAGTTCTTGACTCAAATGAGAACGTCATTTTATAATTCAGAGTATTTCCCATTTGTAGAATGCACATGTTTTCAGTGGACTTCTCATTTTCATCAACTTCCCATATCACCATTTGAAACAGGAACTTGAACAAGCACTATTAATTGAGACCTAAAGCAAAAGAAAGTAAATAACACTTTGGATCTCCTGAGGAAGAGAGAAGTTTGCCTCCGATTTACACATTCCGTGGGAAAAGAAGAGCCATACTTCCTTTTTAAAAAATCATCAATGCAACTTGAATTATGATTAAAAATTGTAGTGAAAAGCCTTAAGTACCAAATTTTAAAGCAGCAGTAATTTAATTTTTTTATATCAGTGTTCTTGTTTTGCACAAACTAAATGCAGTGATAGGTGAGTTTATCAGTACAGTCATTGCCTTTATCATATTTGTGAAGTTGTTAAGTTGATGAGGGCAAGGTTTTGTTTATTTGTGTGTTTAATTTGTATATGTTTAAAGATATTTGGAAATCTTTACAGGAATTAAACATATATGCAAATTTGTATATAAAAATAGCATGGCCATCACCATTAGAATGCTTGTAAATGAAAGGATTATCTTTTTTGAGGTCTATATATAAATAGAAAAAAAAATCCAGCTGGACTGATTAGGACCCTTTTTTTAATTCATTTGTTTATACCATTTTTACAGTTGCACATCAGCTTTGACACAGTCCTAGTATCTTGATTAATATTTTCCCATAGTACAGATCCTTTTTATAACGGGCTTGTTCTTTGAGATCTCTGTAAAGAACCCTGTGAACTAGAAAACGTAACTCACAGAGATAGGTTTTTTTTGTTTTTGTTTTGTTTTGTTTTTTAATTTACTGGCACTGAAAGTTCCAATTGGGATGAAGCATTTCATCTCACTTCATAACACCTCTTTGACTGCACTTCAGTGAATTGTTCTTACATGCACTGTGTAGCAACTTACATTATAACAAAGCAGATAAGGGCTGTAAGCTGCTGCTTATGTTAAAAGTGGTTCTTCAGATTTTCTCTCATAAAATCCAAGTGAAAATAAAATTATTTTTTTTAACTTTAATTTATCGCTGAACCCAAGTGTTTATTTAAATGTTAACAGTACTTTTAAGAACGTTGCCTGTCACCTTGGTCTTTGGTCTTGGATGATTAAAATGCCTTCCAGAGAACCAAATGTCAGAATTACTAGACCAAATAGTGGTTAAAAACTCCAAAGGAGGTAATTTAATCTTATTCATATTGGGGTTGACATATTTTAGACATTGATTTTAAACACTACCTCAGTTAATATAGAATATAAAATCTGTGGTTTAATCCCTCAAAAGTTAACAGTAATTCTTTGTCACACACACACACACACACACACACACACACACACACACACACACACACACACACACACACACACACACACACACACACACACACACACAACTGTCCCCATCCCAGACCCCACTTCATTCATCCATCCTGAAATGAAGTCTTTGTTACTATTAGCCTAAACAGTTTTTTTGACTATTACTTTGAAAGACATGTATGTATACATTGTAATAATTGCCTATAGCACTTAGTTAGGAGAGACAGAGTTTTGTGGTTATCAGTAATCTAAGAAAAATGTCTATACTTAAATGTATACTGCTATTTGGTTTATCCATGTTTCACTGACAGGTCTAATACGTTTTCAAGTACTCATCTGTATAAAAGTAGACTTTTATGATGAAAAATGCTCACATGCAGTGCCAAGTGATTAACTTAGTGTTTAAAAATATTAAATTATAGCAGAAAAGATTAGGAATGGTGTCAGTGGTAATAGAAATAATTGAGAAAGTCATCTATAAATAATAGATACTACCAGACTATAAAATACCAAAATAATGTCAATACTATAGTTTTTCAAGATTTTAGAATTAATCTTAGTCCTTATAAATTTGTACTATTGGTAATTATTGAATAATTGGAGGAATTTGGGCAGTTTTGCTGGTTGTAAACTGTGAATATCTAATTGTAAAGTGAATTGTCATTTCTAATTGAAATTTTTTTTCAAGAACAGATTTCAGCTTCACGATACTAAGTAAATACTGATAAATAATAAGGAAATTAGAAATTAGTATTAATAATTAAATATGGTCTAAAATTTCTTATACATTTATTTCCTGTTTATGCCTAGGTAGATTTGAAGGGGGGATGTCTCCCTAATAATTTTTCTAATAAAGATTGGTAGCATGCGTACGTTCTCCGAGACAGCGACATTAAAAGAGGCCCTTCGGAGGGTACACACTCTAACACCAGTCACCCTGACATGCGTACAGCTTCTTCCGAAACGGTAGCTTTAATAGCTTTCAGCTCTTTTATCCAGAGCTTGAGATAATTAAAGCTGAGTTTTTCAGGGCATATTACAGTAGTAAAGTGTTCAACAGTGAGGTGTCAGTGCTTGCTTAGATTTGTCTACTGCTCTTTATAAATTTCTTTTTCATTCCATTCAGAGGATGCCTTTTATCCCCACATTAAAGCACAGATCATTGAGCAATAAAAACTAATCAAATTGTCATCCAAATTATAGCTGCAATTGTTTCTGCATGTAAGAGTGAGGTGCTAATTTTGTGTGAGATCAGCTTTGTAAACTACCTTGGGAAAAAGTCCTTTGGAATTAAGGTTTTCCCCGTTTTGTTTTATGCTTCCAGTGTCTAAAATTCACAATCCATTAAACATGGGAAAAAAGAAAAGGTAGAACTAACAGAGTTTTATGAGAAGAACTGATGGAATAAAAGAACATTTCAGGTTTTCAAAAATGTACGTTGGGAAAGGTCTCCCTTGCCTCCCCATTCAGGAAATCCATTATCACCAGCTTAATTTTAAGAGTATCACTACAGTGAGAGTTTCATTATAAAAGCGTGCTAGTGAAATGAATAGCAGTGCTTATCAGACAATACTGAAATCTGTGAGAATCTTTCTAGGAGCATTCTTTTTTTCTTTTAGTTCCAGGTTCCCAAAGTATTTTTCATTCATAGTAGGTTTTTATGACTCACACAGAATGTGGATCCCCCCCTTGAGTATTTTTATAATGTAGGTGGATAGCTATGCCACAACATGCATTAATTGCACATCTTGTTTGATTTTCTTCACAAAATATTTAATTTGAAAAATATAATTTATGCCAAAAAAGTGTACCTTGTAATTTTGCCACTAAGTAGGTTGATTTAGCACAAAATACAAAGTCTTGGGGTGGGGGGGCGATAAAAGTTTTTCATAGATAATAGTTGAAAAATGTTCCATTACTGGCCTGGCAGAAACCCTGAAGCTGCATTGTAAAACGAATGGTGTAAATTAGTTTTGAAAAGTGGTAAGGGATTGTGAAAAAAATCTCAGACTTAATGCTCCCTAGCCACATGATATCCTTCCTTTTTTATTTAGTAATAAGCTGCTACATAATTTGGAGGTTCTGGTGTTTGTAGGTCACTGAACAGACATTGAAATCTGATTTATATTGTATAACTGTAACATAGAAAGAAAAAGTATTTATATATTTTCCGTAAGAATATTTCATTGAGTTGTGTATAATTTAAAGAAGGTTTTCCCCAAATGGTTTTGCTCACCTTGATTTTTTGTGTGTGTGGTTTTCTTGTTTTTGTATAATGTGTACAGTTTATGTCAAGGGCATTAAAAGCCTCCTGAAGCATAATCTTATCAAAGGGATACATTGTTAATAAAATGTACTTAAAATTCTTAAAACTTGTGTTCTGTTTGAAATTTTAAAACAATCAGTGTCCATTTGAATTATGTACCACAGAGGCTGATACATGTGACTCCCAGTAAAAATGATTTTTAGGTACCACAGATAAGAGTCTAGTTCAGTAATACATTAGTGGCTCTTCCAGATGTTTTTAAAATATCCTTAAACATTCTTCATAATCTAATCAAACAGATAGCTTTACAGGTTTTATTTTTAACTTCAGATCATTATAAAGTATTTGAAAAAAATGGATCTATCTTTAGACAAAATAGATCTGAATTTTTTGAGGAAATAATATACGATATAAGTGATGATGATATGATGATGATGTTTCTGTGGAAGGTATTTGATTTCTCAGGCAGAAGCTGTCCTGATCAGATAGGCTATCAGTTCAGCCACCTAGTGGCAAAAGAAAATACCACAAGGGAAATTACCAGGGCTGGAGAATAAAATTCAGTGTCAAAGCCAGGTCAAAGCTAGGTTATAGTTGACTAAATGTGGTAAAATGTATGTCTCACTTTCAGAAGTAGATTTGTTTGGATAGATTGGTCTTTAGGCACAATTCTGTATATCATTTTCCCATTGCCTTCTGTATGTTTCTCAACAAAACAGTTGGCCCCAAAATAAACTAAAAGCACACTTAATCATCATCAGACAGCTGATCTTTGAAAAATGTGGACCTAAACTTCAGAAAGTTTGTTTCATTTGAAAAAACCCAACTCTTTGGTATATAAAAGTTCTCAAAAAAATAGAGTACTGTCTTAGTCCATTCAGGCTACTATAATAAAACACCCCAGACTGGGTAGCTTACAAACAACAGAAACCTATTTCTACAGTTCTGGAGGCCAGAAGTCTGAGGCCAGAGTGCTAGCACAGTTGGGAGAGGGCCCTCTCCTAGGTCTGAGTCCTCATTGTGTCCTTACATGGCAGAAGGAATAAGACTTGCAGGGTCTCCCTCCTAAGATCATTAATCCCAAGTACATGAGGGCTCCAGCCTCGTGACCTAATCACCTCCCAAAGGCCCCATCTCCTAATACTGTCATCTTTGGGGGTTAGGATTTCAACATATAAATTTTGAGGGGGACAATCATTGAGACCATAGCAACTACTTCAAAAAAACCCCAAATGTACTAAAACTTTGTTTCTTTAATGGCTTGTTTCAGAGGATAAAGACAACTGCATTTGCTTGGTACTTTAAGTTGCATGTATTTAGTTACTGTGTGGTAAATCTTTCAACTGCTAATTCTAAAGGCTTTTTCTGTTGTATCTCTTCAAGGGTTTCTAAAGTTCTACTTAATGCAAAATGTTTAGTATGTTTTGTAGATTAAGATGAAAGCCAGTTTTTCCATGGCAATCTTAGAAGAAATACTAGATTTTGACTAATTCAACTTAATTTTCTCAATAAATACACCTTCTAGTGGAGAATTAGTTTCGCTAGAATCAGCGTTGAGTCAGGTAGGTGCTAGAATGGAAGCAAGCTCCTTTGGCAAGTGCATGGTTCTGCGGTGTGGCTACGTCCCTGCTCCCAGCCTGAGCGATCGCGGTACCCCGCATGCAGTGAAGGACCACTCTCCAGGTTGATGCGGTATTTATAGGTCATTAATGCCAGTCCTGCACACCATCAAAATGCCCTATTTTTAAAGAACTATTACTAATTTGGCTTTAGGGACTTTTTTTTTTTTTAAGTAGACTTCATGCCCAGCGTGGAGCCCAATGTGGGGCTTAAACTCATGACCCTGAGATTGAGACCTGACCTAAAAATCAAGAATTAGACATCTAAGCAACTGAGCCACCTAGGCACCCCTAGGTAAAATTCTTTTTAAAGGTATATTATGGTCATATTAGGAAAACTAGAGCTTAGAGAAACACAAATATTTGCAGGTGAAATCATATGATTTGCTTCCAAATAATATCAGGAGGGAGAGTGGAAAAGGGTATAGATGGGCTGAAACAGCCATGGGTTAGCAGCTGTTGGAGCTGATGATATACGTAACGGTTTGTTAAACTATTACACTTTTGTATCTTTTGAAATTTTCCAGGAGTATTTTCTTAATCCTAATAGTTCTGCTGACATGAATACAAATTTCAAAGTTTTGTTTTGTTTTTTAAAGATTTTATTTATTTGACAGACAGTCACAGCGAGAGAGGGAACACGAGCAGGGGGAGTGGGAGAGGGAGAAGCAGGCTTCCTGCTGAGCAGGGAGCCCGATGCGGGACTCGATCCCAGAACCCTGGGATCGTGACCTGAGCCGAAGGCAGACGCTTAACAACTGTGCCACCCAGGCGCCCCACAAATTTCAAAGTTTCTGAAGAACACTTCTTAAAGCAATGCTGTTAAGATGGCATATAGTATTGACAATTAAGGGTTTAAATATGAATGTATTTGATGTGATGGGCATGGGAGAGGGATGTTTATAGCCAAAACCGTAGTCATAGTGATATTGTAAGCATAAAGTTACGTAGCCCAGCATTTCCTGTTGGTATGTTGCTATATTTCAGAAAGACATCATTTGACTTAGGACAGTGAGTCTCAAAGTTGAGTGTGCATCCATCCAAATGCCTGGGAGGGAGCTGATGAAATATATAGACTTCAGGCCTCATGTCATGGAAATTCTGATGAGGTGTGGAGCGGTACCCAGAAATTTACATTTTTAGTAAGCTCACAAGGTGATTTATTGGCTATACTCACTGTTAGATTCTCACTTCATTAAGATAGAGAAAACAAAATGCAGTGGTGAAATATTTTAATTAGGCTTTTTGCAACAAAAATGACTTCCAAGGTTTCACGGGTTATTTTTAAAAGAAAATCTATATGAAAGATACTATTTACAAATCAGTCTTCACAGCCATTGACATTTATAATTATATCATGAGAAAGCAACAAAGAGGCTAAATGATGACAATACTGGCCCCCAAGCTCTTCTCAAAACTATCAGACTAATTGAGATACTCGTTTGTACTATGTTAGGAGTGCATAACCAGTTTTTCCAGCAAAAGGTTTAGTTCTACGTAAAGAAAAAGTTGAAAAACGTGAACAGAAGCCCTGGTTTGTGTTGGTATACTTAGGCCAATTGGCAGCCACCTTACTTGGAGATGTGGATCTTTTGGTCTCTTGGTTGTATGGTGTTGATGACATAGTGCACTCTCTTTGGTACCAGAGACCTAGATGGTGTCATTGCCAGCACAGCACACAAGGAACTCCTGATCATACTTGCTTAGAAATGTGATAAACATAAAGCATTGATAGGTAGAAGGAAGAGAAAGGAACGGGCATGTACTGAACACCTGTTAGGCATCAGGTGCATTTGTGTATATATATATTTTTTAAAGATTTTATTTATTCATTTGAGACATAGAGAGCATGAGCAGTGGGAGAGGCAGAGGGAGAGGGAGAAGCAGACTCCCCGCTGAGCCGGGAGCCTGATGCGGGGCTCAATCCCAGGACCCTGGGATCATGACCTGAGCCGAAGGCAGACGCTTAACCATCTGAGCCACCCAGGTGCCCCTGCATTTGTATATATTGATTCAATGAGACAAAGCTGCTGCTGAGCGAATACAGAATTTCCCACTCTATAGCTTTTTACAATTATGTCTAAACCATGTCCAACAATGAAGTTTCCTTTTATTCATTGTTAGCATTATAGTAATATAAATGAGACAGGGTATTTTCTTGACCCAGACAATTGCGAAGACCAAAGGGTACTAAATGAAAACATGTCATTATATATAGTAGTTCTTGAAAAAAAGAGGAACCACAAAATGTGAATGGAATTAATAATAACATTTTCTTTTTTCTGTTCTGAGGTAGTTGTCAAAAATTATGGTCAAAGACTGATGTCCACCAAGTAGGAGTGCTGTTGTCTTGACGCTAAGTCAAGAGTTCCTCGGCAGTCCCACTCTTTAGCTGTAGTAAGCTAAATGGAAAGGCAGTTGTGGGGATCTTATTGATCATTCACATATTTTACCTATCAGATTAGGTCTGTGCACCCAGAAGAGTTCATTTTACTGCATCAATGAACTACAAATTGTTCTCACTTCAAGGCAAGTCTAAAATCTGTTTTACTCTCAAACATCGTGTGACTTTTTCATTAAACACACCCAGAATAAATTAACATTGACAATTTATGGTCTAGTAACAAATCTTCTGTGGCCTTTACTAAAACCTTAAATCTAGTTCCTTTACCCTTAAGATAAGACATAGGGGTAAAACTTAATGGAAATATTTCCTTGCTAAAAACTGAACTTCTAGGACCACAGGCACCCTGTCCAGTACTGAGTGGGCAGGGTCTATCCCCGTGTCAAGTGCCAGGTCTACTGTTCTAAAGGTGAGCCTGGAACAGACAGCAGCAAGGTAAGCCTATTCCCACGATCCCGCCGTTTCTACGGCAAGCCTGCTCCAAGAAGGGATGTTAAGTTCCATAGCTTCTGACCTTTGAAACCAAGCCAGATTGTAGTGGTCTCGTGTGCCAATGGTGACCGCTCACTGGAATTACGCGCCGAGGCATCAGGTGATGGAATGGTGCCGGCGATGCTCCTTTTTTGCATCTATGTAGCATAAAGGCATAAACCGGGTATACCGATTAGTGGTAGTGTTCACCTTCATCTAAAAGGGTAACGGAAGACAGGCTGCTACTCCCACTCGAGGGAGGAGAGGCAAGACCCAAGGGTATGGCCATTTGCATTTTATACTCCGAACACAGTGCTGGCTCTGGTGGATTTGTGGGGAGACTGAACTTGTCTCCAGACGTGGCTGAAGCCAACTGGGACACATAATTTAAATTAGTTTCTCCGGCTGGAATTTCTCCCAGGGAGTTCATGTAGTTTTTTTCTAGTGCCTTTAGTAAATTTTCAGGTGATGTCAACAGTCCCAGCTGACTTGGTGGGGCTACAGGGGCTACTGGGACATGCCCACAAGAAGCAGAGTCAGAAGCTGCCTGATTATAGGTAAAGTTCTCAAAACAGATGCAGGGCCCAGGGCCGGAGTAGCTCTTGTCTGTTGGAAGGAGGTAAAGGTAGGTAGCCTTGGAAGACTCAGTTTCTGTGAGTGACTTCCTAGTGCCTTCCTGCTTGTTTAGAACTTCAATAGAGTCCGGAACACAGTCTTTGATACTCATTATTGTTAGGCGAGGATTCTCCTGGAACAAACAAAAAAACATGTGAATATGAAGTGTGTGTGTATGTCAGAGTATATAAAGTATGTGAAATGCACTCAAGGCTTCAGTTTTTTGTGTGTTTCATCCTAGTCACAAGTTAACTGGAGGTGATGTTGCAAACCAAAGGATTTCCCCCGATGGAAGAACTCTCAAGGCTCCATTCACCCATTTCATGGCTATGGGAGCCGAGGTGGCTGTTGCTTTGTTGTATCTTCCTGAGGAGTTCTCGAAAAGTATGATTAGAGCCCCAGCCCTGGATTAGTCTTTAAGAGATATATGGCACACATACAATTTCCCAGCATTTACCTTGGATTTTATTAATGACAGAACACTACTCTTGTAAGGATCTGGAATGTCAGGATAACACTTCTCCTTCATCCTAGAAAACAGTGAAAATTGGACTGAATTTTGCAATATAGTGACTAAGAGAACTCTGGAGCCAGATTCCCGGGTTCTAAACCTTGCTCTGTCACTTACTAACTGTGTGACCTTGGGCAGGCTATGCTTATATCTACTCGCTGATTCAGTGGAGATAATGACGGTGCCCAGGGTGTTGGTGTGAGGATTGAATGAGCTGTATGTAAAGCACTTAGAATACTGCCAAGCACACAGTAGGTGGACTACCAGTATTAGAGCTATGGTTATTGAACAGGCTTTGCAGTCTTTTTCAAATGGTTATTGCTTTCCTTATATATTGACCTGGAGAGCAAAACTGTTTAAAAATTTTCATATTTTCATCTAAGTCTCTGTCCTTTGCCTTTTTAGCACCTTCTCTCATTATTCAATGTGATTTCTAGCTTCTTAAACTCCTTTCTAGATCTTTTTTTCTCTGACTTCTTGGATAAAAATCTTCCCCACACACTTACCACTGACTTTTCAAGTAGCATATGATCATGATGAGCAAAATGCAGAAAACCATAGGGAGTATGATACGTATCAGTATAGGGGCTGGAGAAGAAAACAAAGTGGTATTTTCAATGAGTACTTTTCCCTCCTCAAAGGCACAAAAGTAAGTTTAAGACTGAAATTAATTTTACAGAGTTGTTATTCTTCAAAAGTCTATTTATGCAAGATTCAATCTGAATTCTGGCTGATGGGGTGGGGGGTCTACCAACCAACCAACACAGGGACCATCTGCTGTCAACACCTTATGACTTGGATTCGTTCCCTCTTTTTTTTTTTTTTAAGATTTTTTAATTTATTCATTTGAGAGAGAGCAAGCAAGAGCACTAGCAGGAGGGAGGGTCAGCAGGAGAGAGAGAGAGCAAGAGCACAAGTGGGGAGAGGGTAAGAGGCAGAGGGAGAAGCAGGCTCCCCGCGGAGCAGGGAGCCCGATGGGGGATCGATCCCAGGACCCCGGGACCATGGCCTGAGCCCAAGGCCGACACTTAACCGACTGAGCCACCCAGGCACCCCTCGTTCCCTCTTCTGACAAACTGGATCACTATTTCCAATTCTTCACTCCCTCCTTGTATTAGAATTATACTCCCCACCTTTGCCAAAGCTTCATGGTGGGTGGAGTGTACTTTGTCCCTTGACTGGGGGCTCAGCCACATGACTGTATTTGGCCAATGGGCTGGCAGTAGTTGTAATCCTAGTAGCTGCTTTAAGTGCCCTTGAACAAGAGTGGGGTTTGATTTGGGGATGGGGATGTGGTGGATAATGTTGGCCTTTTGCAAGAGAGGGCAGGCCTGGGTAGATGCCCAGCCCAGTGCTATGAGCACAGGGGTCTGGAGGCAAGGACACGCAGAAAGGGAACAGGGCGCCAAAGCATGCACCTCAACAACCGGCTCACAGTTAACCCTGACAGCAGGGAGGGGAAAGAAGCTCTCCTCCTGACCTGACTAGACAATACTTGGCTCTCAGATCCCTACTTTTGACTACTATAATTGCTTTTAAGATTTGGTTAACTTATGGACTTATAACTAACTTGAGAACAAGCCTGGGGACCTAACCATGAGAGTTTCCAAGTTTCAGGCTGGTTTTGCTAAACTTTTTATTGAAATGCAATACTTGTGTTCAGAAAAGTGCTCATAAAGTAAGCTCGATGAATCTCACAAACTGAACATAGCCATGTGACCAGCACCCCGGTCAAGAAGGTGACCATGCTCAGCTCCCCAGAGAGCCCGCCCGGGGTCCCCATCCAATCATGATCCCCTCCCAAGGTCACCACTGTCTTGTCTTAGTGCTCCAACAAGAATGGCATTTGCCTCTTTCTGTAACGGAACGCTGCAGCAGGAGTCAGGTCTGGCTTCTGTCATGGTGCATGGCATTTGTGAGATTCGCCCACATTATTATTGCGACTGTGGGGTGTCATTGTCATTGCTGTGATTAGGTAGCAATGGATTTTCCTCTTTAATAACAACCAATATAATCAATAGAGAGGAACAGCCAATGCTAAGGGAAGGTTTAGCATGAATAAGGGAGATAAATGAAAGCTAGAAAATATACTTGAGGTAAAGACAATTATTTGTATTATATTTTTGTATAATTATACATTATACATTGTATTATGTATGTGTACACACACACACACACACACTTCTACCAGCTAAATGAATACCAAAGCTGGAATAAAAACAGCTGGAAATCAATTTAAAGTTTTAAAATTTACCCCCAAACAGCAAGAGTGCTCAAATAATGGAAATCGATGACTGAAATCTTAATCTGAGTCCGAGAGTTCTGACCTTTGCCTGGGAAACCGGAGGAGTGAGCAGCACTGAGGGCCCCAGCCTGCCGGCAGAGTCCTGCGCAGCATGCCTGGGCCAGCAGCTCTACCTGCCGCGGCCATCCAGTCCCCCACGGCCCCACCGCCGCCAGAGGGAGCCTGCCCAAGGCCCGAGGACCGCTGGTACCTGCAGCAGACTCCTCGGCGGGTCTGTTTCTCAGGGAGGGCAGTCTTCCACCACCTGCTATGTGATACCCGCTTCTCCCCTTCTTCCTCCATCACTGTCTGCTTCCCCCACCTTCCTATTGGCTGGAGTTCTGCCTTTACCGTCAGTGTTGTTCTCCCTGCCTTCTCCTTTCTCCTTCTTCCAAGCCAAATGCAGTTTGAAAATGGATCTCTTTATCTCACCTTCCCCCCCCAATCGGCAAACACCAGGCTCGTGAAGGAACACTTCTTGCCCCTGCCCCATCCCCAGCCGACCCTACCAAAAATACCACTCTTGCAACTGCCCCCAGAAAGGCAAAGTCAGGAAGCAGGTGGCTCGCCACCGAGGGAAACCAGCCAGAAGGCCGGCTGCAGAAAACACCCGCCCTCCTCTAGACAGAGGGTCTGGGGCTCTTCCGAAGTGGACATGAAACCATGCCTTCTGGGATTTTCAAACCATTTTGGGACTGAGTTCCAGGGCGTGCCTCAGGACGTGCCTGTCTTCCCCGAGACAGGCCAGGGGAAGGTTCCAGGTCGTAAGTCAGTCAGATTGGCCCCACTGTTTTCTGGTTAATGCAGTGGGATTCTGTATAACATTTTTTTCTGAAACAATCTCATCTAGAGACCTAGAGACAGAAGGAGAAGAAAGATTTAAAAACTCCTGATCTCAACAAAGCCCAGGGCAGTGTGTGTGTAATCTGTTAGTTTCCCAGCAACATCTGAGGGAAGAGTTTTGATTCAAAAACTCACAGTATTCATCTGGAGTTGTGACCTTTGTGAAAGCGCCATGGGGGCCCTCGCCAACACTGGTGTACGGGGTGACCAAAAACTCATAGAAGGATTCCGGCTGTAGGTTTTCCACGACAAATGTCTTTTGTTTTGGGTTGTCAATTTTGTATTTGCAACACACTGCATCATCTGTAATTCAAAAAATAATTATTTTCAGGAAAAAATAATTATTAAAGAGTGAGAGATCTTGTGACAGGGTTGGGCACTAATACTATTGACTCAGCGCTGTCAACATCTTAAACCAATCAAAAATTGAATCATGATTCCATCACTCTGGGTCATTGGTAAAATTTTTAGGAGAGGGCAAGCAAAACAGAGCGACCACGAAACAAGGGATGCTGGTGATCCAGAAAGAGCCCACGAATCTGCGAGACACAGTAAGAGCTTGAGAGAGACTTAAAAATACATTGTAAGAACCTTTAACAAGGTCAAAAGAAAAAAGAAAAAGGAGTTAGCAAGAAAGTTTCATAATTGGCAGGTTAAGGAGCTGATGGTACTCAAATGCTTCCAAAAATACCACTTTGTTTTAAGTAAGTTACAATACTGACCCCCACCATCTTGCCCACTAACTTGCTGAAGAGCACGTTGGACCATAAAAGCATGCAAGAACAGGATTCAGCCTGGCCATGGTCACACATGGCCACCTTTGTTTTGTTTTATTTTTTTTTATTAAAGATTTTTATTTATTCGACAGAGCACAAGCAGGGGAAGCAGCAGAGGGAGAGGGAGAAGTAGGTTGAGCTGAGCAGGGAGCCTGAGGACCCCGGGACCATGACCTGAGCCAAAGGCAAACGCTTAAGCGACTGAGCCACCCAGGCGCCCCCCCCCACCCCTTTCTAATAATGGTCTTGCATAGTGAGGTCTTGAAAGAGTAAACAAACAAAACCGTCACCTGAAAGAACTGCCTTTTCAGATCCAGAGTGGCACTGCCCCGCCTTGGATTTCAGGTAGACGTGGTACCCTTGTATAAAACTGGGTTGGGATTCAGTGGAATAATCCTTCCAACTCAGAGTGAAGGAGCGGGAGGTCAGGTTACTCATGACCACTTGAGGGTTGTCTGAAGGAGCTAGGAAAGGAAGTTGGGGGAAGGACAGTCATCACCTGGAAGTAGCTCCGAGCACTCACGTAAACTACAAGTAGAGCCACAGCCAAGTCTGGAGACTGGAGGCACTTATGCCAAGTTCAGGGGTTTTCTCTTTTTCTCTGGGGGATTCGTGCCTTGACATGGTTTGTGAGGGCTGGGAAGGAGTTGGGCCATCTTCCTGTCCAAGTCTGGCCTTTCACAAGTGAAGAAAGGGACAGCCAGAGACACTCAACAGCTTGCACAAGGTCACCCAGAGGAAAAGTGAATAAAGGGTTTCTCAGACTTCCCTGTGCTCTTGAATTCTAAATAGTGTTTGACAGAAGACCCTAGCAGAGAACAGACGGAAGAGGGTATTCGAGGAACTCTAGTTCCTGGGTGGTGACAATGCCAAGCCATCCAAGCGTCACTGAAATACTCTGAGGGTGTTTATTCTGAAGGCTTCCTGAGCCTGTTTCCCACACACGTGTATGTATACCCGGTCTGTGCGCAAAGACATGCACACCAGCAACACGCCTCTGGCGGGTCTCAGATGGCTCCCACAGATGGAGATGTGGGAGACGTGACCTGATCACTGCAAGGCAGGGGAGGTCCCAGGTGCCCAGATTTCAGTGGGATCAAATTGCCTTCTGTTGCTGGTGGAATCACAGTGAAATTTCTGGGGGAGGGGGGGTGATTTCACAATATGGGTCAAAATTCTTAAAAACTGTAAAAGAAATGAGAAACTAAAGCCTTTTGACTCAAGTATTCTAAGACTTCATTTAAAAACCATTATTGTGGATATGGATGAAGATTTTGCTAAAATGATGGGGACTCAGAGGGCATAAGAGATTGGGCTAAGGATAAAGAAGACTGAGCATTGCAGATGGAAAGACACCTGAAGATATAGTTTATAGTTGAAAAACACTGTAATCATCCTAAGTGTCCACCAACAGGTGATTTGACACATGTAAACAAACACTTGGCAATGATGTAGTTAAATAATATTTAGTGACATGAGTCAAAAACTGCATAGAGTAAGATCCCACTTTTATTTAAAAATGTCTATCTGTACAGAGAAAGGAAAACCTGGATATACATTAAATATTAACTCCAGATATTTGTCTTTGGGGGTAAAATTAGCAATGAGTTTGTTTTCTTCTTTTGCATAACATTTTATAAATTGTCTTTAATGAAAAGGTGTAGAGTTTATGATTACAAATATTTTTTAAGACCTAATTACCAGAATAAATGGGACACTGAAAATTAGGAAAGGTGTTGAAATATACCTAAATCTATGGCTAGGATCTCTGGATCGTTCTGAACAAGTCTGCCCACGGACACATTACATGCTGTAAACTTACCCAGTTCCTGGGAGTATCCTGTTTTTTTCTCTAATAAATAAGGAACCCTTTCTGTAGAAATTCCATAAATTCTGAAGTTGTATTGGACCCCTGGTCTGAAAGCATCTAGGGAAGAAAGGTCAACAGATTTTCAGTAACACAGTGTGACATTCTCTTTATTTCTGAAAAGGAACAGAATAAGAAATGAATTGGTGTCTCCTAAATAATTTCCTCCTTAGGGTTTCTGCACTTTATCTCCACCATCTTCCCTGCTTCCGTTGACCTTGGAGTCCTCCACTGTCTCCAGCGAATCCTGCAGGGACTGTCCTCTACACCATCCTCGCCAGCATGAGCTCTCGGACGCCCACGTGCAGGAAACCCAGGGCGGAATTCAACCAGACACACAAAACCATTTTAAAGTCTTTTGTGACTCCAAGCCCCCACCCCCTGCCAGCAACTTGTCTTCTCTCGCCCCCACGGAAGCTGAGCATCTGGAAGGCTTTGCTGGCACTTCCTCACTCCCCCCACCGCCGCACCTGCACCTCTGTAGTCCACCTTCAGCCCCCGCCACACAGCCCACTGCTCAAGCCAAGGGCCGTCTCACTTCCTCACTCCCCAACCGCAACTGAACGCCCTCCCTGGCCTCTGGCACCCTCTGGATGCTAAGTCCACGTCTTTATCCTAGGCCCAGCAGATGGCGCTGCTGACCCCCCTCTACTCAAGCCGTGAACCTAGACTTCTTTGACTTTGCTAAACTAGCAATCTTGAAATTACAACTCCAGTGTGTGAGGTAAGAGGTCAGGTTCTACATTTTCCACTGAAAGTGAAGGAGTTGACGATTGACTCCTACAACTCTACGTCCTAAATCTCCCAAATCCCTACATTTCTTTGCTTTTGTAAAAGCACCCTAACAGTTGGGGTTATAATGCCCTTTTGCCATTCGAGACCACTGATTTCGAGGTATAAGTTCATAAAAATCATGAAAACCTATCACAGGCTTAGGTCCAGATAATCTCTGTAAAAGTAGATTGAAGGCCAAATCTTAGGCCACATCACTGTAAAATGAACTCCTAGCATCCATGCTGGATTTGTCATTTCAAAATTATTATTTAGCACAAACTAGCTGTGAGATGGTCCAGAGGTCCTAGCTGACTTGCTGCGAGGTGGATGGAACAAGACGGTAATATGCAGGGTTCTTCTTACCTGAGCTAACAACTGTGCTTGTGGTAGTAGGACCTACGCTTTTCCACTGGAGATCACAGAGTGGGCCCCGGGGATGGTCACACCACTCCACAATGTAGCCTGTGACGTTTCCGGGTTGGGGTTTCCAAGACAGAGAGAATCCATCCTCCATGCCTTTAACTCTTTCTTCTTCAACTTCTTCTATACATTACAAATAGAGCCATGCTTCAGATAAAATTAATTGTACATTTGAAAAAAAAAAGTGTTTAAAGAAGAAAATCAACTTGAGCATGCACTGTCTCCAACAGTTAAGAGCCCTATCCCTTCGGTGGCTACAGAAGCTTGGGGGCGGGGTAATGTTTTCATGGGTGTTTTCCTGCCTCTCACTTCCCAGCAAATATTCACTTCTGCCCTTTGGATGCCTCTTGTGCTAATCTTCTGAGCCCAACCAGACTTCAGGCCCTAAAACAAGGGTCAGCAAACTACTTACCGCAGCACAAATCCAGCCTCCAAACTTTGCTTTATGACCCCTGAGCTAAGCAGGGTTTTAAGATGTTTAAAGAGATGCAAAAAAAACAAAGCATATAGGATATAGAACAGAGGCCGTATGATCTGCGAAGCCTAAAATATTTACTGTCTTTCCCTTTGCCTGAACAAGTTGTTGCCCCCATGTCTGGTACTTGGTACTTTCCAAAAATCTCTGTTAAACAAATGAATAATTGCGTCTTAATTCCCCCACATAATGCCGGCTGCTCCTGCACGGACCACTACTTCTTTGATGTTAGGGGTAGAAATTGAGTGAGAACGACAAAAGAAAGGAAGTTCGGCTATGTACTAAGTTGGATTATGTAGGGATGTGCCCAGTCCTCATGACCCAGGCTGCCCACCTCAACCTATTTCATATGCCAGGGTAGTTTCCAGGCGGAAACAAGTGATATAATCTCAGTGGACTCCCAGTTCTACTGATTTCAGGCGGAGTCACCCTATACCTTGGGGGACGAGAATTTCTCCTACTTCCCGAGGCTGCCCTCACAGCCTGCCACTGTTCATAGGATCACTCACGTGAGAGCAGAGCCAGACCAAGGAGGGGGCCTGCAGGCAGCTGCTTAGAAAAGCAATCGAGGAGGAGCAAATACTGCATGGCACAGACTTAACATTTACTCATTCTTCATCTGCAATTTAAATTTAACTGGGCCTCCTGTATTTCCTTTGGCACTCCTAATTACAACTGGACATTGGTGTGAAAGCAGTGTTATTAATTGTTCTAGATAACAACTAGGGGATACCCAAAGGAACATGTAGCTCTAGGTATAAGACAAAGGGTTCCCTGTGAAGGCCTTTGTATATACCACCTACAAGTCTTCCTTGTCTTCTTCCATTAGAGAAATAAAGCTCTTTCACATCAACGCTGACATTTTTTCACCTTACTTATTCACACTGGCTGAAATTTCATCCCACACTCAGAATCATAACTCTTATCAAGCTGCTTTTTGAAAACTGCAAATTATGTTTTGAGAAGTAGAGACAGAGGAGGGAAGGAGAAAGGAAATCTTTTTCTTCAGTCATTCACACTCTAGCATGAATTGGTTTAACCTTAACAGTCGGCCTCAGAGCACATTAGTGCCTTTATCCACTGTGGTGATTTAAGAATGTGGGCCACTTAAGGAAGGCCGAATAGAGCCTCACAAGTTATGGGGGTCTGAGGGCAGGGTATGGGGGTCTGAGGGCAGGGTATGAGGAAGGAAAGTACGGTTGACAGAGAAGACCCCCAACAGCCAAGTGCTCAGCAGTGTTGTTTGGATTGGGCCTCATTCAAGGCAGTCTTTCTTTTATCAGTCAGCTCCCCCAGGGTGAATGAAATGCCCACTTTTCCTCATCTTGTCCTGATGAAGACAGATTACAACTTTTCACTTTATTATTATTATTTAATCCATTTTTTCCTTAAATTCAATTACTTAGCATATAGTGTATTATCAGTTCACTTTCTTTTCTAATGCAGTTTTTGACAAGCAAAGGTCATGTGAAGTAACTGCTTAGTTTTCCTTCGGTGCCACGATCGGGATTTCTTTTTCTTACTTGACACACCAGATAGTTCTAAAAATAAATAAACCACCCCCGCCCTCCCATCTAGCCCACATAACCCAAACGTAAGCCTAACCTGGAAGACCAGAGTAACCCAGCCTGCCGCAGCCCCTCGAGCAGGGCCCGGGAGGCGTCACCGCAGGAAGCGAAGAAGCTTGGTTACCGCAGGTGCAGGACCGACCCACCGACCGCAGGAGGTCGATGACATTCTGCCGGCGCATGCGCACTCGCACAGCGCGCTCCTGTGCCTGTGTGCGTGCGTGCGTGCGTGCGCGGTGGCGGTGGCGGGGGGTGGGGCAGTGTGCCCAGCCTCTTCCCACAGCTGTCCCAAGCAGGTAAGGCAGGGGGCTCCTGACTGTACATGTAAGGTCATTTCCGCCTCGTCTGGTCTCCCACAGGCTACGGGACTGACTAGCCAGTTACCATCTTTCATTCTGCAGCTTCTGTAAAGCCTTCTGGAAGGGTGATGCCAGTCGCTTCTCCTTTCATCACCTCTGGCAATGCTCATGGGCTCTTTCCGGGTGACAAAGACTGACAAAATATTTTACAATAAATGCAACCCACATCTCATAAGCTACAAAGCACGCTTGGAGCGACTCCAGCTCTCGGTGGAGACGGCTTATTGGTGTTGCATTTACTTGAGTAAACGTGACAGAATTCTCTGAATTTGCTGAAGAATCTCGGGGCAGCCCTGTGCTGAGCTGCGGCTGAACACTCATTTTTCCCACACTGAGGAGGGCTGTCCCAGGACACCTGGAGCCGTGCTTAGACCGACAGGAAAGGACGGACAGTGTTTGGCAGCCTGACATTTTGTCTCCCCGGGTTATTGCCTTTCCAGTTTGTCCATCCCTACTTCATAACATCACTGATGCTTTCCCTGAGAATCAAAACAAAACTCACTGTTTCCAGGATCTCCAGAGACTATGATGACTGAAGCAGGGGACGTGCCCACACTGTTATTAGCTGTGACGTGGATTTGGTACAAACACTGGTCAAGGTTTAGTTCTGTGCCATTGGCCGGAGCAGGAATGGAGAGGAGCCTCGAGATGGATGATCTGTCTAGATTTTCTATAACTATATTATAGAACAGAATCTTCCCATTGGCCTGCAATTTTGATAGTGGCTGAAACAAATAAGGATCATCATTTCAAAATGGGCTTTCCTTTGAAAGGAGTTTGCATGAATACTTTTTTATCTTTTCTGTCCCTGCACAGTTGTGCTCTGAGCCATTCATGGAGCCCACAGCCACCTCTAGACCATCCTCCAGGCTCAAGAGAATTCCCTGCCCACACCATCCCAAGCCCACTGCCAGGACCTGTCCCTCCAGTCAGTCCTCTCAAGGGCAGACGGTGGCCCTGGTGTGTGTGCCCCTAGGCCTGAGAATGGACTGCGAACAGTTATTTGCCCGGGTGTGGCCAGAGCCTGGACACACAGACTGTGCCCTCGCTTGAGTGCCGGGCTCCCTGCAGAGACAGCCAGCCTGCAGGTGGGAAGGAGAGCCAGGGGGCCATGGCTAGGGGCTAACTCTCCCAGGACTGTTGTGTTTGGTTTGAAAACATGAGCTGAGGTTCTGAGAGTTCTGAACACAAACCTGGACTTCCAGGTTACCATGAAAGCTTTTAATGGGCAAGGTAGAATGACAAAGTAGATTTTACTTTTTTTTCCAAATATATTTACGTTAAAGTTTTTTAGCTTGATTCATAACTCCTATATGTAAATATTGTCTCTAAATATTAATAACTTTTAAATATGGTATACGCTTCTCCACTTACACTCATGCCCTGGGCCCTGCAAAAGTTAGAGCAGGCCGGAAGAGAAGTTTCAGAGATTCAGAGCTGGCCATCTGTGGGATGAGACGTCAAGGAGGAGCAGTCCAAGCATTAGGGAAATGGGTGTGGGCGGGGACTCCTCCCCTGGGTAAGACGTTCTACTGGACTCACTTAAGATCCCCCACCCCCCAACGCAGACTGCACCAGCATCCGGTGTCACATTGAAAGTGCCAAGCAAATGCGTCTTGTGGAATCTGTGCGTGTTACCTTCCAGAATAAAGTCACAACAGAATGTCCCTGCACTGACTTCACATTTCTCCACACGTCAGGAGCCTCTGAGGGAGCTGAAATGAACAAAAGGAAAGATCATGGGTCACGCTGTGTATGTAGAACAATACAACCTGTTTCTAGTTGGGTCAAACGAAGTGAGGATGACCTGTCCTACCTGAGGCTTGCTTCTCACTTTTTCACTCTCTGTGACTTCTCCCCACTTGTCCACGGCCACACTGTTCACTCCTCACTAAGTGCACATAGTAGGTGCTTGACAAAATGTCTGTTGCATCAAACCAAAAGTTCTTATGAACATCAAGCCTGAGCTTCTGGAAGCCACCAGAAAATTTTGGAATCATTCATCAGTTAGACCAATTGTAGGAGGTTAGTTAGATAAATCTCTCATTTGCTGAATTTCTAGGAGCAGCAGACCATGGCTACTTCCTTGCTTCATTTGCGCATGTTGCAATGGAGGTGCACTAACGGGGAGCCCTAGGGGCTGGTGGTACTCTGATGTGTGTTCATGATTTCACAGTGGCTGGCCCTCTCACCAGTCCCCTCGCCTGGGCACCCTCCTTGATCCCCTCCACGGGGAAGGCCACACCCCCTCCTCCTCCTGCTCCATTCTCTGCCAGCTCCTGGCCTGCCTGGGGAAGCTGCCTGCCTGTTGGGCCCTGAGGGCACCTGCTCATTCCTTGACTACATTGTTCTAGAAAAGCCTGTATTTACCGCCAGCAAACTGTAGGACAAGTGATTTGTGATTTGATTCAAAACATCTCAATGCAAGAAGAATTGTTTTGGAACATAACACAAAGATTTAGCTGTTTTATAAAAATATAGTGTACTGTGCCCAATAATTGAAATTTAAGTAAGTCCCTTTTTAGTTGCTGACACTTTCTCCTCAACTTAAAGATGACCATATATTTTTAAAAATGTATTGAAGCAGATTTCAATTTGCTAAATAATCCACTGGAGAAGCCAATACTCAGTTAATTACTGAAATACTCAGAAACGACATGGGACTCTAAGCTCAATGCAAAATCTTCGGCTGGCTTGGAAGTCTCTTTTGTGAGAAGAGTGTTCTGTATTTGGGTCAATACAGTTTGTACTGTATTTCTACTGGTGGCATTTCTGTCCACTCGCTATGATTACACTGCAGTATGGTTCTAATACACATACACATCGACCTTTCCAGCATCAAGCAAAGTGTTGTCAGAGGGAAAAAAAAAAAATATATATATATATATATATACAGATTCACCACCAGTAGCTTCATCTCATTCTCTTGTTATTATCCAAAGCAAAATTTATTATTTTCAGATTTTTTGCACTAAAAGAAATGCAATTTACTTTTTAAAAACTCTATCCTTCTGCCATTTTCCTTTTCCACTTAATTTTAGTTATAATGTTGGAATAAATTTGAAAAAAAAAAGAGCAGTATCATTAAAGTAAAAATTCTTTAATAAAACACAACTGAGGAGGATACCACATTACTGTCAGGAAGAGAGTTTTTCTACAGCAGGGATTCTTGAGGATTCTTTCTCTAGAAAAAAATTACTGGAGGCCCTGGGGAGCAGAGGCGGGGTGTGAGGTTGGGTGGGAACACCAGACACGGAGGGGAAAAAGCTGCTGAGCACAACCAGTGACCAACCCATGTGTAGGCTCGTAGGAGCGGTCCTTGTCACTCCTCAGCTCCAGTCCTCATGAGGAGAAACAGAAAGAGTCCTGCCAGCCTACCACACACGAAGAGAAGGTGGAATAAAGTAAATACAGAGACTCCTTCCTTTGGCAGTAGAAGAGCCAGGATTTGAATGGGCAAGATCTCAAGGCTGTAATAACATCATTGAGAGACAGAACACACAGAATCCGGTTCTGGTTAAGGGTGGAGCTCTGGAGTCAGGGGCCCTGGGTGGGGTCACAGTCAACAGCTCTGTCACTTACTGGCGAGGCCAATGAAATCACTGATCCCCTGTGTGCCTCCGTGTCCTCAGTGTCCTCATCTATAAAGCAAGGATGATTACCCATTGTGCCTCCTGCCTGCCATGAGACGTCAAAGAGAAAAACACAGCGAATGCTGTGAGCCATGTGAGGCACTCAGTGAGGGCTAGCCACCATAACTGTCATGACTGGTGTCTCTGCCCCTCAGGAACTCTGCAGACTGGGCAGGCAGCGTCTCTCGGATCTACGGGCGCAACTCGCCTCCTCCGTCAACTGGGCAACAATGATAATTTGTTGTTTTGAACTGGAAAGAGATGAAAGCAGGGCTGGGCCAGCTCATCTCTGGAGGCCTGTTGGAGCTGTAAGCTGTAGTTATTAGTGATTTGTCAGAAAAACTCATGTTACAGCCAGTGGTGAGGAAAGTCCCACTGCAGGAACGATCTAGAGAACTCAATGGTTCACTGTTGGTGAACAAACGACATATCAATAAAAATTAAGTTTCCAAATATCATTACATGTCCACACACAGCCTGAAGTTGTTTGGTATGAGATCAATGCTTTCCTTGGCATGGACACTACTGTTTGTCCCTAGTCCTTAATTTTAAAAGTCTACACTAATTTACATAGCCCCGGAGCCAATGGGGATCCAGCAATACCAGTAGCTTATAAGCCATTTTGGCAAAATCAAAGATGAGAGAGGAAATGTATAAAAGAAAGAACACTGATTGATGCATGTTTGAGGTGGATGTCTTCCCATTCACATGTCGTTAAGCATTTAATTCAGTGCTTTTTAAAAAGATGGTATTCAGCCTCTGTTGCAATATGTTCCCCTTAATTTTGGGTACAATCAAAAGCTCTCAGGGAAACCAAGCCATCTCCCATGAGTCAGTTTAGATCCTTGAGTTAAATAGCAGGGAGCTGAACATACCAGCTTCAGTTGTGGTGAAGTTCTGACGAGTCCATTCACTCCATTTCCAGAAGTGGTTGGCATTAGCACAGCGTACTTGGGCCCTGTACTCTGTGTCTGGCTCCAGGCCACCGAAGAGCTGCTTACCATCCACCTCGACGGAAACGTTGTGCTTTTTCAAAGAAAGGAAGGGAGGGAGGGAGGAAAGAAAAGAAGAAACGAAAAGAAAAAAGGAACCAAGAAGAAAGAAGCAGAAGAAGGAACAGAGAAGACAGGTGTAGTGGTGAGCATACTTCATAGCAAAGTCAAATCATAGCATGGTACATTCTGATTTGAGGTAAGACTACTTCGTCTTTAGGCCCTCTGCCCAACTCTAAAGTTTGTGATTAATTTCATAACCTTAATTTTTAAACAGATTACCCTTACCATTTGAACCCACACAGAAATAAGATTTTATATTTTTAGTTAATTAATTTATTAGTTTCAGAGGTAGAATTTAGTGATTCATCAGTTGCCTATAACACCCAGTGCTCATTATATCAAGTGTCTTCCTTAATGTCCGTCACCCAGTTATCCCTGCCCCCGCCCATCTCCCCCAGAAATAAGATTTTAAAGAGGTTTTATTCATTAGTCTCTCTGTTCAGGACATAAAGGGATTTTTGAAAATAGAAAATTAAGCATAATTCTTACTTGTATTACTTCTCCTTCACCATAGAGTTCAACCTGGCACAGCAGTGTATAATAATTACCAGTGGAATGAACCTTCCAGGTCATGGTGGCATTTGTGGCGCTTACATCTGTAAACAGTACGCTAAAGGGAGCCATTGGGTGCACTGTCAAAAAGAAAAAAAAAGAGGGAAACAAAGTGAAAAGAAATTCAAACATAAATCCAAAAAGACTTTGGCAAACAGTGGTTCATGTCTTCATTTATTTAGTCAGTGGTATTTTTTTCTTGTTTATTTTTGAAAAAATGGCAAATGAAACTGGACTTATAGCCAAGATGGAGTAAGCCGACTAAAGCTTTTCTCTCTCACCAGATTATATGAGAAATTCTGAACAAAACGTAAGAAGAAACTACCAAGGATTCTTAAAAATTCAAGAGAAGCAGGCAGATTGTGAAGGGGAATCAAAACTTGGAAAAGTGGCTCATGGGGAGAGTATAACAGAACCCAGAGTCTAAACAAAATAACATCAACAATGTCAAAGGTACAACCCCAAATTATTCTACATACAAAAACCTAGAACATGTCACCAATTTCCAAGGGAAAAGAAAATCAACAGACAATCAATCAAGATGTCCCATGTGACTTTAAGAGAGATCCAGGTCATAACAGTAAACACATTTGAAATGAATAGAAGAGAAACGCTTCTCAGCAGAATAACAGAAACTTTTTTTTTTTAATCAAATGAAAATTTGGAACCAAAAAATATAATATCTAAAATGAAAAATGGACTGGATGAGGTTCACGTCTTGAAAAGACAAAATAAGCATTTCCCATTCTGTCTGTCCCCCTGAATCGAGTCAATACAGTCCATGGAGCATTCTCAAATATTCTATTTGCGAACTCTGAAAGTAGACATCAGCAGGCAGATTGGAGAAGACCAGAATGTGAAGTATCGCTGTGCAGGCAGTTGGAGGGTAAAGGAAGACATATGGGTTATAAAGCTTCTGCATTTTACTTAAAGTGGAAAATACTAACTCTAAGAAAACTGTGAAAGAGGGGCACCTGGGTGGCTCAGTCTTTAAGCGTCTGCCTTTGGCTCAGGTCATGATCCCAGGGTCCTGGGATCGAGCCCCACGTCAGGCTCCCTGCTCAGCGGGGAGCCTGCTTCTCCCTCTCCCACTTCCCCTGCTTGTGTTCCCCCTCTCACTGTCTCTCTCTGTCAAATAAATAAATAAAATCTTTGGAAAAAAAAGAAAAAGAAAACTGTGCAAGATTAGTAATATATTGTAATCTCCAGAGGAAAAAAACAGGAATACAAAGAGGTGTAGGCGAAAGTCAGTAGATAAATTGAAGTGGAATACTAAAAAAATATTCAAATAATCCCAAAGGGGGCAGTATGGGAAGATCAGAGGAACAAAAAACAGAGGAAACAAATGGAAAATAAATAATAAAATGGTAGGCTTGAGTCCAGCCATAATTAATAATTATGTCAAATACAAATGTTCCAAACACACTGATAAAAAGAGAAATTGTCACTCGGGAGAGAAAATGAAACCAGTCATGGACCTGCCTTCAGAGTGCAACAATAGGGGAACAAACATGAATCAATAACCACAAAACTAAATGTGACATTGAAAGTGGGGTGACCACAGTGAAGGTGTAAAAGGCCTTTTTGACCTAAAAGATGGAGTTCTAGAAGTCCCTATCCTGAGCCTTCATCTTTATCTCACTATCCATAAGCTGATGACTCACAATTCTAATTCTCTATCCCAGACTTCTTCCACGCTCTCCAAACTCTATATGCAACTGTCTCCTCAACATCTCCATTGAGATATCTAAAGGACATCTCAAACTTGACACGGCTAGAACAGAACTCTAAGCCCCCGCTCAGAGCTGCTCCTCCCCTACATCCTCCCCACTCTGGAAATAGTTCCAATATTAGCTCAATTGTTTAGGCCCAAACCCTACGAATCATCCTAAATTCCTCTTCCCTTATAACGCACATGCCTTCCCTAAGTCCATCCTACCAACTCTATCTCAAAGTGAATTGAGAATATGACCACTTCCCACCAACTTCATCACTCCATCTGGTGCAAAGTCTCTGCCTGATGACTGCAACAGCCTCCCAGCCATCTCCCTGTCTCCACCCTCGCCCCTGACAGCCCAGCCTGAGCGATCTTTTCCCATAGCGTATGTCACATCACTCATCTGTCCCGATGAACACCTCCTAAAACAACCAGTTAAGACCATCCCATTCATTCCAGTTACTGCGCGACTGACCAGGACACTCCAGTCTCCTTTCTCCCACAGTACGGGCACTATGAAACAAGCCAGAGCTTGTTCCCATCCCATGACCTTTTCAAATCCTATTCTTTTTGCTGCAAATGCTCTTCCCCCAGATGTTTTCTGCTTCTGTCTCAGTCTACAACTGCCTCATCCTAACTGAAGCGGCATCTGGCATTCTCTACCACATTACCTGAGTTGACCTTCTCCATAGCACATATCAGTACTTGAAACACTGTATGTGTCCACTCCCCACTCTCATCCCCTCCCCCAATACACTCTCACATACAAGTTCATACCGGGCAGTTACCCAGTTTTGTTCACTGCTGCGTCCCCAGTGCCTGCTATGGTAGGAGGCACTCTGTCATTATCTGGCTGACCGACTGGCGATTAAGCTGAAATCTAAAAGATGTGTAGGAATTAAGAATGTAGAAGGTGAAGGATGACCGTTCTAGAAAAAGGGAACATGTGTAAAGATTCTGCATTTCATAAGAGAGAAAACATGTGGTCAAAACATAGGAAGAGATATTCAACTTTAGGGATGTGTAGATCAAAACCATCACAGATACCATGGTATACCCAGGAAACTGACAGAATGAAAAGGGCAACCATACCAGCGTGGAGAGGCTGTATGAATTCAAAGGCCGGGGTATGACTGGTACAGCCCCTTTGGAAAACTATCTGGCTTTGTGTCTAAAGTTGCACATTCACATTCTCTATGTCCTCACCAATTCCACTCTGGGGTATACACTCCAGAAAACAAATGTAGGCCAGTCCTACATCCATAATGCTCATATTAGCATTGTACCCAAGAGCAAAAACCTTGATACAATCTGAAAAACCATCAAAGGAGATGCCTGACCAAAATACCATAGATTTACACAATGAAATACTTCACGGCAGTGAAAATCAACGGACTCTAATAATACTCAATAATAAGGGTCAATATCAGTAATTTAATATCACATAAACAGTAATTACTAAATTATCACATATGGCTTGATGTCTTTTATATACATTAAAACCAATCAAAATAAAAACATAGTATTTTTAGGATGACATTAGAAATGAGAATACACACACCTATACATACACACACACATTCGAGATGTAAATCTGTAATTATCTTGGCGGAAGGAGCAGCGTGGGGGGGCTGTGGGATGGGAGATGAAGTGAGTTACTGTCAGAGTTCTAGTCTGAAGGTGAGTAGTAAGCGTGCAGGTGCTTATTACATTATCAAAACAAACAAATAACAGGGGACCGTGGGCCATGCATGCATCCATGAAGAGAAGTGTGGCATCAACAAGAGTTATAAATTAAAACTTTTAAAAAAACGATTTATTTATTTATTTATTTGAGAGAGGTGGAGAGAGAGAGAGAGAAGAAGCACATGCACACATGAGCAGGGGGTAGGGGCAGAGGGAGAAGACTCTCTGCTGAGCAGGGAGCCCTAGACCCCTGGATCATGACCTGAGCTGAAGGCAGACACTTAACAGACTGAACCACCCAGGCGCCCCTATGTTAAAACTTTCACTTAGGATGTGAATTAGGCAAAAATGTACAGCATTTCCTTGATCACACAGTGTGTCACACAACAACGAGTTTGCAACCACAGCGGGCTCTGACCCTAGTCTCACCTCGATGAGTCAGGTTAAAAAGAAGGTGAACACTTCTCTTTCTTAAGTAGTTTTCAGCGGTGAGTGTGAAGTTATACATTTCTTGGGACTCTGGAGCTACTTCCCAACTACACCAGCTTTTGTGTTTACAAAGTGTCTTTTTCCCGGAAAATCTTAAAAAAAATAAAACACAAAACAACAGTTTCAGGGTTTACACTTTTGTCAATGCAGAGATGTATCCCTACACTCAGGGCACACTCAGTGGCTTTCTAACTACGTGCCACACGCTGGTGTTGATCCCCCGTCATCAACAAATGCCGTACTGAAAATATTGTTGCAACGGATCCGATTTCTGTGGTGAAATGTGTAACGACGATGAATCACTGACGGCGCCCCTCCACCAACATGGCGGGGGGGTGAGACTACTCCTTATTTTAAATATTCTTAAAAAGTTAGAAATTAGGTAGACCCAGATCACCCCCAGATGGAACCATGTTCACATCAAGATTCACCATTAACGGGCTTTCTTATCATTTTTATGTGACGTTTTCTTTTCACAAAACTCAGGTGGAAAGTATTGTACAGTTGTGACCATGGAGAGATTTCCTCCTGACTCTGGCCGAGTGGTTGTCAACTATCTGTTCACATTTTCCCCAGCCTCTAAATGCGGCTCTTGTTGTCCTCACAAGTGCCTTAAACAAGGAGAAATCGGTCAGGAAGGCAACCAGAGCTAACTTACGATTCAAATAAAGTATAGCTTTGGGAAAGCTGTTTGAGCAAGCCAGTGTCACTCCTGGGATCCCAAGTACAGTTCAGTGTCGTGAGGTCCTGGGTTTCACAAGAAAAATCCTTGGGCTCCTCAAGGACTTCTGTCCATACAAAGAAAAAAACAGATGAAAGACCTAGTTAAATCCCTTTATTGAAAGACAAGGAAAACGGGAAGCTCCTTTTGGGTCTGAGGCCAGAGAGTCACTCTGAATGATAAAAACATCACACCCGCACCTCCAGAAAGTCACAGTTCAGGCACCTCCTCCCTTCTCCCTTCCCTTGTTCTTTTCTGAGGCCTCAGCTGCCGGGTTGTGGGAGCTGTGCAGTGGTCAGCAGTGTGTCCCGGGAGTTGTACCCCCAGGGCCTGCTAGGGGGCACTCAACACCTATCGCTGACTGTCAGACGAGTGAGCGGAAGAATGAATGAATGAATGAATGAACAAACGAAGTCAGTGTTGCCCACTGTTTCAGCGCGGAAGCTGGGGCTCGCAGGCAGCCTCGGGGCTATTCGGCTTGGGATGCCAGGAAGTCCGAATTGGGGGACTGCTAAGCTGGGCAGCAGGGCGCTGAGAGTTCCAAGGAACCGGCAGCAAGCACCTCCGAGCCCTGGGCGTCCCCGCGGCTCTCAGAGGCCACGCCCCGGCGACAGCGGCTGCAGGTGTGCGGCAGCCCGGAGCCCGCCTCGGCCAAGAAGCAGGAGGGACAGGAGGGAGCCGGCTCAGATGTTGCCCTACCTACAGTTCAGGGGAAGGCAGGTCTCCTGACCACATGCAGGAGGGCCTTGGGCACGGGCACACAGTCCTCCGTAAAAGGTAAGACGTTCCCCCTCCCCTGTTGCCAGCCACCGAGGCGCGTGACGTTTTCCTCGCCCGCTTCAGAGTGGGGATCCGTTTGCTGGATTGCTAGCATGTGCGGCGCCGGTGTCGGGGCCCGGCCTGTCGGTGTTCATTCACCCTCAAACAACCAGTCCCCGGCCTGCTTCACAGAGAAGGAAACGGGCTCGGAGAGGCCAGGAAACTGGGCCAAGTTGGCACGCCCGGGCGCGGGAAGAAGATTCGAACCCAGGTCTTCTGGGCACAACACTGGCTGCCTCCCTGGGGTCCGCCGCCCTGCCATCTCTCCCCCCGATCCCCCCACCACCCCCCCACCCCTGCTCTGCCATCTCTCCCCCCACCCCCATCTTGCAGTCCTGCCAGCATGGCTGAGGCGAGACAGGGCCCTTCCCAGTGGTCCAGGAAATGACCCAAACTTTCTCCCCTTTAATAACCTTGGTTTCTAGGAATAAAATTGTCAATAAGGACAAGACAACAACAGGAAATCCTGAAAGTATTGCTTCAAGGTATCTCTTCCAGAGTCTCTCCTAGAAGACTCGGGAGACAAAAGAACATCCAGACCATGGATGGAAATGTTTACTTGTCTTCTGGGAAAGGAAATTCCATCTATTCTAGGAAACGAGAAGAGCACAGAGCATGTGCACACTTACTTGACACAAAGAGAACGATGCCCTTTATACTGTCTCCTTGGTCCCCCTTACAATAGATATTTGTCCCGGTTTCCCTAATGAAAGCAACATGATTCAAGTTGAACACGGAGACATTTGGCTCGAGCTGTTCTCCCTGCATCCGTACGCCTTCCAAATAACAGGATATGTTATTTTGCTGGCTCCTGGAAACGTAACAAATGGTGACATTGGAGCCTTCTTCCACCAGCTTATCTTTAGGGAAAACGAAGAATGGGTCGTGTCCAAGAGAATTCTGTACTACAAAAAACAAAGAGACAGCTCAGTCAGAACCTCACTCAAACTTCAAACCAGCCCCTCTGGTCTTCCTCTCAACGATAGCTTCAGCCTCTTCCACCCGCTGCGGAAAAGAGGAGCCTAAATTTCTAGGCAAACCTATAAAGTTCGGTGCCTGCGCAAACACTCCTTCCTACAAGGGCTCCTATTGTTAGGTGAAATGCTGCTGGGGCTCTTACTACAAAGACAGCGCATCCTGTCACCCTGGGATTAGGTGTCACTACTCCTTTGCTTATGACACGGCCACAACTGCTCTCTATGGGCCCAAGCCCCGACGGAGGCTCTGCGTTCTTTCTTTCCACCTGACATCACCCACACAGGTAGGACTGACTGAGCCCAAGTTCACTCACCCAGCAGGTGGCCAAGCCACATTCCCACCCACCAGGTCTGCCCATCTGCACGGCCACGTGTCCCCTCCACCCCCCCCACTTTTGTAGGGTTTTTTAAATTAATTAATTTATTTATTTGAGAGAGAGAGAGAGAGAGAGAAAGAACGTGAGCAGGAGGGGCAGAGGGAGAGGGAGACAGAATCACAAGCAGACTCTGTGCTGAGTGCAGAGCCCCACTTGGGACTCGATCCCACAACACTGAGATCATGACCTGAGCTGAAAGCAAGATTCAGACGTTCAACCCGCTGAGCCAGCCAGGCGCCCCCACGCGTCCCTCTTAATCTCTACACTGTACTATTGACCACATCTCTGCCCACCTTCTCGGAAATGCCAGTCACTCAAATATCTCCTTTTCTCTCGTCTCTCCTTCTGTATGACCATCAGTGTATAAAAATCCTCAGGGGTCTCCCATTTCAAGCCCTCCCCAAGCCTCCCTCCCACCCCCTGAGGACCCGCTCCTCCACCGTTGGCCTCCCTGAAGGAGCGGTCTGCTCTTACTGCTCGGCTCCATCACTCCTGCTCACTCAGCCGGCCGTGGTCACCGAAACTGACGCGCCCCCCCGCCCCCCCCCCCGACGTCACCCCTGCTGTGTGGCCCGGGCAGGGGGGCTTTTTTAAAGGTCCCAGGTGATTCTAATGTGCAACCATGGCTGAGAACCAGTGTTTGAGGGCCAGGAATAAACAGGTTTTCCATTCATTCTTGAGTTAGTTTGGAGGTTATAGATTTGAGAAATCTAGTCCATTTTATCAAAGCTGTTTATAATGTTGTTCTCTCTCTTACTGTCTTTTCAGTCTCTGTTTTTTTTTTTCCTGTGTGTTCTTCTGTCAGCAGTAGGATGTAATGTGAAGAGGGGGGCCCTCTGGAGCCAGGTTGGTCCGGGCTAGAGTTCCAGCACTACCACTTAGTGGCTTGATGACTTTGCATGGGTTCTTTAAGCTAACTGTACCTCAGTTTCCTCTTCTGTGAAGTGGAGACAAGAATAATACATATTTCAAAGGGCCGATTTGAGGGCTAAATTAATATGTAGAGTGCTTAGAACATGACTAAAATGCAGAGTATTAAACTAATCACTAGGCTACTCATGGGTTAATAATGTGCTATCAGTTTGACTTAATCGATTTGTATAAACACTTAACAAAGGAATGGTTCTATTGGCAGGAATTTCCAATTATCTGGCAGGGTGTATAAATTGAGAGAGCCAAATGCCATTGCTTTAGAACCAACCAGCCTATAGTTCAAATGAAGCATAATAAACTGTGGCAAAATCCACTCTAGATTTTAATTATAACAAAATTAAATTATCGAAATTAAGAGATATGTAAAACATATTTATCCATAATCTCATTACTCAAATGAAGACTTGATTTTGTTTTTCCGTATTTCACCCCTTCTCTCTACATTAGGGGTTGGCAGGCTATGGCCCGTGGACCAATTCTAGTTTGCCATCTGTTTTTGTAAATAAAGTTTTATTAGAACACAACAATTCTCATTGGTTTACATATTGCTTAGGACTGCTTTCCTGTTACAATGGCAGAGTTGAATAGTCATGACTGAGACCAATAGGGTCTGTAGGGCCTAAAATATTTCCTATCTTGCCCTTTACACAAAAGCTTCCTAACCTCTGCTCTAGGTGCAGACACATTTTGTCTTATTCTAATAAAAACGTATGTACAATTTATGTCCTGCTTTGTTCTCTTAGCATTCTATAATAAACACGGGTCCCCTGTTTGGAAAATAAATACAAAACCGTCTGAATTTACATAATTGTCTCTAAGAATAAATTCTGAGGCAAAACCATAGACGTCTATCTCCTGGTGGCAAGTTTCACACCCATACTTTTTAGTTCCAAGGGAAGACAAAAATAATGTTGGTTTCTACTCAGTCTCCTCAAAAGAGACTTCTACTATTTGACTATTGATCCCCAAATAATATTAAATATTCAACCTTTTAACTCTTTTATCACCTCCCTTCTTACCATGTACTTCCTCCCACGAGCTCCAGTTGCTCCAGAAACTCTGCTTGGGGGTCTTGGCATCATCCACCGCACTCCTCATTCTTATAAAATGTTTCGCACATTCCAAGGGGAGCTTGGATTCCCAGCTCCAGTGCAGAACTTGGTTCCACTTCACAGTGGTGCTATAGTTCTCCTAGAAAGAAAGAGAAAAACTTGGAAACATGGAGCCATGCCGTCCTGGAAAATGCCTTGACTAAGGCATTACCCCAAAGCACACACCTGGGAGCCCACTGTAGCTCCCAAATATGAGCAAGTGCAGTGCATCCCTAACCAGCCAGTTCCTCCTGGTTTGATGTTGCAGCAGAACTTTCCACAGCCTCCTCTCTTTTGAAAGCTCATCTCCCACCCCTATGGCCCTCTGATTCCAGGGAGCTTGTGGGGAGCAAGTGAGAGAAAACTGAAGCTACTCAAGTCTTGGGGGGAAGAGATCAGAGTCAGAAGGTAGGCACAGGGCTCATCACACAGAGCCTGCTAAGAAAATTTCTGCAAACTAGAATTGAGTCATTCTTTAAAAATAAGCAAGACTGATGAGTATTTTCGTAGTAATCATTTTTAGCCATGGTCAGATCAAGTTGGTCAAATCTCAGTAGAGAGGGCAGTCCTTCATGGTACCTAGGAGGACCGGTGGCTCTCAGAAGCCAGTAGAAGGATCTCCATGAGGCCCTTGGGCTTTGTTTTCTGTTTGGTTTGGTTTGGTCTCTTATCTTCGCAGATATGTGGCCAAGAGGCCATATTCTCTTCTTTGAGCTCCACCTGTTAGAATCTGTAGTCCCAAAAGAGGTCAAGCACACAAGAACGTCTTACACTGTGCTCTTGGGAAGCTTGTCCAAGTTGAACTGCAACTGGTCTTCCCTCACAGCATTTTTTTTTTTTAAGATTTACTTTAGAGAGAGAGAAGGACAGAGTGTGCGAGTAGGGGAGGGGCGGAAGGAGAGAGAGAATCTTAAGCAGGCTCCATGCTCAGTGTGGAGCCCGACCTGGGGCTCGATCTCACGACCGTGAAATCATGACCTGAGCCTAAATCAAGAGTCGGATGCTTAATCGACTGAGCCACCCAGGCACCCTTCCACACAGCCTTTCATCTTGATCTTTCTGAAGTTCTGGTATTTTCTTTCTCGAATTCAGTAGGCTTCAATGGCTCCTTTACACCTTACCCTGTCAGCCATCTACATTCTAACTCCAACCCACCTCTCACTCACAGGAATCTCCTGTCTGGACACAGTGGTCTACCTCGCACTTGGGGAACAGCTTTATGCCTTTACACCTCAGTGTTGGCTCACACAGTGTCCCTGGCTTAATGCCCCCACACTTCCTCTGCACTGGGAATTCGTCCAGGCCACACCCATTCCCGCCCTCCCCGGAGCCCTCCTGCACACTGGGCGTAGTCGTTGGCATTTCATCTGTGGTTCGGTTGTGTCCCTGGCTGGAGCATGGTCCCAAAAGGACGGGGACTGGGCTTCATTCTTCTTCACATCCTGCCTGGCTCCAGGCACTCAGGCTCCTTGGTGGGCCCCTCCAGGACACTTGCTTTCTGCCCCCATTGCGGGGGGGCAGAAATACCAACAAGCCAACCAACCAACCAACCCAGAAACTATATCAATAATGGCGACCTTACTGTCAACAAGCCATAGTCTGGGTTTTACCTCCTGCCTCTCTCTGGAATTTAGCCACTTTTGTCATCCCCGGTGTCACCAGCCACTCCGGGTCCCTCCCCACTGGACCCACCCCCTAGCCCCCTTCATACTGGTAATGCTTTGCCTTCTCCGACTTCCCCACCTGTTCCCCACTGTGAGCCAGAGTGGACTTTTCAAACACTTCCAACCAGACCCTGTCCTTCCTCTTCTTTTTATGGCTCCTCAGGATAAAACGGAAAACTGAGCGTGGCCTCCGGCGTCCTGTGTGGTCTATCCCGGGGCCATGCCTGCCCCTCTGTGCTCCCGACTCTCAGGCCTGGGGGCTCACAGCCCTTCCCTCAGCACCTCAGTGCACATCTGCGGGCTCTTCCCAGAATATTCTTCTCCACCCTCCCTTCTAAATTAGCTTCTAAACCTCTTTCTTATTTTGGCTCAAACAGTGCTTCTTCTTAAGTTGCCGGAGAAGGTCCGACCTTACCGCAACCCCACAGTACCCTGTCAGCAACCAGCACTGCACGTCCCACGTCTGGGACACTCTCGTCTGTGTGTTGTATCTCCTCATTCCTGCTCAGCGCTGACAGACCTATGCCTTGAATAATGGCTGGACCCAGGCTCCCAGTCTCAAACTATGCGCTCAATGATTTCATCAGTTCATTAATAGGCAGCGGGCTCTATTTTTCTCCGACACTACTTGTGCGGATTCTGTCTCACTACAAACTCGTGCTTTGTGCTGTTCACAGCCTTGTCATGGAGGAGATAAAACTTTCCTTGAATGCATCAATTCAGTGATTTTTTTTAATGTGATGAATTATGTTTGGGCTGTTTTCATTCACTGAAGTGGCAAGTTTCATTTGGCAGACACTAGTAAGTCATAAGAAGTTGGCACATCCATCTCTACAGAAGTCCAAGTGAGGTCACTGATTCGTTCCTGAGGCGAGCACAGATCCCTGGCAGACTCGGCTCCTGGCCTCCTCTGGCCACTGACAGGATGCGAAAGCAAGTGGCTGGAGAGGCTGAGGGCAGAACCGGGCCCAGGTGAGGCCACGTGGTGCGGGCAGGCAGGTAGGCGGGTGGCTGCCAGCAGGCCTCTGCGTGGCCCGCACTGTCTGGGAGGTGGCTCAGGGTCCCCAGCCTGGCTGCAAGCACTTGGACCAGGATGCTCCTCCTTGGCTTGTTTAGGCACATGATCATCCAAGGCAGGAGTCCTGAAAGCTGCCCCTTCTCAGCATGCATGAAAGTGCGCTGTCAGCCTTGCATTATGGGGAACTGCCTTGTGAAAGGGACATTGTGCTCTAGACAGAGGCAGTCCCCCTTGGCTGGCTTTCTTCCCCTTAACTGGAGGGGGATCTCACGTCTCTCCTTGACTTTAGACCTGGGAGGGTCACACAAGGGCTTCTCGTGGTATCATCTGTTCTGGGAGGCCTGGCCACTGATGACCTGTGGCCGTCACCCCTGTCTGGGTATGTGAGTGAAGGAGGATACCGTCCTGGTTGGCGACCTTGACTAGCACAACCCGCCTCTCTGTGCCTTGCGTTTCTGCTCTCCCCAGTCAGGCTGGGCCAGGTGATATGGGGACAATACACTGGACAAGGCAAAACTCTAGTCTCAAAGATCTCGAGCCTTCGTAGGTTACAGAAGCAGGTTTCACAAGCTGCTCTACCCTGAAAAAAGAACTCTTACACGAATCAAAGGTGAAAACAGATACGAACAACTGCCTGTTAGAAAAATAAACAATGGGATCCACTTGGTCTAGGGTTAGCGTTACTTCTGCTAATGGTGTTAAGTACTAGTTTTTCAGGAATTCTTCCAGCATTTTCCTCAAACTTCTTTTTCTTAGACAACTAGCCTCAATATGACCTTTGTGCAATATTTTATTGGGTCCAAATCAACCACCAGTGAGTGCATCCATCAAAAATATCAAAATATGGGGGCATCTGGGTGGCTCAGTTGGTTAAGTGTCTGGCTCTTGATTTCAGCTCAGGTAGAGCCCTGCATCAGGCTCCACACTGGGCACGTAGCCTGCTTGGGATTCTCTCTCTCCCTCTGCCCCACCCCTGCTCACTTGCATGTATTCTCTCTGTCTCTCTCTTTTCTTAAAAAAAATACATATTATATATATGTGTGTGTGTGTGTGTGTGTGTGTGTGTGTGTAAGTAGAAAATGATTAGTATGAGTTCCAGTAGTGGGCAGATGGTGGAAAGTGAACAGCTGTACATGAGCAGTGCTATTGCTTAAAATCAGAACACTAAACAACTCTCACTGTGGGAAACGACTCTTGGCTGAGTGGAATGGTAGATCTGGCATCAATCCTAAATTGACAGAGTCAGAGTTATACTTACTTTAGGCCTCTCACTCAGATCTCAAATGCAATCATGAATATGGAAAGTAACTGAAGACTTCAAAATGAGTAGCATTTATACTTTACTAAAGGAACTAACCATTCTGAATCCCTTGCCCATACTTCCAGTGCCTGAGAGAAAGGTGGTCTTTGGTTGAACAAATGGAGGTCCCCAGCAGTGACACATCCCCGTGTTTCCCTTCACACCAGACAAATTCTCTGTTCCCCTTCAAGGAGAAAACATTCCACAGTGTTGTCCTTCAACATCCCGTGATAATGAATGAACATGATGTGTGGGTAGATTATTAAGGTTCCCCAGACCATAAGATGGAAATTGAAAGAAACCACCACAGTGTCTCAATGCACGAGAAGGAGAAGCATCAACTAACGGGACACAACCATGGTTTGAACCAAGACAAGCGAAAAATCTATACCAAAGAATTCCAAGGCAAAATGATTGTGAAATGAAGGATTTTCATTATTTAATTTGCTGTAGAAAAAGCCACAAGTGAGGCAACAAAGGACATCTTAATTTACTCCCCAACATGGTGGGTCCAGGAAGAACCTCTTTGCTGGATAGAACACACAATGCTTAGATGCAACCTTCCTTGTATTCAAGCACAGTATGAAACACAAGGTAAGAAACGGACAGGAAGCCACACCAGCAAGAAGAACGTTGCCAAACAATTATATCTTATTTAGGAAAATGTCTGGTGGACAGGGAAGAAAGAGGGAAGAGAAAAAATAAGGTTGGTGTTCATGGATTTTTGGCATCTAGGACTCAAGGACAGGCCCAGTAGCCTACTTAGGGGATAGAGCAGAAATGAAGAAATGATATATTTCCTTAACACATCTCATCCAACGTACTGAACCAAAGCTGTCATGTTTCTTGGTCCCATAAAAACACAGAAATGTAATTGTTTCGGAAAACCGTTTTGAGTTGCTAAAATGTTTCTATATTGGGATTTTTGTGGATGTTATAAAAGAAAAATCATGGTGTCAGAAAAGGATTTTTAAATGTTGAGCCAAAAAAAAAAAAAAAATACTTACCACCCAGATGACATTTGATGTTTTAATTCTACTGATTTCTATCTGAAAAACCATTTTTAATTCCTGATGATGAGCAAGGTTGTGGACACTCCACTGTAAATGCAAACACTGATGTGTAGAATTGATAAAAACTCTCAGGGACTCAGGGGCCCATGGCAAAGGTTCAGACAAGACTGAAAGACCAAAAACAAGATATGAAATAACATTTAATAGGAACACAATTGAATAGTCACAGATAATAAACTGGTCAATATCACCACTGTTTAGTTTTGGAAAATAATGCTCACATGTGCGTCTTAGAATCAGACATCTTGAAAGTCTGCAAGGGAATTTAGAAATCACTTGGTAGATAAAGAAATTAAGGCCTAGGTAAATGAAATGACTTGCTCGACAATACACCATGTATTGTTATTAATAAATTGATAAACAGTAAAACAAAAGGATACTTTATTGGATGATCTAACTGGTTTAGAAATTTCTAGTAAGGCTATATAAAGAGGACTCTTGGCTATAAACTTTGTATTTCTGGAAATCGAAAATGAGTTTTCTGCATAGTTTACTAAATAACTATAAAGTGGGAGCATACCCTATCTCTAGATGTGATTGCTTATATCTCAATGCACTAAACTTAAAAGACCTCTGGCGAGAATTTACTGAAGTCTGTGGATGAGACCAGCAAGGCACTTAGTGTGAAATAAAATAATTGTGATGATGTTCTTAGCTCAAGGAAGGACCCCAGCTGGAGAGATACAGGGGCTCAGAATAGGTAAATCCATAGAGGGATAAAGAAGATTGGTGATTGCTGGGGGCTGAGGAGGGGAACAATTGGGAAGAAGTGCTTCATGATTACAGGGTTTCCTTTTGGGGTGATAAAAATGTTTTGGAAGTACACAGAAGTGCTTGTTGCATATTTTGAATATACCAAATGTCATTGATTTGTTCATTTTAACCATAAGATGATTAATTTTGTTATGTGAATTTCCCCTCAATTAAAGAAAACTTTTTACATATACGTGATCATGATCAAAATGTTCAAATGATACAGAAATTGAGAACCCCTCATCCTACCAACTCATTCTCTCTCCATTGCCAAGTTTAAATCATATGTTTTTCTCGACCTTTCCCATACACTTAAAAAAAAAACACACTAGACTGTGCATTCCATTTTATATTTTTTAAAGTACTTAGGTTATTTTTAAGAAAGCCATAAAGGGAAGTAAAACTATAATGTTACTACTCATTATTTCTGGATGGCGAGGCTGAGTTTTTTAATACTTTTTTATACTTTTATACTTTTCTGTATTTTGTAAATGTTCTTCAGAAACATGCATTACTTTCAGAACCCGATGATATGCTAGATTTTAGAAGAAATAATCTTTTAAGATACCTGATGCACTCCACTGTGATGATACTTCAAAATGCATAATTTAGTTTTCTGGGTCAATTTGCACCAAAAGGCTGAGCACCAGTTATTTTTCCAGTTTTATTTCCCACTGAAACTTAATCAATTGGCATTCTGAGTCCTGGTTTTTTGTTTTGTTTTTTTGGCATTCTGATTCTTAACGAGCTTTGGCAGAGTGAATCATTTATCAGACCCCATTCATACAAAGTTAAATGAAGTTGGAATTTCTGAACACTCAAAGCCCAAAACATGGTAGTCACTATCTATTATTATTTGGTTAGAGATTTTTCTTCTCCTTTGTGAATAAAATTTCTCAACTCTTTGGTTAAAGACAATAGCCATTATTCAGCCTCTCCTTAAACCAGTCAGGAGGTTTGGGCGAGTCTTCCAAGCCTAAGATGTAAGTTAACTAAAGGAGGTTTAGGGAAATGTAAAGTTAACTAAAAGGAGGTTTAGGGAAATGAAAGAGCAGATCCTTTATGGAATAGGAGGAAATATTTTTAATAACTAATAATAACCAATAGCACAGAGAAGGCCAAGTGCCTGCAAAATCATCCTGGCTCTCCTTGCCCTCATTCCATTTTGTCTGGATAGTAATTTGTTGCTGTCGGTGTCACACTCTAGATGAAGAACTTCCTGGAGGGCAGAGGCTGAGGCAGAGACATCTTTGAAAGGACTCTTGTCCCCAGCACTTGGCACAACCACTTCCCCACAGCAGATGTTGACCTCAAATTACACGGACCCAGGATCTCCACAAGTTCTCAAGAGCACGACAAGCAATAGCTCACTTAACATCTCTCCTCATCCTTGGCATTCCCTTCTCTCCAGGGCTGCTTTTCTAAGCTCTGTTTGAGCAACTGATCACAGCGTGTTGTAATAGCCTGGTTTGGGTTTGTCTCCCGGAGGACTGTGAGCTAAACAAGGGTGGGACTAACTCAGCTCGGTGAAACCAAGTCAAATAACACACCTGTCACAGTGTAGACACCCAGTGACTGCTTGCTAAATGAATGAGTCAACTACCAGAATCGACTTTATTTCTGGAAGCTCGGGAAAGCTACCGTGTGGTGCTTTAGGTAAAAGAGGAACTCTATATTGACATATGCTATCAGTGAGTATTGAGTGACTCAGGTAGTTGGGAGAGACATCACTCAGAAATAATTTGGTCAAAAGCAAAGGACTTCCTTTGAGGACTTCCTTGGGAAATAGTGAGAAATGTCAAGGTAAAATCAGAGAGATTAAGGGACCTCACAGATTCTTAAGTCCAACCCCATTAGTTTTCAGATGAGGAAACAGAGTTTAAAAAAAAGGGAAGTGACTTTCCCAAGTGCACACAACTAGACCAGAACCCTGGGTTCTTGGCCCTGGCCCAGCTCTCTTTTTATAGTGAGGAGTGGGTGATCAGACAGCCCAAGGTTTAATCACAGACTCTCATCCCACTTTCTTCACCCAGGCTCTCTGTCTGGCCCCAACACTACTTAAAAAAATAAACCGCAGTTCATTTATAAGTTGGGACATCACACAGCCATTAAACAGAATGTTATTTCTAAAAGAACATTTGAGATCAAAGGTAAAAACCTTCCTCATATGTTGTATTGTTTTAAAAAGTATATATTAAAGTATACATACTAAAATATACATACTCCACCTGCATATAGTTTTATCTTTACATATTATAGTATAATTTCCCAGGATATATATTTACACTATATACAACATACATACTTTAAACTATATATAGTTTAATAGGTATATATACAGTATAAATATTCCCAGTACATATAGTATACTTTCACTTCTATAAAAAAATCTGCCTATTTACATCTCTGTCTTGGTCTGTATGTACTTACACAAGAGAACGGAAGAAAACACAACCAAATGCTATAGTCACGATCTCTGACTAAAGCAAATATGAGCCCAGAGCTAACTGAAAGTGAGTCTGGGCTCTGTCTCATTGGTCGGGAGAAGCCAGGACATCTGAATCTGAGTCTCAGCCCTGAGCCTGGCTGGGTCATCAGGTGGGAGGCCCACTCTTTTGAGTGGAGGTTTAGCAGGTATTTGGCAGATACAGCAAACATTGAGACAAGAGATCCAAGTGGTGTGAGGACAAAGACAGGATTACTTGGCAAAGTAGGCATGCTTAGCTGAGAAAACTGGAAGCAGAAACAAAGACTGGTGGAGGGAGAAGCAGGCAATGAATGATCTAAATAAAAGAAGCTGAATGGGTACCTTCTTCACTGGAACTTCTGAGAACAGAGTGTCCTGTACGTAGAAGGTACACAGTCAGTCAGTCGTCATTGCGTCAGATAATGACACTTTACTAGGGAAGTGAGCTGTGCTAAAAGCTTGGAAGTAATGCCTAGGATTTTCTGGCGAGCCTGGAGCTGGGGACATGGGTCTGTCTGAGAATCAGGGGCTCTATCTGGACCTAACTTTCCTATGGTACGGACTACCCCCTCAGCCCAGCTGGGTCACATTTAGCAAGATAGATAGGGTGGGGGGTATACATACTATAAATGAGAAGTCCTAATTCCCATCTTTCAGCTCCAGATTATGGAAGGTTATCAACAAACTACAAATTTTAAGAAGCCAAAAAAGTAGCATCGTCTCATGGGCCCTGAACCTAAAAGAAACAGATCCAGACTTAAAGAACACCAGGCAGAGAACTGAGCTATTAACAGAACAAAATCTCCTTTTTATTTCCAAATATCTTTTCACAGAGTTTTAAGGGAAGCAGAATAATTCTATGGGTATTTCTTGCAAACATCACTTTCATGAATCCATGGAAAGGAATTATGAGAAGAATTATGAGAGCATATGCCCACACTCTCTGTTACAAAGGAAGTACAGCAAAGAAATCAACTCAGAATGAGGAAAATGTAAAGCTTTGTTAAACACAGGTGAAAGCAACACAAACTTTATAAACCAATAGACTCAAGCCTGAGTACCTTCAAACTGGTTCAAAGTAATACACAAAGTCATTATAAACATTTTACAAGTGTTCTTATTGACACTATTTACAAAGTTGACTTATTGAAAAATACCCTCACTGGGAGAGTAGCTAAGTGACAAATACTATTTCTTTTTTCCATAAACAGCATTTCAGTACCTAGCATATTGTCTTAGAGCAAATAGCTTCTCAATGAATGTCGTTGAAGGACATCACAACTTGTTCAAACCTAGTGGCCAACTCTGGTCTGGTATACCTCAACCCTACACGGCAAGGTGCAGACCGAACTCCTCTGGAGATGGCCACTCACAATATATCTACCACGAAGTTCTGCGGGATTAGATCCACTCACCAGTGCCCTGATGACCAGGGCACTGGCCAGGAAATGAGAGTTAAGGTGTGGCTTTATTACAATGAGCTATCAAGAAGTCAAAACTAGGGAAGTCATTGCTACTCACCAATTCCAAGTAACTTCCAAAGAAAAGACTTGTGCAACTTTCCTCCAAAGCACCAATTACCTTGTTTTTTTCCTCTGTGAGATTTTTTTTCTTTACTGTTCTTCCCACTACTCACCTTCACTCTGGTAAGTTCTCAAGGACAGCAATGCCAAGAGGAATGTTGTCTGAAAGACTGAAAAGAGAGCCATAGGTTCTGGATTTCTGAAAAAGATAAATTACACAGAAGGAACATTTCATTTAATTTTAGCTCTGAGCAGGTGTCTTTGACCCCACTGTGGTAGACAATGGTATTAAGGGCTCCCATTCTTCTCTCTTTCTTCCATTCATGCCTTTTGTCGTGTGAGTTTGGAGTCCCCCCTGCCTCCCAAAGTAAGAGTATATTTCCCTGTTCCAGGTGACTTGCTGAGGCAGAAGCCATGGTATACCCACTTGGAGCCTAGGCATCAAAAGACCTTGTATAATTCTGCTTGCTCTTTGGTGTTTCCACCTTTGACAGGAAAAGAGCATTTCTGGGCTACCCTCCAGGAGGAAAAGGAGCAACAGGGGAGGCAGCACTGAGTCACCATGGCTGCCCCCCCGGGGCCAGCCTAGGTCAGCCAGCAGCCGGCCAAGAGCGCCCGATACCAGATGTCGGAGCCATGAATGCCCACCGCTGCATGCCACAGAGGCCGTGTGGCAATAGAGAAGTGGCCTACCAATTTCTTCAAACGAAGCGAAGGTTGGTAAAGAAAGATAAAGCAAAGAAACAGAAGTGAAACATAAAAAAGTGGACCATAGTCTCAGAAGAGCTAAATCTGAGTGAATTACTTATAGAGGAGTCACCCTCACTCTGCCCTGTCTCCCTCATTAAAATTTCACCGAGGAAAACCCAGCACATTCCACCTAAAGAGATAGGCAGTGTTTCATTATTCAAGATAATTTCCGGTTTTCCTCACTTTAAAGGAGGGTTGTAAACGGCAGGTCAAAGAGCTTCACTGATTCATCGGGTTTTTTGACCACAGGACAATCTGAGGGCGCAAAGAGTGAACCTAGATGACCTCAAGGAGGCTAATTCGTTCTTAATTTAATACGAAGTTTGTTAGTCAAGGGAAGCCCTGAATTTCACTTTTCTACTTCAAAGTCTGACTCATCCCATTGACAGGCAATGAAACCATTCAGAGTCCATTTTGCCTCTGTCTGGCCACCCAGACTTCATCAAAAGCCAGAAATACAGTGAACCAGATCATCCCTTTTCACTGCCCACCACTAACTGGGAACAACAGTGAAGACAGAAAAAGAATATAACCAGCCATTAAATTATTCTGCGGGAGTCAAATCTGCTTACACACGGGCCCAACTGCCAGCAGAAGCAAAAGTCTGCAAACAACAGCTTTTACTCACAGCCCTTTAAGCCTGTTTTCCACTACTTCCATTTTTGCCAAACAGGCCCTTCATACCTCTCTAAAATCTCTACTTACAACTTCAGATAGGCTCCTATTACAACGAAGTATCGAAGCCAGGGAGAAAATGAATTCGAGAGAAAATCGTTTCTGCTCAGAACCAAAGGCAAGGCAAAGGAAATGCCAACATGAAGGGGATGACTCTCCACGTGCAACTGACCCTTCCTTCCGATCCTAGTCTGTGGGTACAGGATCCTATCCTAACATCGAGTTATCTTGAGAAGCGCAAGGTGCCTCTCTGTAAGGAAATCTCATCCTGTATATTGAAAAGCAGATGACTTGGGGAGTGATGTAGGGGGCCTCGTGTTCTCTGTAGGAAAGGGCTACTTAAAATGTTTTTCAAATTTTGGAGTTTAAGTAAATCAAGTATCTCACATGTTGCAAACTTTAAACAAAGGTATATGGACAGAGAAACTTAAAACTACAAGTTAGAAGCCACCTATGAATTAAGGGTAACCAGAAATTAAAGAATAAAAGTTGTCACTTAACAAAATCGAAAAATAGAGGAGTCTTTACAAAGGATTTGTTTCTATGGTCTGGGGATCACAGGAGAGTCCCTGAGAAGCATCGGGACAGTCTCGTCTGGAAGTCCCGACCTTCCCCACCTCGTCCCACTCAGCAGGTTGTGAATCTGAAGAGGTTAGCTTCAGAATGAGAGTCAGCAGCTGGAAGAACCTTCCGGAGACACGCGTGTCAGCCTTTGGAAAACGCTGCATGAACAGTTCTCCTGATGCCTCCGAGCCTGATGCTTTGGGAAGAACACAGCCACCAAGGGCTCTGAGCCAGCTGCTTCCAAGGCCCAGGAGACTGACTGCACGGCCCGTGTGGACCCCCTCCTCCCCTCCCTTGTAAATGGGCCTCTCGTTACCCTGCGCCCTATTCCGAGGGTACCAGCTCTTTGCTGGTGAGCTCCCCACTAGCACAGTGAAGGACCTGGGGATGAGGGAGTGAGTTGTGCCAAGGCCCTGAGGCGAGGCGGGAGAGTGCGGGGCTTATTCAAGGAACAACAGGAACCGGTGTTGCAGGGGGCAAGGAGGTGATGGCACTGGAAGTGGGAATAGTGGTGGAATTCGGGAGAGATCTGACAGAGCAGGACAGGACGTGACGGGGGTGACAGACGAAGCCATCACGGACGGCCCCCAAGATGGCCTGAGCCCTTGGCAGAATGGAAATCACCCTTCATAGGGAAGTAGAAGAACAGACGTCGTGGGCTCTAGCGAGGGCTAGACTGTAGCAAGCTCAATGTCAGATGCTGATTTGATGTCCAAGAGAGCTAGCTAGCCGGACACACATTTGGGAGTCCCTGGGAGGGGTCCTGGCAGGGGTATAAATCATCCTGGCTGCATACACACAGCCTTTAAACCACAGGGGACATGGGGCACCTGGGGGGCTCAGTTAGTTAAGCGTCTGCCTTCGGCTCAGGTCATGATCTCAGGGTCCTGGGATCGAGGCCCGCATTGGGCTCCCTGCTCAGCGGGGAGTCGGCTTCTCCCTCTCTCTCTCTCTCTCTCATTCTCTCTCTCTCAAATAAATAAATAAAATCTTAGAAAAAAAATAAATAAGCCGCGGGGACCAGATGATGGCCTGGAGAGGTAGCGCAGATAGCTGTGCGGGGTCCGCGCCTGAGACTGCAACCCGCTCTGCAAATCCATGACATTCGGGACCAGGCTAGGCTTTCCTATAGCACCTGGAGGACAAGGGCCGAGCGCCGGAGGCGCTGTGAGCGCCTTCGGCCCGGTCTCCCAGGGAACCTAGGGGCTCCAAACCGGGGCCGCTCTTCCTCCACAACTCGGCCAGGGCGCCCTCTCCCTCTCTCGTCTGGCTCTCCCTCTCTCGTCAGGCTCTCTCTCCACAGCTGTCCGTGAGGAGCATCACCACTTCCCTTGGTCCAGGAGGAAAAGGAAGGCAGGGGAGGATGAAGTGACAGGATTCAGGAAGGCAAAACCACCTTCCCGCCTCGCCCACACTTCCCAGTCCTAAGCCCAACTCGGTTCTTTATTTCTATTTTTCAGCTCTCCATCATTCCCAACCGGACGATGAGCTGCTTAAGGACAGGCCTGGATCTCAGTCCTCACTGTCCATCACCACCCCAGCACATAGTTGCTACCCAGTTAAGTATCTCGTAAATGAACAAAAATGTGTACCGAATTTTCTCACATTCTTTCTTCTTTGCTTTCAATTGTATTTTACTAAACAGATTCCTTTTCAGGCCCTTCCACTATTTCTGTTGCCAAATGTTGCCTAATTCATAGTGTTTCATTGACATGTCTTCTCTGGGGAGAAAAAGGGAGGCGAGAAAAGAAAAATTACCCACTCATTTTGTAGAACTTCCCATTCAAATGTCGTCTCTGTGCAAAACAAAGACACTTTCGAATGTCCCTCGGTGCAAATACCACATGCACGACAAAAGACAACCTTTGCCACGGGTATAAGCCTGCCCTTCTTCACTAGCACTTTGTGTTCGGTCATTCCTAAAATATTTATTCCTGGGAAGTTTCCTCACCATAAATAACCCCCCTGAGAAGCAACATGACCAGTCATTTGCTTCCCAAGAACATGGGTGTGTTGCCAAACGTTGCAGAACTGGCTTGGTGCCTCATGTTTTTTATTTAAACCACAAATACTGGTTTAAAGAAAGAAGCTGTTCATCTGGGGTCGTGTGCTGGGAGTGTGTGCTCCCTGTGTGAGAGTTCCGTGCAGCAGTACAAAGGGCTGCATGTTCCCCACATTTCCCAGATCCATCTATCTTTATTTGTTTTTTATGAGCACTGCTATTTGTCTTTGGGGGTCCCTTCCCAAGGGCCCTTGCCATTATAGCACGAGATGGACCACCTGTAAGGCTTCACTCCAATCCACCACCCCCTTCCTCCTAAAGGAAGGTTCAAGCACACCTTCCCCTCTGTCTAAAACTACCCGGGTAAGTGCTTCTACCAGTTTTGTAAGGTCATCCCTTATTTCTGGGGCTGAATTGGCTTATGCACAGCTCATTTTCTTTTTCTTAAGCAGTATTCAGTTAAAGATTCCTGGACCTTGTGACTCCAGCTAGCATTTAAGCTGAGTCTCTCAGTGGTCAGGGAAATTAAAGAAGGGAAGAGAAAACCTTGATCTGAGGAATATTCTGGACCCAAAGAATACGTAGGAATTTAGTATATGCTAACAATAATATGGGGCGCCTGGGTGGCTCAGTCGTTAGGCATCTGCCTCCAACTTAGGTCATGATCCCAGAGTCCTGGGAGCGAGCCCCGCATCGGGCTCCCTGTTCCGTGGGAAGCCTGCTTCTCCTTTTTCCACTCCCCTTGCTTGTGTTCCCTCTCTCGCTGTCTCTGTCAAATAAATAAATAAAATCTTTAAAAAAATAATATTTTGAATCACTGGAGAAGAGACAGATTATTCCTTGGAACAATAACCTGGACATTTGTGGGAAAAGGAAGCCGTAATAGTCAAGTACCCGGGCTCTGATGTTAAGACTGCTGAGGGTCCAATCACTACTCTGGCACTTAATAATCTTATCAACATGGACAGGGCACTTTACCCACCTAGGCTTGTTTCTTTTCCTGTAAAATGAGAATAGAGAACCTACCTCATAGGGTTGGCATGAGGATTAAATGAGATTATGAGAACCTATACATAGAAAATCCAATTATTGTTAATTTTTATCATTATTGCTATTGCCTCACTCCCCTCAACAAAATAAATTCCAGATGAACAAAGGTATAAATGCAAGTAAAAGGATCATTAAAATTTATACTAGAATATTTGTAT